ATAAAAGATGGTAGAAAGACTACAGCTCCAACCATTACTTCTACGTGCGTCATTTTTTTGTTTCTTAAATTGGCTGAAAGTGATTGGTAATAAAACGTCAGCAAAATGTAAAAAAAATTGCTAAAACAAGGCAAAAGCGTTAAAAGGGAATGACCAACAAAAATGTTTGGTTTGGATTTTTCACCCTGAGAACAGCCCATTTTAACTAAAATTAGCTACTGTATTCAGTTTTTATGATAAAAAGCACTACAAATGAGTCAGGAAGATGGGAAACAAGTGATTTTAGAACAAAGTTGACCAAAGCGTGGCTAACCGCTAGTGATGGGAAAACAGCGGAACAGTCGATGAGGAAGGGTTTTAAGGAAAATGTCTTAAGCTGAACGCATTCATTTACGGTGCGTGAACTTGAAACAAAGCCAAAATGCTTATCTTTTCGTACACCAAATGGTAACAGGGAATGTTGCTAATTTGTTATACCCGTAAAAGCCTGTTTGAAATGGATTCTCAACAGTCATTAGGAAGAAATTATGTATTCCAGAAACGGAAAGTTTTCTTACACACTCAAGGTCTATTGTAAACGTAACTAAAGTTAAATTGTATTTGGACAGCGTGAAAATGTATGGACAACAGATTAACTGGTATAAACGCTCCTCAACGCTGTAGTGTAAGTGGGCCTACAGTGGATTTTGAAGTTCCAGAAGGTAACGCCTACTCTAGCAAATCGTGAGGATAAGGCGAAGTAGTAGACGCTGGTTGACAGGTGGAGTGACCCACACATTAATTATCCGAATACACACATAAACTCAGTCTATCACACGTCCCCACGACTTGTCCAGCATTATCACATTGCGGACAGCTTTGGCAAAGCCTTTGATCTTTCTTCCTCAAATGGAGCATCACCGGAAAATATAGCTGCTCTAGTGTTGCTAATACAAACTACACATCTTACAAATCCCGGACCTACACTCCATTTGTGACCCCACTTAATCATTTATCCTTACTAATTTTTAGTCAAAATAGGCTGCTCAATTAGCTTCCGATAGTTTTTGTCCTCACAAATTAGAGAGTTATCTTGGCGGCTGGGTCCGTACGATATTGTTAAGGTATGAACGTAGCTAAACTGCCAAAAGTTCGAGCAGATTTTCCCAATTAATTCCATTTTATGAAATTCGATAATGCACAGATAATTTTTGGATTTATTCGGCAGTTGCATCGACTCCTTATCAGTCAGGTCCTGAAAAGGGAACAACTGTGCAGTTGTAGTGCTCTTTATTCACCCTTACAACATGCAGTTTTTTTAAAAACTGACAACCCTCATATCGAGTTACGGTAGAAGTTGGTGCCTTCGCTGTGAGGCAGTCGTGACTGAGGACTCGTCGGGCTTCCTGAGAAAATGCAACCACCTTTGAATAAGAAAAGACGAATGGTTTATTCAAATAAATGTCACAAATTGCCGCAACACAGGCTCCACACAGTCGTAAATTGCAAGGTCAAAGTCATGCATGTGCGCCACAAGTTAGCTACAACTGAATGACAAATTAAAATTAATAGCCCTTAAATAAAAGTATATTCACAAGATTCAGGGAAGCAGCCCCAAGTTCGTCGCAAACACAGTGATCAAAAAAGTGGTCCGGGAGTAGAAAGCTGATGAGTGAATGAGTTCAACTAGTAAGGAATTGTGAGTTCTTGGAGATTTTTCGTTAAAATATGGCCATCACTCTATCCACGTTAAAATGACATTGCATTTCTTATTTAATGCAAATCTGGCCAAATCCAAAGGAAAGAAGTACCCCAGTTATGTATGGCAATGTCCTAAAAAGTGCTAAAAATAAAAGTAGTGAAACTGATTCGTGCAAAACTCTTTCTCAAAATTCGGTAGTTCAGAGAGGCGTCATTTTTTAATGAAACTGATTACTTCAGCTCTGTCAACTGAGGGCAGGAAGCATTTACACAAAAAAATCAACGAAAGTTATGAGGACTCTGAAAAATTGCTTCGCGTGTTGTCCTTTTAGAGCAGTTGCCAGTCGTACAAACATTTCCTTGCCCGCTTTTTAGGCCGAAATGCGTACAAATGATGGGCATGGTGGGAAGAGGTGGGCCAGTTTTAAATCAACTTCTCACAACATTCACGAAGATTTGAAGTAACAAACTTAATCTCAGATTTAAAAGGAAAAATTCATTGAATAATAAAAAGTCCTTTGTTTGAAACTAGTGGGAAATACCCTTTTCACTATGGCGTTACTCAATAGCCTAGTTTGAAATAAACTAAATAGGAGTCCCTTTTTGTATCTATGCTTTGCCCACTTTTAGTCCCCACCATACATTCTCTGCCATACACAAATCGCCGCAACTTGTAAAAAACCGTCAATTTAATGCATTCAAAACTGTCTACTTTAAAATTCATTAACTTACTAGCCTCAACTATGAGGGCATTGCGTGGACACAAGCAATCGCTTAAGTGCTCACACCCACCACGACTGGAGACCGCTCCCGGTACGTCAGCTTCCATTTGTTCTAATTAGAAGCAACACGTAATCCACTACAACCTAAGACAGTTGGAAGACGACATCCTCTCCTCCAAACACAGCTACTTAATCCAAACCATTTCGACGTGTTATTATCCACTACTTCATGCCACACCCCTACTAAATGGAACCCGACAAGCTTGACACAAAGCGTCAGACGCTTTGATTCTGAAGCTAAACTGATCAAGCGGCTGTTTGCCAATTGTCTCCAATGCGTTTAGCAGATAGTGAATGTAGAAGTAAGAAGATAGACAATTTTATCATGCACGCCTCCAAAATCCACAACTTGTTCTTGTAGCGATTCTCACGGAATAACCACAGGGTTTTGATTTACCCTAAAGGCTAAAGCCAGGCACATTCTACTTTCAACTAATTAACAGTGAGTTCATTAGCGCTGAACGGACTTCTAATAATTTGGCATTGACAATGTCGCAAGAATATGAATTTAGCACTTCAAGCTGACGTTCTTCGCTAACTTTCTGTTTCGTGTAGTCAAGTGATGTAACATTTGGTGAGCTCTTCAGGGCCAGAGCCTTCTTCTCTCCTCCTTCGAATGTGAGTTAGTTCGGTTATTTCAAAGGCGTTATTGACTGTGCAAAAACCACTCTATGAAATATCTCGGCTCCGATTTGTCAAAAGGTAGCTTCCACCTATTTAAGGACGCTAGAAGTGTTGAAGGATATTGTTATTTGCTTCCTCTTCGAATATGGTAATAGATCGGCTTCGATGTCAACTCCCAATCCCAATGTTTGCAATATTTGTTCCATCGCCCTTTCCCTCGGTTCATCGGTTTGACTTGGCAAAGTGCAAATTTTACTGCTGGATGCTTTTTATGCTGTGGTTTCGTGAAATGAGCTGAAACCCTGTGATAGGTGTAAATATAGGCGTGGCTAAATTTAAAATATGAACCATGAGCATGTAATTCGTGATTTGGATGCGAATTTCAGTATCATTTCTCCCCTTTTTTCAGTTATACCAAATTTTTACGCTTGTTTATGACTACTTTTAACTTATAAAAGTTCCTTGTAGATAAAGTCCACTTGGCAACTGCCATCGTCTTGATCCGAGCTCTGATTTTTGAATTCGACTAACATGACAATGGGCATTACCACGCAATAACATAGGTTTTAAAATTATCTGGCGGTTTTTCACAAGGCAACAAATACATTTAACTTTAATGAATCTTTTCGCATCCTCCAAACCGACATTTAAGCTAAAATATTGCTCTAAAGCAATTATGCGACCTTATAAAAGGCAAAATCTCCGGTTTTCATATTTCCACACAAATTTTTGGATTGATTGCAATTTTGTCAAACATTTCAATTCTCTTGTATAACGAAGCATTGAGGCAAATTCCTTTTTGCATCCATTCAAAATAATCTCATCCTTCTCCTGTTCAAAGTTTCGCAGATGCTTGTAAAGATAGGAAACCACTGGACGAGGCTGCAATGCATCTACCCGACGTTTGCCTCAGCCACTTGAAAAGCAACCGCCTGTATTTAAAAGATATCCATCTAAGTTGCAATCCAGACATCCTCAGATGTAGGTGGACTTGTGTAAAGTAAGCAAATCCTTCGCTCACCTAAAACTTTCTTAAGACTTTGTGGTAAGCAAATTCGAAAACCCAATACTCAGCTTGTGACAGCAAATTTTAATGTGAGAATTCATTGGATTCGGAATATGGTTACACTAAGCACTCAATTTTGTGCTAGAAGTGCCTAAGGAACAGTTTTCGAACTTTTAGGCAGTTTGGAATGCAAGAATTACTTGACCACATAGTTGTCTAGGAATTTACTGCCGCAACGAGTATTCTCTGTTGCATTCCTTTCGGTGGAGGGCATTATTTATTCACCAAAAGGTAAGTGTAAGCCAAATTTCTTGTTTTTCGTTGGAGTCACAATTCATTGGCTATAAATGAACCCGAGTTGTGAAGTAACCAAACCCTCGTCTGCCAAAGTTGATATCAAAATATGTTAACTGCTGTAGAAAATCTGGGTGATGTCGGGTGTACGAACGTGTTGCAAATAGCTTTTCACCTATCAGTGGCCATGACATCCGTAGCAACTCAATGACAGGCCACAATTGCATCACTGATAATGTAGGCAAGTGCTTGAAACGACCGATCTAGCCCACCTGAGAAGTGCATTAATGAATCCAAAAACCATACCTCGGAAAGGTGAACTCGATTTGCTCTCAAATGGCATTGCTTGCTACACTTGTCTAATCATATTTATCGTTATATGACTTAGAGTTACTGGCGTTCATATCAAGTTGTATCTTAAGTAAAGTTATGAAGGAGATACTCGAGGCAGACATTCAGGATTGAGAACCGGCTGACTTTTCCCCATTGCCTTTACCCTCATCAAAGGATATCATCTATAAAATAAACTATTGGACAGCACACGGTTGACACATCACTAGTAGAGGATAATAACTTTTCGCAGAAACGGATAAAAGCATTTGCATAAGAACGCTTTACGCCTGTTTCTGATGACCACCACCATTGTCAGCAGCAGAAGACGATTTTGTACACTCCAACAATGGTGAGGATGGTTGTGGTGGTGGTGGAAGTGGACTGGATACGTCCTGACTGCGAGAGAAACCCATTTTGTTCAGGTTTTTAAGAATGGCACGACGTGCACTCGTCGTCTCTGCAACCGCCGGCGGCTGCGATGTCGACGACGCTACTACTGATGTTGGCGCAGGTGGTGAGGGTGGTGCAGGGGGTGGGGGGGACCAGTTACGGGCAGTAAGGGCGGTTTGGAAGGACTGCATGCGTCGAAATTGTTTCCGTTTTGCTGCTAGGTCGGGCTGAGTAACCCCCAGTGGTGGTGGAGGGGGTGGAGGGAGTTGAGTTGAATTGGAGCAGGAAGGTGAGGCTCTTGCATAGAGCTTCGGCTCGTCAATACCGTAGATCCAGTAGACCTTCCGACTCATGCTGCTCAAGACCTGACTAGACGCCTCGAACGCCCGGAGAAGTACGTTCAGCCATTGTTCCACGACTATCTGATCCTAAAAGACTATAAGGCTTGAATACATTGGCCATAAAACTAGCATTCGAATCTCCACGTTTCATTCAATGAGACCAGAAAAATGAAGTTATCAGGAGAACTCTCACATTCACTCAGTTTTAAAGATTGGTTTACTGGATCTTTTTTAAATGTGTTCAGCCCACTGAAACGCATCAGTGACAACAGAAAGGACCTGAAAAGAAAGCACTGAAGACGTAATGCTGTGAGTTCTTAGTGGAAATGAAAGCAATCCATTGCTTATGGCGATTATGTTAGCCGTTTGTCACTGTTAGCCTGTAACTAAGCCCTGGACAATGACAATGAGCATTGTCGTGTTAAGTCACCAATCCTCTTTACTAAACAAGAATCAAAGTCCTCAGTGGAGGAAGTTGTCAAGTTTAACGATAACTACCTCAAATGATAGGAGGAAATGAGGAAAGCGGTTAAATGTGACGATGGATCAAATGTTTTTACCTAAAATGGAAAAGTGTTTGAGGAGATATAAAATTTTAGTTTGTTTAGTATATCTCCGCAGCATAACCATTTATACCATTAATTAATTGAATCACATAAATTATGCCGAAGCAGTAGACATTTCGATGCACTTTATAGGAATGCAGCTCACGATGGTATCACTTCGATTAGTCTTCAAAATTTGCGAACCTGATGGGTCTGATTCCTCGACCGACAACTATGGTAGGTTTGTTTGAGAATAAAGTGGTTTTTAGTGCTTCCAAGACGCCCTTTAAATTCAAACAGCCATAATCAGTGAGGCAGACAACGACCAACTTTTTTTTGCGAGTTGGGGGCTGCCACTAGCATCTTTGCACAAAAAATGTACCATCCGGGAAACCTTATTATAAGTGGCAATTAACGAAGCTCTTCAAAATGACGCAATTTCCTAGCTTTTTCATTTTAAACAATAACTTAATCCTCTGAAAGGGTACTTTGTACAATAGTAGAATGAATTAACTCAGCCTTTGTTATTAGCCATCTCTTATGAAAGAGTGACGATGTTGCCCTTGTTTGATTTGATGCTAACCATGCCAAGCCTTAGGCTCTCTGGAACGTAATTCTTTTGCATGGGAAACGGCTTATTACCGCATCACCAAAGATCTACAGTCCACATTTGGTAAACAGACTTATTGTTACAGAATTCGGCAGATGGTTGACAAATTTAAGCATCAAGAAGAGTACGAACCCAGTGCGGATGAGTTGGGAGGTTGCTTCCTCTACGCAAATGCATGCCTTTTGTGCTTCTTGAATTACAAATCGCATTTTAATAACCTTAGTTACTTCTATCGTTCGGCTTGAGATATGAGCTTCATAACCATCTTGCAAGCACAACTTATCACCATCACTAAATATGAGGTTAATTTTGGGCTTTTTTCCCATAGTACTATCATAAATTTCAAAAAAACTTGTATAGTAGATCACTTATGTCACTTTTCCATAACATATGGAACAGACTCTAAAACAAGTCAGTAATGGGATGGAGCAATGTTTACAGCAAAGGTAAAGCAAAGTTGCGATACTTCGAGCACAGTCGAAATTGCTTAATGTGATATATTACAAGAAGGAAGAGAGGATAGTTGTTTTTAAGAAGAAAAAAAAACGGGTATATTAGCAGTTTCAGTTCAATCAAGATTCCCAATAGAACTTCACTTCACACGTTTGCACAGAGTACAACACACTTCGTTGATTTTCTTGTTTAAAACAACAGAGATATCGAGTAAGGATGGAAGATAATTAAACAGAAACCCAAAATCACCGCTATGTTTTAAACCACCTTGTGTTTATGCCGTGTCACGTAAATTAACTCCCTTTGCGAGCATCCCTTGCATAAATGGATGCAGCAAAAAAAGAACTCTCGACAACTTGTGGGGATTTCCAACCTCGCTTGTAACAGAGGCGTAGCGACTAGGAATGCATGCTTGAGTTCGGCGAGAATTCAACAAATTACAGACAAAGTTATTCCAGAAATATGCTAGAGGCACCTGAGACTGTAACTGCATCAAACACTCAACGAGAGCAGTGTGTACTTGCGCTTTTCGTTGAGCCTATTAAGAATTCTGCGAATATGCTATCAATGAATGAGTAAATTGAAAGAGGGCACGATAGGGCGCTTCGTTTTTACAGCAAAGGCGAAAAATTTCGAATGAAGCCGCTCGAATGTTTGAGGGAGCACTCAGTGTCCAGTTAGACAGAGCTGAGCGGGCTTAGCGTCTCAAGCATGTGTGGTACTATACGGCTTTCGCATCTCAAAGGCTGCGCAAATCTTTTGACACCTTTTCTAATGCACTCTTCACAAAAGCCTACAAGCCTCGACACATTGGATGAAACTCGGAGGGAAGTCGTCCAAGAAATATGGAATTATTGTGGTTTAAAACTCATATTGGCTTATAGGTAACGTTGTTTATATTGCGTAAATCTTAAAATACTCTTGACCTTGCTTATCAAAAGCATCAAAATTGCCAGACAGGAATAGCTGGAACGTGTTTCTTTAAATTAGCTGGAACATGAGCCTCAAAATTTTCGTTTGAAGGAGCGCGCCAAATCCCGTCAAACTGGAAAGAGCCCAAACTTTTAGTAGTATACGGAAAAATGTGTAACCGTTGTAGAGTACAAATGCAGTTGACATCGTTAACTTAAAATTAATCGTAGCATTAATTCCTCAACGCTTTTACAAACCTTGCCCTAAAGTCATGGGGCGCACAATTACTTGGGGCATTAGGTAAGCACGGCAGAGTGACTCACCGAGATGTCTTGTCATGAACAGGTAACAGCCATGGCAACAGTTGGGGTTGTCCATAGTTGAAGAATAAGGTAAATTCACCATTTTATGTCAAGAGCTGTAAAAAAGCTGTGTCTGAAAATCTTTAACCCTAAAATTTGCTGGACTATAGGATCCATAATGTAAGCTCCACCAATTGTTTAATTCTTTACTTTATAGATAGCATCAAATGATAAGCCGACACTCAGAGGAACCGGAAGACACCTCGTCGAAAATAAATGGAGGTTAGGGCCATCATCATCATTCTAAAGTCTGGCCTTACTTTGTGCACTAACCGGAGCCAGCGTCTCTACATAACGATGAAAATTGTGCGATTTTGTCAATAAGGTGGATCGAAATGAATTTACAACTCAAAGGTTTGATAATCGAGCGGCAGCATTACCAACGATTTCATAGTCGAGAAACCAGCATTTCAGAATATCAAACTAGGGGCTATTGGTCACTACCAGAGCTTTTAGACAAATAAATTATTGCGATACAACAGGTGAACTCTCTCAATCGTTACTTAACTGGCCGTATGATTTCATCAAATCTTGACTTCCTGGGACGAGTCAACTCCAACATTACAAAAATTCTATAGCTCAGAATTAAGATCGCCTCAAGCTCAGGCGATTGTGAGCACCGACGTTGGAGAAAGACACTCTTAAAAGAAATTGGGCTTCACTAACTCAGCCGAAGCGATTTTGCTGTGAAGATCAACAACAACAAAAACAAAAGAAAACTCGACCCCGTTCGGTTCGATGAAGTATTCGCTCAGAAAGAATTGCCCTCTCAGAAGTTCAACCAAGCAAACCCCTCGGTCAATTTTGGCCGATTTAGTGTAGTAATTCCTCAAGACTTTCCAAGCCCTAGTGCAGCTCCACAATGTCTACACACAAAGACTGTAAAACTAAACTAGTATTTCATTGTTTCACACTGCCAGAAACACATCAACTCGTTGTCTGTATTTCCTCACTAACCACTGTTATTAATCAGTCCGTATCGTGTAAATATTTGTGTTCCTGGCTGCCGGGACATGCGCTGTTGGTCATCTGGATCCATGCGAATGTAAATTGGTTCCAACACCTCCTCGCCAGCCAATATATATTTTAATTTTAGCCAAAAGAGTCGTCGTAGGCAGACATTTTTGGACAATCCGAGCGCAATTTGAATTTCGTTTGGCCTTGTCAAGTCAACTAATATTGCTATTATTTGAAGCTGGTCTTGCTTTTCTAAAAAAGTAACATTGTCAACGCTTGCTCGTCGCTTTACATATTTTCCACCATTCAAAGTGCATCGTGATTGGTAGATGCGTTTTGCTAAAATTCGGCCAGTTAGGTCCACCAAATTTGTAACTTTTATAATTGTAAAGCAAATACTCGTTAGAGCAATATTCGGGCATTCTTCGCAAGATCCAAGTAGTATAACGACAAGCGTATGAATTTTTGCTTTTGTCAAATCACCTCTGCACTGTTACGATGGAAAATCAAGTCAACTGTGAAATTTGGAAGTTAAAGAAAGGCATATTATAAGATTATGCCTCTCTATACAATAAGTGAATAAAATATGGCTTATTTAATATCACTATAGGGTAAGTAATTAAAGTCTAGCCGCACTACAAGTAGTATTTGACGTCAAAGAGGCAGTTTCTTCTCACTTTTTTCATTCACCTTTTGTCATTGAAACGTCTGAGCTCCTTACAGCACTGGGTGGCTTTAAATAGTGTCGACGGGGTTTCTGTGGGGACGGTCACAAGTCGCCCCCATTGAAAAGCACATTAAAGAGGTTGAGATAGCTTCCTTACCTGAGAGGTGAGGAATATCTTTGATTGGCTTTTGAGAACCACAATGATTACTCCGTCGTATTTGTTTATGCGCTGCAGAGTTGGATAAATTGACGCGATGTCCAGCATTGAAATGAACTAAAATATAGCGTTGGAGGAAACATTTGTGCATTATTACACTGAACCACCTTTAGCGCATTGATACCCCGACAACAATAAAGGCATCAGCCAAACCAGATCGCAAGGTTTATTTTGATTCATTTAAACTTGTTTTGCAAGAGAAGGCAATTCTTAAATTCATTTCGAAAAAAAAGCATAGAAATTGCAGAATGTATCAAAAAGTGGTGCATACAAGTTTGGTTGAGATAACAACAATGTGTTGCATTAGTACGGGAACTGGTTTGACGTCCAACAAATCCCATTATGGAAGTAAATTCTACTTCTCATATTTAGTGCTAGAACAAGGACAGCATGAAATAAGACGGTGTGTTCTTCATTACAACTTCTTGGAATCGCATCTCCTATAGGCCGTTAGTTTCTGAGTCGTTCCAAGTTTTGCTCCCCATCTGGACTCTTTGAAAAAATAGTCAAGCTGTCAGTTTTATAACAAATAAAATCTTTAAGTTTTTAAGAGGTCAACTGTGGAAGGCGATGCCACCAATTTAAATGCCACAATCATTAGCTTTTCCATAAGAGTCAGCCAGAGGATAAGTAGATTTTAATCAAGGCACAAAATAAAAATGTAAACGATTTGACTCTAAAAGACTTTTTGCACATCGCATTTGCTTGTGCAAATGAGGAGCTCTACGCTGTGATGGAGAACTGCCGCACCAATTATTTCCGGCGCTATTTCCAGCCACCATGATTTCTTCTGCTTCAGAAATCTGCTAACACTCCGCCCAGAACTTCTCGAGCATTAAAAGACTGTCAATTTGAAAAAAATTGCAAAAGAAAATGACTAAAGGTTCTGGAAGCAAATTGACGGATAGTATCATTACGATTTTGAGGGATGGAAGAGACCGCGTTTGTGGCGATGTGCCTTCGCATCAGTTGATCGTATGTTCCAGCAAACTGGATTAGTGGCCTATTTTTCTTAAACCTGCTCTGAGTAAAAAAGTTGTAACAATTTTTTGCTTCAATGATCATAACTGAAAAATTAAGTGGCTAAGGATAATAAATTGGAGTTTCTAGTTCCCACTGGACAGAATCGTTTCTTTTCTTTACAAGCTGCCAAGCATCACACTTGACACATCTGCAGAACTGGGTTTGCCAAGCCTTTCATCTTTTAGACTGGGTATATGTGATGGAAACTTATCCAACCAAAATGCATAACAGACAATTTTTTGTGAATCCTAAAGTTCTCTCAAAACTATTCCAAGACCAAAGTGAAAGAATTAAGAATGTGCAAGCTGATAAAAGCATAGTAATATTGTATGATGTTAATTGCTACCATAGCAAAGGAACCGAAGAAAAGCTGGATTATGTTGAGCCTGTTGACGAATGGGCCTGATCAAGTCCCAAAATGAACTGCATTGACTGTCCACCAAAGTTCAGTTGAACTTCAAACCGTTAGTACAGTTAATGTTCAAAATTAGGGGCCATAAAAACGCAGCTCACGTTGTTGAAAAGGTTGATTTTATGGTAGTTTGTCGCATAACTGAGAAATCTAGGTTTGATAGAAGTTAACTCTCGAGGTTTGGTCCCAGGAGAAAGCATCGTTATAAACTTAGCGGTTATTTTAGACGCGACAACCACCATTTTGACATGCGAGTTTCCCCGTTATAATGCAACAAAAGTGCCCTATAAGTAAGCCACTCGTATGCACACTCACCTCAGCACCCTTAAGTGGAATTCCGTGCTGGTTCTTGACGTAAATTTCGAGTCTATTTGGGAAGAGACGGACATGTTTCTTTTGCCATGTGTGAAGGAAGGGTCCGCCAAGTCGCAGCAATTCGCTCTCAACCAGACAATCCGAGGGTCCGCATCCATACCTCTCTGGATCAATCCACCACTCGAGAAGTAGTTCAGCTGGCCAACTGGGAATGTCCTCGTGGTCCAGGGACTTCTGCTGCGACGCTGTCATAGTCGTTGCTGAAGCCGATCTCGACAGGGATGGCGATGCTGAAGGCAATCCAGAAACAACTGAAGTGGTCTCGCCTTCTGGTTGGGACGCAAGAGTGTGAGTCAGTTGGTTTAGACGCTGCTGTAATTTAGCACGCCTTTTACTTTCCATTTGATCAAAGTCCTCGTTTACCGCGTCGAAGATAGTAGTAGTCATTTCGTGTTGCCACCGGTCTGCTATCACAACGTCGAACTCTTTGTAGACTTGCTGATCTTCCTCAGTCAACTATCGAGTGAAAGTTAGCAAAATTTGACCTTACGAGGAACTATGCAATGTGTTTTTCGGAAATAAGCAAAATGTGAGGCACTCAGAGTTGCTCATCTGGCACTACTTATTTTCAAAGGCAGATTTTCTTACCTTCTTCTCGGCTATAAATGAGACTTACGGTCCTCATGTGTGCCACATTTCTGAAAGTTTAAGGTTCACCCTTTAATATGAGGCGTCTCATAAATGGAATCTGGAGAAAATTTCACGAACCATGCCTCATTTGTTTCAAAGAGGTTCAAATGTTCAGAATACTGCTCTTCACATCAATGATCCTTGCGATGTAAAAGGTTCCCTGTAAACCCACATGATATGTGAGTCCTTTGTTTACGAACCTTCTTTGTAGCAAAGCCTTGATAAGTGGTGCACCATTTAAAAAATCCAAGTAATACTCCAATGAACATTTCGGACTCTTTCTTGAGACCTAAGAAAAAACTTCAACTGATTTCCTTCTTTTATCGCTCATCTCCGATTTGTGATAGCGCTTAGAATCCAATGGAATCGCGCTCCATGGCAAAGCGCAACGCTTTGTTTATGCAATCCGCCATTAAATCAAAAGTTTGTCTGATCCACAAGGGGCCCTTAGTGCTCCTGACCGCTTTATGTAGGTTTCTGAATACCTTTGGATAGGATGAGGCTGGTGCTACTCTGCTTGGCAAAATCTATTTTCTTACAAAGCTTCCAACTTTTCTGCAATTAAAATTACCAGAACATGCGGCGTTGGTTTTGATAAAAGATGTCTTTTACTTAAGTACCGATTCTGCTTGACTTGGCAAAATGTATGCCCACGTTTGTTGCATACTTGGTCGCTGGACATATGCTTTAGTGTTATTTACAGATGAACGAAGGCAGGAATGTCTTCGGACAATTAGGGCTAATTTTGGTGAGGAATTTGTGAAGGACTCTATTGAGTCACTTGGCTTATGTATGGAAATGCCGGAAATTCCCTAAAAAAATGAAGCTCATGCTAGTTAAGCAGATAAGAATAGACAAATTATTAAGTAAGAAATGGCTCCACTCATTGTGCCGATTGAGAAGCCGAGAATTATCTCTTTGGCCATCTGATCATAGGGTCTGAGGTGAGGGTTTTTGGCATCAGTTGGCGCTTACACGCGTTACGCTTAGATGATCAAAATAGGTGATCTTGCCTACTGGTCCACATCAAAAGCATCAATCTTAACAATTTTGGTAAAACATTGAGGCTAGCTCTTTGAGGTGGGGCGGGGAAAGAACTGCACTTGCAAAGTGATTCGGTTCAACATTAAAAATGAGTGGTTTATTGCATTGGAACCTCAAGGCGCTCACTACCGGTGTTGAATGCCATGACCTTCCCATCTGGTGCTCTTTGAAATGCACTTTCTGAAGTCCATTAAACTAAATTGTCAAATTTTACCTAATCCTTTGAGTCAAATTTCAGGTGTAACACAAATTCTATTGCATAGCCAACAATTAAGTTGGAACCAAAAAGAATCTCCTCCATCATTTTCGATGGTTTTAAAATGAATTGCTATGGCTTGGAGTTGGTTCGCTGGTGTACTCAAGTTAGACTTTCTGGGTTTTTCAATGCTGTTAGTAGTTGGTAAATTTTCTTTTACTGATTAATGACCAGAATTAGGAATGTTGTGGAAACTTATGTTTACCGTCAAATGAGGTTATCAAGCAACCGTTGATTTAATTAGTCTGGTAAGGTGGTCTACATTTATGAATTTAAAACCACCATGTCCCCCCAATGAATGAAAAGCAAGGTCTCGGCCTAAAGCACTACCTTATGCATAAAACATTGCGATTATTAATTTACATAAATTTTAACTTGGCCTCAAAACGACATTTGGACGCACTCTGCAAGTCGGAAATGTGCCTGAGTCCCACAATTTGTATAATTTATGATTGCTGGTACAGCGCCAGCAGTTTCTAAACTCATCTTCAAGTTCCACAAATAGAAATACATTTTCCCAGATTCAGCGTAACTGTGTAAAGCAGGTTGGACATTTTCGCTGAGCATAAATGAATGGTAAGCGAGAAAGTCGGTTTCGCATTTCACTTCCTAACGCCTTCCGCCATTTAACTAATCTTAATCCACTTCAGTGTCTGCATACACCCCGGAAATTGGGAACGCTAAGAGAGATCTGGAATTTTCTCTTTGAGTACTGATTTTACTTCAGCTTAGAGTATTTACCAAATGGCAAATTTTCATCCATAACTATAATGTTACGAACAGTAAACTGAGTGTTGTTGAGCACGATAATCTTATGTCGTTCGTATGGCGGTTTCTGTAGCAGTTATTATGAGATTGGCCGGAATTTTTCTCAATTTTTAGGGATTACGGGAAAAATCATTTAAAAGTAGTCGACGATGCACTGCTCAAGTGCTTCATTGCTGGTTTACACAGTCTGCACTTGCAGCTAGACGTATGTTCCACCATTCCCGCATCGGTGATAAAAATAAGACCGCAAAAGGTGGAAAGATTTCTAACAGGTATTAGGGGAGATTCCTATCATAAAACTGTGTCCCATCCAATTTCACCGCAACCAAACCAAGCTAAAGGCTAATTCTTAGAGTCACTTCTAATCACTTGATATAAGCACTGACAAATATCTACAATTGTTTTCCCATTCTTAACAATTTCATTCTGTTATTACCTAGTGAAATTTCAAATGGTATTGCAAAACATGCTAGCATGAGGCATGAAGATGGATGAAGAAATGTGTGGTAGCGCCAGTAAGTTAATTTTATGGCAACATATTTATAGCTACCACTTTTATGCATTCTCGGATAGTTGAACCGCTCACCATTCGGCAAATGAACCCGTTTGCTCTGTTTTCTGTAATTATGCCAAATAAGGGGAAAATGCACGTGATTTTGCTAGAGGTGATTGGGGACATTATTTAAATTCATAAATGATCTGCTCGTTCGATATGTCCGCTTTTGGATCCTTCAATCTTGGTGACTAGAACCATTTCCGCGTGGCGAATGAAAGTCCATACGCCCTCCTACAAGCCTTTCATATATCACGAAAACGCAATATTATACTTGTGTTTCTTTTAGAGCCAAGTAGACAAATTTATTGTGTAATGTCAAGCATTAACTTAGCGGCATTTTGACCGTCCGTACAATCTAGACTAACTTAGCTTTTGTCCGAACACTTCCCCAATGTGTGCAAATAAACTGCCAGCGACCATCGCCCGACTGCAAAATGTCAGTCACCTCGCTTTGGGGCACCTCTTAAAAGGAAATAGACGTCGTTTGAACAATTTGTCAATCCCCAAATTACAAGTCTGTTGGATAATTAGCAGCTTATCTAATCTTCATCTTCTCGCCCTTTTAGTTTCTTCGTTCTCACTGCATCAGTTTTTGCTGCAACTGCTTAAATGGCAGAAAAAGGTTAATTTCTAAGTCTGTCACATTGCGTGAGCAATTGAGGGCGCTTGTTCCTACAGTTCGTTCATTAATTTTACTGAAATTTTAGTTTTTGCAACTTCCACACTTTATTTAGTTTTAGTCTGCCGTAAAAGTGACACACAAACATGCATGTACTTGATTTTGCACGCCATTCAGTAACTTTGTCCGAACATTCCTGACACAACATTATGAACGCAATATCAAATCCAGTACGGAGATGTCCTAATTGCACTGCATGCTATTTGAGTTATTGGACAGTTGCCCGAAGAGGGCAGTTTGCTTACTCTTCTGGAGTCTAGTCCGATATAATTCGAGAACTTGGGCTTGTGGATAAAGCGGGTAACCAAAGGTAAAGTATCAGCTATAATTGCTTCCGCGACGCGAAAAGTTCACATCGATACCGTCTTTGATATTATTCAAATCACTAGCTCTATCACTCAAGGGACAGAAATTAGAGGATGTTAGATTTCTGACTGTAAATTGTCAGCTTACCGGGCCAAAAACCTAATTTGATAGTATGAATGTAAGGAGGTAATCCGAATGAAGGACCCTTGAGAACCCAAAAGTTACAAAATACCCCTTCAAAAAAGTAATTGTGGGCACGAAAATTCCCATCGTGTCTTCTGTTTTCCAAGCCATCGGTTGCTCCTTGCTTCTGTAAACATACACAGTTTGAAGAGCATCTAGTTTTAGACTACTACTAATCGGAGTGTAGATTTAATGCGCACTATAACACCCAATTTTTAGGTAACTGCGTTTCATTGAAATCTCCCAGACCATCAGCATGACCACCCATTTGCTTTCTTGTTATTGTCTCTCTAGTAAAGTGAATTATTAATAGAATTTGCTTGTACCATAGTGTTGAATGAAAAGCAAATCGCTGTTAAAATTGAAGTAAAATGCTTTTAATAGTGAGCAGTATTTCTTAATCGGACGGTTGAAGGACACCGTTAATCAAAACTGTGCATTCTAAAAAGGACTAGTGGACATTCTAGCCTTGAAGTAGTAAGCAGCATTAACTCCCACATTTGGTACTTGAGACATTCGAACGCTAACTGCCTGCAAACGTATCCACAATTGGTCAAAAGAAAAAACATTCAAAACCAGGACTGGCAAGCAGCAACAATGAGGATTTGGATACGCACTCGAATACCCTGCGTGTCCTCCTCGTCAAAAGCACCGATTTCAAAGGCGTCAGCAGCATTCACTTCACCCTGAGGTGGGATTAACGGAGGTTGGAGTCGCTGACGCTTCGCCATCTCCCAGTCCATATTTGCAAGGAAGGAATGCGTCATCAGTTCCTCTGAACTAGCAACAAAGAGGGAGAACGTTAAAACTTGTCCCATGATGAAGTTTGCACTTTGTAACATCAGTTTTGCCCTCTTTAATTGCCTTTTGGGAGAAAATACGATTTTATTATGGCTCCTAATTGGAGTCAGCCGTAATGAAGACGAATTGAATGGGTCAAAACCAGGATGTGTTCATGAAAAAATCAGTTTAACTATCAAACAATGCTTAATTTTCAGAACCATATAATCAAGCGTTTGTTACGTTAGGCAAAGTAAAATACTTATTTATGAGCTGTCTGTCATGCAACGTCTCTTCTCATTTTTGGCAAAACAGCCAATTATGGGAATGTAGTTTGGAAAATGGGTACAAATTCAGTGGACTATTATTGGCCGGTTCACTATAAAAGAAAGACCTTTTTTCTCCATTTACCTTCGAACAAGAGAATCCTGCCATCTCTCAAGCATGAAATTAACTATAAGAGAGAAGCCTTCAGCAAGTCATGCAATGTGATAAAATTTAGGGTGGTTGAATAACTCCTGATGATGATATCAGATAAGCGAAAATGCCATTATTTCCTTCAAACGGTAAAAGGAGATAAATATCGCATTACGACTCTCTTCTCCATAATCCTCCATTTCCAAAGGGGTCCAAATAAACTGTGAAATCTCTACACCATCTTATTTATAAAAATAATTGCAACTTCGTCTTAAAATTTTATTCTTCACCCAAAAAACACGAATATCTCGCATTATCCATCGTTGTTAGAACGTTTGGTTTTAAGAAGCAAATGACTTGCTTCTGCCTTGATGCATAAACCAAGTGTCTACAATGTTTTGCAAGTCAAGAGATGTTCCCAGATCTTATGTCCATCCCATAATGACCAAAATTGAAGCCAGATGGATGGACTTATGATGTAGAATATTTCATAGAATTGTGGGATTTGTATTCGACATCTTTGGATAAGTCGATAAACATGCTTCAACAAAAGACCTGGTCCGTCCCCAGGATGCAGTCTTCTGGAGATGAGGCGATGACTGCCTCAGAAGTGTGGGATGCGTGGACCTGTAATGGACTGCTTGAAGGCAGCCATGTGAGAGTGTGTTCCCTTAAAGCTGGCATGTGAATGCCCTTGTCATTACACCTCAAGCATTCGGTGCACCAGTCAGTCATGTAGCAACTCGAAGCGCAAACCCACTTTAAAATGATTAAATGATTATTTGACTTTTCTGGTTTTATAGTTGATGTGATTTTGAGCCCAAGTCTAAACTTTGCTAAAATGGAGGGTATTCAGCATTGCATTGAGATTTTTAGATGACTGATGGAATACTCACCTAACCCAGTTCTAGATGATACGCTTCGTCATTTAATCTAGCACCTTAACCAAATCTCATGCACATTTTTTGGAGAAGGCTTTGAAAAACTTGGAACTCACCGTGCCTAAACCTGAGTGATAAAGTATTATAAAAAGTTACATTTTAGGTGCATAATTAGATTGGCCCATATCTGCGCTTCGTTTATACAAGTCCCTTCAACTTGCCAAAAGGCAATGGAGGTTCTAGCGCTTTGCCAACTTGGCTTAACAAAAGGTGGCGCTGTCTCTCTTCCGTAAGTGTAAAGTATATACACGATTATTTGCACTGAATACGCCATTTCGTCGAGCTTCCTTCAGCTTCAAACCCACAGTGGTTTGCGAAGGAGGCCTGAGGCCCTTTTCTTTCAGATTCGCAGAGGACTTTACTAAATCATCAACTAAACACTGGAAAGTTCCTGTGCTCCCAATCTTTTTCATATTAAATTCTTTAAGCATTAGACATAAGTAGTGAACTATGAGCTTTCAAATTCATCCCAATCCGCTCAAGATCTGATGCGAGTAAAGTGCTTATAGAGTAATATTTGCCATCAGAAGCATATACAATGCTCTCATTTCCTAAGATTGCCTACGGAAGCAGGAGTTTTTGCTAAGAATAGGTTAAGGTAGCAACGTTAGTCAAAGCTCAATTTGTTTATTTGCGAACCGACCAATTTATTGTAATATTAAGCAATTTACTGAGTCATCGTGCCTGTAGACCTTCAGATTTACAAGCCTACACACATACTCCTTCGCAGACATACATAAAGTGGAAAAAAAGTTAAATAGATGGTTTTCATGAAGTCATTCTACTTGAATGGCACCACAAAAATAAGGGTATTTCCAAATTTTTATGACTCACTTGTCACTTTTGTTTAGATGGAGAAGAATGAAGGTTGCATTCCGAACAGCTCACAAGGACACTTATTAGACTCGCAGACCGAGTTAGTTTTTACACCACAAAATGCAGTTCAACAAAACTCAAAAGTCAAATGCAGCACCTTTTGTGTGTTCAGTCAGCGGTTATAGCTTTTGTATTTGGACGAAGAATAGGCGGAAGCTGTTATTCCGCGTCTGACGGTTTCATGTACCGGAATGGGCTTTGTAAAGCCAATATTCCTATTCTAACGACTTGGCAATAAAATCAACCAGATTCTCTGTGTGCTTGAAATGTTTCCAAGGTAAGGCGACTTACAATTTCGCTGTCCCTCAAAAATAGGCAAAGTAGTTTTGTACAGTTTTTCTTCATACACTATTACCTGCCAGATGATTTTACAGCGTAGATTAGGCATTTTGTCCACTGATATATGCTTTCACCTTACAGGTTACGAGTGTAAACCTTTGGAGAAATGTTTATGTTGTTTATTCTGCATTCATAAAAATAATCGCTTTTGTCATCATACAATATGCGCTTCAGGGAACAAATTTGTTCTGCAAAACATCTTACTGCAAGCAATGAAGCCGGAATTTCGGAATCCCAAGTTTCTAAATTATATCAGAAGCAATACACATTACATGTATTCGTTTTTGAGTGACTTGTGGGGCTTTGATGTTTAAAAATGCCCAACTTTAGTGGTACTCTGTCCAATTAGAACAAATCCTTGTTGGCGAGGCGTCCTCTCGATCCGCCTTCGCATCTCCACCATTCAGAGTTACTTTACTTACTTACTTATAGGAGTGGGCCTATCGGCATTGGGTCACTTACGATGACTCCATTTGACAATGTGGATGTGTAGGCCTCACAAAGGCGAACAATTAACATAACGCTATTGTCCACTTAAAACATTCAAAATAAAAAAACGCAGATTTGCCAAGTAACACTTTTAATGTCATGATGAAGTTGAGCGGCACTTTTTATCACAGTAAAATACGTGATCAGTTAAAGTTAATGCATTAAAAGTCCGACAAAATACACTTGCATACTGCGAATGGCAGTATGATGAAAAGGATTTAGGCTTGATCAACTTACCCCCGCCCCTGACACCCGAGGCGAACCTCGATGTTGGACTGAAGAAGACCTATCAAAAAGGCCTTTGTGGAGTCTTCAAAGGACTCTGGAATTTGAAGCACCTAGAAATGCGATGGAAAAGTGCATGCACTAAGATAGCTCTGTCAGGCGTGACAATGCACAATTAAATCAGGGTCTTTGACAACCTCCTCATTTCATAAAATAACCGCATTGGTTGCATCTCAAGCCATATGAAGAAATTTATCCAGGTCGAAAGTAAAAGGAAGGTAGTATGTGCTCAAGCATCGTTGATTAGGTGAACTTTTTGACCTCCATCGGTTCTGTCATCACCTCAGCGCCCATCTCTGCGGCACCTTAGGCCTTTAATTGATCAGGAATAAACCTCTTGAGGAATGGTATTAAAGACTGCATAACTTTTGACCAGATTTCGGGACATTTAACACACAAGTATGTGTCTCCTGTATTTAAAGCACAAAATATTTACGACATTTGCTAATTTTGGAGCGACTGGAAACAAACTTAGCATTTTATTCTGCAGACACAAGGACCATCTGTTTGTTTTCAGGCAAGCAGATGTATACGTGAACTTTGGCTGTATCTTGATACATTTTATACAGAAATGTCGCATTTTTGCTTCACACCAACAAAGTGGGAAAGGTCTTTAGAAAAGTAGGAATGAATCTGTAAGACTTTTAAAACTGATGTTCCTGGTCTAAACGGAGACAGGTATAGAAAACAATGGGTTTTGATATCTGCCCTTTGCCACTAATCCATCGCTTTAATTTTTGCTCATACATCAACACTTTTGAATTTATTTCTTCATTTTTCTCTCTTTTCGATGGTATTTTTAAATGTCACTTTATTACATGGCGGATGCGTGAAAGGTCTCCTCCACTCACGAAACCATCACGACCAAACCACTTTCTTAGGTCATGAAATTACTTTATCATTAGAGCCTAATAAGTTACTGAAATGAAAAAATAGTAAGTATCTGATACCTTTTATCTTCCACTAGTGGTCATTAAGGGTTGAGAGCACCCGATACATCACTGGAGAAGTTGTGAGCGTTGTTGACGGCAGATTCATTTAACAGCGTTATTTGAAAGTTATTTTAAGGAATTGGCTTTACATCTCGAATCACATTTTCTTGCAACTGATTAGCTTCAGTCACGGAAATTTAAGAAATTGCAGACTTATGGGATCCCTGCAAAAGTACATTCGCGCCAGTAAGTAAACCAAAAATGAGAAGATAACTGCAGCTACACCGACTCTTTTGACTGAAACTGTTGTGCAAATAGGAAAAAGGAGGGAAGGAGATGTAAGGAAATAAGATTCTAAATGTCAGTAATGATGTGTTTTAGGAGCAAACTAAAAGAATAAGATTTTTACGAAGTGGAAGCAAAACAATCTTTTCTTTTGATTTCTACCTATACATATGAGGAAAAAGCTTTTAACTTTATTTCGCTCCCCTCAAGACCACTGCCACGGGGAATCTGAATCTCTGGTTCCACTAAAAGTAATTCGCTTTGGTAATGTCAATCTACTCTTCTGTGGGTAGGGAGTCTCTGCATGCATTCTTTTGACGCATATTTGCGCGTGGAATCCAAAGTCTGACTGTGATTTACACCATCACATGTAAAGGTCACAAGCCGAGCATGCCATCTTCATGTGAACGTGTGGGAAGACGAATGCATAGTCGAAGGTTAAATAGTTTTCTTTTTGGAATTTTGGAAGCAATTTTGTTTAAAACAGTCAATCATGATCACATTTGCGGTATTTCTGCTGCCACTTTAGGCTTTTCTCTTTTGTGGTTTAGACAACTGTTACTTTGACGACAATATTGTGGCGATCCATCCTGTCCCTCATTTATGCACCACACTGGCAATCCAACCGTAGGTTTGCCGTTACTTTTATAGCCCGCCCTAGATCTTACTAACACGCCAGTTTATTTCGTGGAGAAACCGTACGGTATGGCGTTACAGCAAGACAAAAAAAATTATACCGTTTTGGCTTGGAGAAGGAGGTCATCGGATCCCATTCCTCATGTATGCATTTGTAAAGAAACAACTTCTTTAAAACCGCTAAGCGCCCTCTAAAACGGCACTTTACTGCTGCTTCCCTACAATATTCGGTTTGGTCTAAAATGAGTGGTGCTTTCACTAATCTGCACATCGGTTTCTATGCTGTTTGCTGGTTTTCTGGATGGTCCACCACCTCACAAGGACGTCTGTTACAAGCCCTAACTCGTTTAATTCAGCAACTTCATCGAACTGCATAGTCTACGTTTCCATACTCCAAATACGTGTACAATAATTATTCAGTAAAACCCACAATTTTGATGTACTTATCGCATTTTCTCTAAGTTGGTTATAGACCTCAGGTTTATCGGTTTGAAAACAAGGAATGGAAAAGATTTTGGCCGCAGAGGTTTGGTAGCTTTAATTATCTATCATTTTCAGAAAAAAAAATGATAATTATTCAAGTTTTGAACTCGAACTGTCACAACTGAAAGCATTCAATCATAGCATTGTCAAAATCTCGCCTACATACACCCAGTAGTTGGTCCCTTTACAATGTCATCCTCTAAATACTGAACTTATGTGATGAGAGACATTGTAACACTGAAACCCAAAACAGCTGACGTATCGAACAAAATGAGACGCCAGCTGATTACAAAAGTTTATAACAGCTCTACTATGAGTTAATGGGGGATCATCAAGGGGAGACATTACGGTTGCACTTGTAGGTACTAAAAGATGATGCAAAAATCCCCTGCATCTTAGCCTCATGCCTCTCGGAAACGTCAGCAGGAGGCATTGTCATTCTAAAGTTTTTTTCAAAAGCCGAAGGTGCCCAGAATTCAAACAAATATTTGCATCTTTATGACAAGCGCCTTTCGCCCTGAAGTTGATGTGACTGGAGATTTTCAGTACCGCGCGATCTGCCGATAGGCACATGTGTTTAGCATGTTAAATAATTTAATCTGTTGCAAAAAACAAAACCATTTTAGATTTTTAAACCCTCAACAGATTAATATGCCTCTGAAATTTGAAGTCACGTAAAATGCATTGCATGAAAAACAGACTGTCAAATGTGCTTCTGAATTTTACATGCAATGCTACGTACCAACGCATTTTATTTCCTCCACTCGTCTCAAGGCAACTCCTTGAAGGGCGGTAATTGCTGTTAATGCGAAGCCAAAAAGGAAATGTTTTTTTGGCTGAGCTTTACTGCCGGTAACGACAGTATACAAGAAAAATAACACCAAATCCCTCCTATTTGATTTCAATATGTCGCATTTTTCAGCCACTTTTCCACTTACAAGATCAGTAAGACTTGTTGATTGGGAAGTTCTTTCTAAGCTAAATAAATAGTTAGGGCTTTACACAATGGGCACTTCCTTTATGAGTTATGAGCATAAAAGCTTAAATATTTATTAGTCATTATAAAACAGTACATATCTGGGGTAAATTTTACCTGATTCAAGCGGTTCTAGTTGTGGATGCATAGTCTTAATATGCATTCATATTCGTACTCTCAAATCCAACCCAGACAGACGCCCTTTCACATTCTCCCCGTGAGAGATGGTCTGATAACTTGTGAACACAACAGGTTTCCATAAAACCAATGTTCAGGAGAGAAAGAGGCTCCAGCACCATGCACTGATTAGGCATTCGTGACACAATCTTTTCGCACAGTGATGTTATACCTCTTTGCGGACGTAAGCTTCGACTATACTTGCAAAAAAGGTAAACTTTGATTGTTGCATATAAGGTCACCATTCAAATTCAATTGGTGATTATTTTCTGCTCAGGGTAAAGATGAATTTCAAACCACAAGTTCACTAATCCCCTATTATGTGAGAAGTCATGCTGTAATTACTTCCGTCGCGCATTCTGAAGGTTAAATCATAAGGAACTAAATTGTGGCAACTGTTCAACTCCGAAGAATTCTCTCACATAAACAGGCTCTATACTCACTCAAATCCGATCCTTTGATGAACAGGACAATTTAAGGGCATTTGCTGTATTCCTTGGTCGCTACCGCATAAAGACCTGCTCCAAAATGACCTTAAAAATCCGTCTACAACGTCGGGTCCTGAGTGGAGGATGAAAGCCAGTCGCTGATCTTTCTGTAGCTCTGACTCCTACTCTCGAGATGTTGGTTAAAAGAAGAAAGATACTTTAAGTCACTTAATTAGACAGAAATTAGAAAGTAAGGTTTGGTAAGGGTTGGTGCAGCGTAGGGTACGCCAACCATCATTTTACAGGCCTCATGAGTCCCCTGAAGAATTTGTCTTTCGTCCCCACCATGCACGGATTACGCCTCCGCAGTCACCAAGGTTAAACGCATTTATCTTTAACAGTTACTTACCAGAGGTGGTAGAAGCAACCATACATGTTCCTTTAAGTTATTATAGTAAAATGCGGTTTAAGCATCCACCATCCCCAAACTGCAATAAATGCTGTCCAAAAGTCAAAATTTGCTCGTCCAACTTTTAAGATTTTCATATAATAATCCACTTTTCAAAAAAAACTGTAACGTTTTATTCACCCAAATGGTCTTTCAAATGTGCATATCAATGGCATTTTGTCCCCAAATGACATAATCCACCAGTGCCATTACGCTCCTTTCTACTACATAAATTATTCCTTCAACTTGTACCCAAAAATGATTTGTTATTTAATGTCACTTGGTTGGTCATTGTTGGAGACCTTTCAATCAATTCTTCACCCTATAAATTATTTGCATTCAGCGTTGTTTAAGTGTTCTCTGCAAATAGCGCTGCTACAAATGGGGCATACTTTTGTCTCCCGTCGAACCCGCGAATCCGAGCATACCGTTAGGTCCGTAAATTTTCGGAGAACCAGGTTTCTTGCAAGTGTTTAAAGTGGAGGCTTTCATTTTGCCTCACCTTCAAAAGGTCAGTGTTAGTGTTATGAATTGTGCATTAATGGCAGTTGAGGAGAGTGACGTCTTACTGTCTTCTGCACTTGACTAGTTTCATTTGTTTGCGCGGTGCTCCAGTCAATGGTACAAAATGGAGCAGTCGAGTCGAGGTTTTGCTCCAAGGTAGGAGAATCGAAAATGTTGCAAAAGTACCAAAAATTGCAAAACTCTATTGTGACTTGCATAAACAAAGCCACTCTGATAACTTTGCATTGCATATTAGAGGGGATGACAGTATCACTCTGCTGTGTCACTAATGGAGTGGACAGTGGTCAAAATATTCTGCCCCTTCAAAACTACCTTCCATTAAAAGAATGCTTGCAGAATTTTTCAAAGAACAAACGCGTCTCATGTACTGCATTTTTAGCATCGCCAGCAGCCACATTGTGCAGGATTTGGGAAAAAAGGGTATCAAGAATCAGGGGAAAGCATATCGGGTACTCGTTAACAGTTTCTAGGTAAACGCAATTGACAATTTGTTCCATGGAGATAGCTGTTATTCCCACACTCAGTTCAGTTGACTGAAAAGAGCCCCATTTGGATTAGTAAAATTTCAAATACGCTAGTTACTGTAGCATCTAAACTTCTTAGTAGGCGGTGGACGAATGAAGATTCGAAGAGGTTTGTCACGTCAACCGTCTTTTTTGACAACGAAAATGAAGGAAAACTTTGTGTTTTACAATGTTCCTTATCGCTTCCTACATGAGGGATTGCTTTCCTGTCATGCTTGATACATCTCTGTTAAGTTAGCCTTGATATTCATGATGAAGTTGCATTTTTTTCTGCCTTTTACGGTCACTGCCATTTATTATGCAAAAGTCGGGGTTTAAAAAGATTTAAACCGCAAAATATTCAAAAAGGTGTCCAGTCTGCCTGCTGCTCCACAAGGGTAAAACTCCTTTTATGCCAATGCGCCACCACTGAATGACAGTCCACTCCTAAGGAATGCAGCAAATACTTCAGCATTTGCCTCCTATGTGTGTGATAAAGTTTATCCATTAACAAGTCATGTTGGGAGAAAATTTCCCTAAAAAACTATCCAAAACCGCTGAGCTGTGTGCTTTGAATGCCACATTTGATGCAATGCAATGCAATGACATGCAAAGTATCGTGATTTTGATGAGGCCGATTACATCAGGCTTGGCATTTTCTACAGTTCAAAGAAGAGCAACATTTTAAGCATCCTGATGACATTTGCTTGGATATAATTACAGAGAAGTGCATAAAGATTTGGCCAAGTTAACGATAACTTTGTGAAAGAATTCTTCTTAATTTCGACGAAAAATTACTGGAATTTCCAACAATGCTGAGAGGAACAATGGGAACGTGTTCATAAACCGCGACTGCAAAGAAAGCCAATTTAGCATACACCACAAATTCCCCTTTTTCTGCTTGCCAAAGGGCATCTCAATTTGCGTGCTTTTACCGGGAAAGCAGTCTTAAGTTAGTCTTATTAATGATGCTGCATACTTTTTGCACGCATCATTTGTAAAAAACCGGCTAAGTTGTGTCCGCGCTTGATTAAAAATTAATCAAAGGCTATCCAAAACACAGTTTAAAAATAACATCATGAAAGCCTTTTTAATGTTTTTGTTTCCATCCCTAAGAGTTTATTAAGGAGCTTTAAAACCGAGGCATTTCACTGGGAAGTAAATGGGCTTAAACCAGATAAGGGAGTTCCTTGACTTAAAATCCTTTGAAAATTTAGCTATTTTGGAATAAGAGAATAAACCAAGAGAATACTTGAGGCTAATGAGCAAAGAAGTGCCAGCTTTATTGCAACCGACTGCAGTAATCCTGTGATAGAAGGATACGAAAGTGCTCATGTAATGACACGTTGCTCAGCTCAGTTCAAGGCAGATTCCTTTTCCTAAATGAAAAATGCGGATTAAAAAGGAGACATGTTGGCGCTTGGCGAAACACTAATGGCATGAAGCATGGTGATCCATCCCGTTTTGTAAGAGAATAATTGAACGCCCCACCTTTTGTTGCATCTATATACCCTTAACTTTGCGCCCGATATGTCCGAAAGTTGACAGGACCAGCCTCAGCCCCATCTTACCGGACTTACTTGTGGTAATAAGTTTGTGAGCCTGGGAAGAAGGCAAGTGGACGTTGGTCACTTATGAACTGTAGGTTTTGCATGAAGTCAACATCTTCATCCGAGAACATCCAAATACTACCACTTTACTCGCATTTGACCCTTCAAGTAGACCAATAGGAAAGTGAAAAGTCTTAAGTACCCCTTGTGAATCCACTGTCACCTCAGAAGTCCACTCAGCGCACCACAGCGCAAAGAAGATCTTTCGAAACTTCCAAAAAAAGGCTGCTTTGCATCCTGGCATTTTTAATTCCTTTTACTGCTTCTGCAAATCCCTGAACACTGTCAGAAATCATCACAGTGTTGCTAGATTGTGAATTCCAACTGGTCTGGTGTAACAAAGAAAGCTGTTTGTTTCAAAATAGCGTGCTCTAAAACGGGAAGCGCTTGTCAAAACATTGTCTTCATTTTGTTGAGCACTGATTATCAGACAAAAGCAAACCAAATTTACTTTTCCATTTTCAAAAACAGTGCCTAATGGTTTCTGCAAATCTTTCAGTTGGATAAATGTGGATTATTTTCAACTTCCATTAGCATGTATAACTTAAATTTGAGTGAAGTTGCCATTTTTAGTTTCAATTAGTTCGTTATGAAGGGCAGCACTGCAAAGGAAGGAACACGATGCCAATTCAAAGGAACTTTTACGGAAGTGACCTTAAATCACATTTAGCTGATTCAGTGGGAAGTTATTATCGAGAGAGAAGGAAATCAAATTGAGATAAATTGGCTCTACAAAAGTGCATCTTAAGAGTTTTTAGAACATGTAAAGAAACACCAAGAAGAGGTGAAGCAATGTCTAAGAACAACCCTATCCAGCTTGCCAAGAAGTAAGTCATGGCGACAAATTAAGTTCCCTTTTAAAAAGTGTTTGTCTTTTCCGAAATCTGCGCACGAGTTCGACATCTGTTTTTTAGCGAGACTTCTAAGGTGTTTTTGAAAGCATGATTTCCGAAGAGTCGGACAGTTGTGACGCTAGTTGACATTCAGAAAGGATAATCATGCTCTTGTTTTCATGCATTTCATCACTGTTAGACTATCTTTGACTTCCCAAAGCCAAACGACAACATCGTAGTGAATTTTATTCCTTTTTAAGTGCACAAAATAGCAACTACATGCAGACCACATTTAGTTTGATAGCATTTGGGGCATTTTATGATAAATCCTATAAAGACGTAGCAATCTGTTTTAGATGACAAAGTAATGCCCTGTTTCGCTATACTTTATGAATCAATCAAATGTTTTTCAGAAGGGTCGTATGGCGCCGCGTTTAGCAAATTTTCTACAAAATTGAATTTATATTAAAATACTCATCACAGAACTATTAAAGGGGCACAACTTGAAGTTGAGTGACAGTCCTCCAACGATCTCCCTTCATTTGAATCATTTGTAAAATTGACTCACTTTAGTTTGCCGTGAGTCTGCCTCCCCAGACTGCCTGTGCCGCCACCTTCTCATATGAACCAGTGAAGGTTCAACCCAAGAAGCTCGTTAAAAATTGCGGTAGCATTAAGTAAGTACCCAAAATGTGAGTACACATAACTTTTACAATAAAGTGAAAGTGGATTTCGAATGAAAAGTTTTGTCCTTCGATTTATTTCAGACTGTGATGATACTTCGGACAGGTGACTGGGTGCAATGAAACCTTAGCAAAATGGAGCTACAGTTTTGTTTCAATTCATTAAAGCAGGTGAAAGTTATTACTTTAGTGAGAGTCCAATGTTGGCCTTGGTGACCGAAGGCCATCCCATATTATTACTCGCTGACTTCATTCAATGTACTCGGAGCGTAAGAATAGCCGAGGAGGACCCTGACAACACCAATCACATTAGAGTCAAGCGATATGATAATGTTTGAATGTACTAATCTATGCTGCCTTGTTGGTGCCGCACTAGTGATATCATTAAAACGACCTTTAAAAGTACAAATTTTCCGCTTTTAGAAGATAAACAGAAGTATGTTCGTTTGAGAGCATTAAATCTGTGCATGATATTAAAATCACTCCTGTGAAGTGGCAAAATTTACTTTTGACATAAGCGTCGACAATGCAGCGATACCAATTCTTAAGGAATTTAAGGTGCTCAAATGATCCAAAGGTACAATTTCTTTTTGGGTTGCAAAGCGCTAGTAATGAAAATACAAATGGGTCTATAATAAGGGAGCAAAATAAAACTAATTTACGTTTGAGTGGAACTCAGTGATTAGGTCCATGCTTTTTTTGCATTCAAACAAATCCCACCTTCTGCCTGCCAATTGGGGCTTCGCAGTAGCGCCTTTTGCTGGTGTGTTGGCGGAAGGGAGATGAACCCACGAGGAGTTTGTAGACAGTACAGCCAAGAGAATACCAGTCAGCGGAGAATGCATAGGGAACGCCTTTCTGCAAAACCTCTGGCGCCATGTAACCCTGCGTGCCCACCGCGGCCGTGGGCCAACTCTCGGACACATCACAAGCCAGTCCAAGATCGCTTATCCGCACGTGACCACACTCGTCCAACAGGATGTTTGCAGGCTAAGAAATGTTGAAGTACTACCTAGACACAATTACCAGCAATTTTCCATCATCAACGATAAAGCGACGTTATTTTTTTAATTTATAAGGCCGCAAAGAGATAACTGGCAACAAAGCTTCTGCCTTAGTTCATGAGGATCTTAATAGTTCCCGCCATTCGATCACCACGCTTGAAGGAAGTAAAAATGTATATTAAACTTGATTTTATGGTGCTCTTTACTCCATTAAATGATTTTGTTCTACCATTATGAGTGCACAAAATTTGTCTTCTGTTGAACGTAGTGCATTCTTTGGCAGCGCGTGGCAAATCAACATCAGTAGTGAGTTGAGGAAACGGAATCTACGTACATCGTCATCGGTGAACTTTAACTTTTCCCATGATGGTTGAAAACCGTTCTTTTCGCATGAGTGAACTCAATGTAACTGGAGTACAAGAGTGGCAGCAATGAGCGTCAAGAACGGAACTCAAAAGCAATATTTTTTGCTGACCTACGAGAATTCTCTGCCCTCTGCTTCTAGGCTCCAAGGCTAAAGACACAACTGCATTTTCATGCCTATGAGGGCAGCTGCTTTTAAAACCCCTCCCTGTGAGTTTACAATAAACACGCTGCTACCCTAATGTCTTCAGGAATGGCTCGGACATTATACTACCAGCACAGATAATAAATTCATCCCATTCAAAATGTCATAAGAGGTGGGCATCCGTTAGGGATGGTTGTGTTCGCAGAGACTCACAGCATAAGAAAGACCAAAAAGGTGTGAAGTATGACGATAGGAAGAATCTGCCAAAATAACACGTCTGACTCCGGACATTAAAGCAACGTAAAAGAATTAATCAGCTTAAGCATCCATTCCGTTCGGTATTTATTTTTGCCACCTCTATTTGCATGCAGAGGTGTAGGCAAATTTTTAGTGCCTTCTTTAATATTAGTCCAACTGGACCACCAGAAGTATCAGCACATATTACTAACCATTCCAAAGTTCAAAATGCCAATTTGATTCCATATGTTAAAGATGTCTCTCCAGACTTTAGGTCCTGCTGTCATCTTCTAAATGCTTCCGATACATCGCATTTTGTGTCATACGTAGACTGACGACTTGCGGCAATGTCTGACTTCACTACATGAGAGTGATTTAATTTCACTGCAACTGTTATGTGCTTCTGATTTGTCATATGTTTAAAAATTAATTAACAAAACAGAGACACCCAGCCAGCTTCATCTTCTTCTTTTGTGGCTCTCTACATGGTTATCAAAGCTTAGAAGGTCTTCAAACCAAGCGCATAGACGTCTTACCTAAAATCTACACAATTTTCATGCTACGGAAAAAGCAACGCTCCCAGTCATGCTAGGATCGACGGTGTTTGTCACTCTGAACATAAATTATCCACTTTTAAAAACCTCAGTAAAAAACATTTAGTCTTCGTTTTGTGTTCCCTTTAAACCGTATAAAGCTTGTTTACTTAGGATGACCACCTAAAATACCTGCCGAATATTTACAATTCCAAGCAGAAATTGCCCATGAAATATGCAGGCAATTAAAGCGATGTATTAAAAACCATTTTTGGAATCTAATTTGAATTCTTCAAGAAAACTGTTGCATTGTCGGATGCGTCGCTGATTGGCAAAACTACTTCCACAACAAGTTCAAAATTCAAGATAATCGGGGGACGTGTTTTCGCATAACACTCAACACTTTATCGTCGGCTACATCAAGCGTTGCTAAAACATTTTTCCATGGTTACCACGGCGCCTTTTGCTTAATCAATGAATTTCTGCAAAATATCCTTCCAATTTAATTATTTTTTTAAGGAAAAGCCAATCGGAGAGTAAAATTGGAGGTGAGCACGGTGGAAAATGATGCAATAGTTGATGGCGAAAATATATTTATTCTGATGCGTAAAAAGAGTTGCTAACCTTCCTGTGCTTTGAATTTCTGAGCAAAAATTATGCAAGAGCTGAATGTTTGGAACAGTTAACGTAATGGGACCAAACTATATACTACTCTGGCAAAAAAGAGGGTGCTATGAAAGTGGAGGTTACCTTTAAGTCGCGATATACAATATTTCTCTCGTGCATGTGCTGCAGTCCAAGAATTATCTCGGCAACGTAAAATTTCACATCATCCTCGTTGAAGGTGCCTCGTTGACTAAGGTGGTAATTCAGATCTCCACCGTTCATCAAATCCAAGATGAAGCAAAGTTTTTCGGGTGTTTGGAATGCGTAGGTCATGCACACTATGAAAGGCGAGGCGTCCTGTTTGAAAGAGGAAAGGGTTTAACATGTTAGACCACACTTTTTACCAGTAGTATTATAGTTTTGTGGTATCCAGCCCTCTTCTTTCTTCGAGAGTAAATCAGACTAAGTAGCAATGAGTGCAATTTGTTATGATAAAGACGTTGAGTTTCTGAATGAAGTGATTTATTCAGCAGGAGGGACTGGAATTGGGATGGCGGTGCCTCAACAACAACCCAGCGACAAGACAAATGAACTCAACAAAAACATTATCGAAAACAAAATTTAATCCTGATTAACGAATACTGAAGGTAATGCACGACCTAGGAAGTAAAACCATTCTGACATTTCACTCCTTCGAGCTCGCCAATTTTTTATTAATTCTGTCAGTGCAACTTAGCGCTTTAATAATTTAAAATTGCCCATTAAAATCAATCTTGATAAGGGGACAGTTTCAGAGCATTTGATGGCTATTCCAGCAAGCAGTTTGGAAATGCAAAGGTTGACGGCGCATAATCACAGTTGTTATTAGCAAATCGAAGCACATTCTTAACCGACCTGTCTCGTTTCGGCTCGCCTGCTGACCGAGTAGAACTTCTTCCCTACACCAACTAACTAAAGTCGTTTAATGCTACTCAATTTCGTAAAGCGTCCTCGAATCCACCAAACGACACGCAACGCTCCAGCTTTATTTCATATCTGGTTCAAATGAACAAACCTTTTATTGTTCCCGGCCAGCTATGTTTTCTCCTGTCAAAAATTATCGAGCATTTAACTATATCCGGCCTTACTGTTTCCCCAAACCCTGAGCGTAGATGTACTGTCGTATTGCCGAACCCGAAAATTGTGAGGCAGAAGACTGTAAGCCCAATTCTTAGCTCGTTCTTTGGAAGTTGCTAAGTTACCAAGCCATTTGCACATTAGCATCTGATTCATTTATGAAAAAAGTGCATAATTTTTTGCAGATAATGTCTCTCGCCCACAATGGTATGTGGATATTAATGTAAATTTGTAGAGAACTCTCCCCATTTTCTCTGCTTTAATAGTGTTTGGCGACTTACTTACAGTTATGTAAGTGACTTAAGGACAAAATCAACAGAGCACTCTAAAAAGTGTCCCCTTTTACGTCTAATCAAAGGGATCAGTTTGTTTCTACGATTGTTGAGAAGAGCTCCTCTTTGCTTGCATTAACGTCAAATAAGGCATAGAAAACAATTTTTCAAAAATATTGTTGTGACATCACCAAGTTCCTGCTATCCGCCCCCCCCCGTTTTGTCAGTCCGATTTAACGTAGTCAGGGCAATTGTTCAGAAGTGCCTTTAAAATGGACATCCATCATTTATCCTACGAGCCAATTTAGAGTACCGCCAACGTGATTCCTATCCGACCACTTTAAGCGGCTCCAGTCTTTACAACTTCATTTCCTTTTATTTTTACCCGTCGCTTGCATATTTCTCATTCGCTCAATTCTGATTCGTTTCGTTTGCCTTTCCTCTTGATCGTAAAGGACCAACACCGTTCACCAATTTTGCTACAACACTAAATTAAGGGATAAATGCAGAGTGCTTGTACGATGCAGAAAGCCTTTCATGTGATAGAATGATGCAGTTTTCTCCACAAAGGAATTCGGAAAAGCAACAAATGTTCAGTCGGCTAGATGTGTTCAAAAGGCGAAAATTCGCCTCTCCCGCCGATGAATCAGATTGGAACATGCTATACAATTATTGTTAGTGAGTTCGCTAATGCTAATTTCAGTCTCTTTTCTCGCCAGTTAGAAACCAAGGTCTGATTTACTAATGGCATTTCTGTGTTTTAGTGGCAATTTTAATGTCTTCAGAGACGCCTAAAGTTGCTTAAGGCTATGTTTTCTGAGAAAAAAAATACGAAGAATGCATGTCTAATGTTATTCTACAGTAGTTTTTGAGCAATGAATGCTGCGCCGTGTTTATGGGCATCAGAAGTGATCGAGCATGAAGCACGTGAAATGTTATGGCTTTTGATCTGAATGATTTATTTCAGGTTAGTGGTTTTCAAGAAGCAGCACTAACGACTGATGCTAGTGATGAAAAGGAGTTCAGGCCAGCATGATCGCAAAAAAGAAGCTATTTCGAACTGAAATTTCGGCAAAATTTTTCACACGGGGTGAAAAAATGCTCAAAACTCATTTTATGTGCGTTTGCTGTTTATGTAAAATTAAGTAGTTGTTTCCCCTTAATCTCTTATTTTGCTCCATCCATCTCATGTGAGGCAAATCATCAGCGGGAAAGGCGCGGTTGTGTGTGCATCGCAGATGAAGCTGGATCGACGGTATGTCAAGGAGCGCGACAACAAAGGCGATATGGGAAAGACAAACTCACCCCAGAGCTAACTCTGGAAAGAATAGTGCGCTCGTTAAGGGCCATCGACTCGCCGGATTTGAGCTTGATGCGTTTTTTGTCGAGACACTTCATTGCGTACCTGAAAAAGTGATTTTGTCAGTTCTCTCTTAGTTCGGCTCAGCATCGACAACTCTTCGCATGAAACATCGAGGACAATTTTAATCCAGTTCACCTTGAAGCATTTAGAAGGTAGTTTTTGACTTAGTTTCCTCAATTAATGTTTCCTCCAGTGAAATATATGTTTTTTTTTAAGTTACTACTTCAATTTCAGTCTTTTTACCCTCCGACCAAAACCGGTGATTACTTTGGTAGAAAACGCTTAAAGTGTCTTTGCCTAAACTGCCGTGGGAATAGTTCAATTCCTTAGCTGCTTAAAAGCATGTTTAATTTATAAACGTGATATTGGTGGCTTTGGCCTTACACCCGCCCAGGGTTGCATCATCGTAACACCCTGTGGCTGGTTCACAAATACGCCACACATTCTTCCTCTGCTTCGAATAACTAATTGCGCCAAAGTACTTTGCAATTGCATCGGCTTAACTTTAACACTGTAACAGATGTAATGCAAAAGTTTTCATTCTGTCCAATTCCATTAGTGCAAAAAAAGATTTGCTGTCGGTCATAGTATCGTTATTCATTATTTTAACTTGATTTGTGCTTAATGACGTTTCGATTTTTGAAAAATACAGTAGATAACCAACATTTTCAAGTGTACATTGAATGCGTCATATGTTTTCTCCCTCCTAAACATTTGCCGTTTAATGAGCTAAAAATCGCTTCTTTATCAGAGTCCCTTATGCCTGCTTTTCATTCATACTGCCATTTGCTGCAGCCCTCTTGGCGAGCATTGCGTGATGTGGAAAGAGTGGGTCGAAGTTCCTGTTGTTTGCCCACTCTAAGCCTTGTTTATTTACCTTCTGCATCTACGTGTCTAGTTAAGCAGGAAGTTTACGCTGGTAAAAGAAATGAATACTCTGTAGCCCTCTGGGAGTGCATTGTTTACAACTAAAATCCCAAATTAAGCAACCCGGTTAATAAGTAGCTTTAAAATTTAGCTTTTTCAATTGCTCATTTGATTGGCCGTTAAGTCGGAAATAAAAAGCACATGTCACGCAATGTGCAAGCTAAAGTGAAGGTTACTGGACTAAAGTAGCCATTTCTCAAATAATGGCTTCCAAAGTGGAGTGCATTGATTATCCCCCTATTTTCAGATGGAGCATAAACGTGTTGCTGAACCAACTCCGCAAACAACACAAGGCACTCTCTTTTGGAGCTTTGAAGTTTAACTGTAGAAGAGAAGTATCGTGTCCTAGAAGAGTTTGATTCGACAAATTCCTAAAGATAGCCCCAACTTAAAAATTTCCGGGTGTTATAAGAACATGGCGTGAGGAAGAGGCGCAGTGCTTATAATGGGGCAGAAGAGTCATTATCCTGATTTGCCATGGTGGAGCAAAAATGGACGCTAGCAGACTCAAGCAACGAAATAATAGTATCGAGAGGAGCGCGTTGACAGCTGGAATAGCTTCCCAGTGCTCTTGTACACAAAGAGGGAGGATGACCATTTGCTTACGCCTCTCACTGTATCGGCTTTGCTCCTAACAAAAGACTTATCAACCATGACCAAATGTAATGATGGAAGTCTTTGCATTTTGTCACTTGGACAAAGTAGACATCTCGTGAGGAATTAGGCTACTGTTAATTTTGAGGTCAAAAAAAAACAGCCTAGAAATCGGGCTCTTCAACAGCACTGGCTATGCATTGGTCATAATCACCCTGTTCCCCATGGACACCGTTCTGTAATATCCTTGAAAGTTTCAAAAACATATCCTTAGAAGCATCTTTGAGCACAGACAAGATTTTTTCAGGTATTACCTTGCAACACATTGTCAAGTCCATTGCAGCCTTTAAGACCAGTTGGATTTACTGCCTTGAAAAACACATTTTTGAAAACTGAAGTAACCACAGAATTTTTTGCCACCGAGAGTTACAATCAACTTGAGACTGATTAAAAACGAATCGTCGGCATTTGCAAAGCCCACTGCTTGGGAACTAAAGAGGCCTCTGAATTGATACTTAAAACAATTGGGACTATTTACGAAGGACGCGAATGTCTCGGCAACTGAAGCACTGAACTACTTGCAGCAATGAACAAACAAACAGAGTTAGGTGCCTTGCGTGTTAATACTTTAAAACAGTACATAACTCTTCAGAAAAGTTCCTTCTTTAGGACATCGTTTAGTCTTTCAAATGTCGAATGACTGCTATTCGAACAGTTTCTAAGTTGGTGGCAAATTTTACAAAATAGCTTAAAATTAAAAGAAAACACAAATATGGTAAAGAGAGAACCCTTTAATTTGAGCAAAGGTCTGAACGATGCTTGACATACACCTTCACAGGATTTTATTAGTCGCTTCCCGGGTTTTGATAAACCGCAACAATCGGTGGCTGAGAAAATGCGAGAGGTAAACGGTAGCAAACCGGAAGTGCATTACATGGGAAAAGTATGGCTTTTGCATACGCACAATCAAACACTTTAACCAACGAAAACACCTTTTTTTCGCAAACGGTGTAAAGCGATGAGCTCTCGTTTTGTCTGCGTTTCGTCAAGTGAGGGCAGTTTGTAACTTCGTCCAGCACAAAAGTTGTGCAATGGGACGAGGTCAAAGTGGGGGTAAAGTGATGGGACAGAAGTGGAGTTAGCGGCGAAGGCTGAAAGGGAAATGACCAAGGACTCTATTGCACAGAGTGCCAAGACTGAGTGAAAGGCAGTTTAGATAAAAGTCGACCTGACTAAATTCAGTGGCTACGGAAGGTATGGATAGAGCCGCAACTTATACTTCTTCTCATCTTTCTTCTTCTTTTGGGAGAGTCATTCGAAAGGGTATGGCGGTCTCATTCAATTCAAAATTTCCGTGCTCAAATTTTCAGCAGGCAGAAAATGATTTTTGGGAACCAATTTAAGCAATGAAGACTACTCCTTTATAGCCTCTTTGCCATATTTCAGTTTTGTGATTTGCAAATGATTTTTTTGCGAACACGCTTACCACGGTTCGAGTATAGCATTTTTTACTAGCTTATTTTTTGGTGACTTTTAGGCACCTCAACTTCGGTTGTTTCCTTGTGATGAAAACTCTCTCAAATGTAACAAACGCGGGTAAAAGCCCGAAAATTGGGGAGCTGCGCACAAGTGGCACAATGTAATGAAAGTCAGATTTCAGTTTTGTGCGAAGACAAAACAAGTGTAGTGACAACTTGAAACATCTGGAAGGTCAATCTGTAACTTTCGTTTCTGTGACAAAGCAATAATATTAAGCATTTGGTGTTTATTTAAATTGCTTAGCGTGGCCTTTTAGGAAGATTTATATCTACATTTTTCGAAAACATTACCAAGTTGGTCAAGTTAAAGCAACGGGAAATCCTGAATCCAATCGTCACTTAGCCCCTACGAGCAATGTCAAAATTACAATGCGCTTCATTTCAATAGCAAGGTGTTTTAAAGTGCTTCACTGCCACATTCCCCTCTCTAGGAAGGCAACACAGACTCGAGATTATAGCCAAGTGGTGATTTGAAAGCGATTCGTGCCCATATGGTGAGGTGGATTAAAATTTTTTTGCCTCTTCACTGTCTTAAGGCATTCTAACCAAAGTTCAATAGAACAACAAGATAAACTTCCATCAGAGGTGTTGTCAACTGATCTCTGCCCTTGTTTCAAAGCCAAAACTGCGTGACTCCAAGCCATCTTGAAAAGCTTCGTAAGGGATCGTTACTTTTAGCTGCAGTTGTACTCCATTTCTCGGATAGATTTAGAAATGTGCATTCCAGTTATGGTTGCAGTGTGTAGGCTACTAAAAGTTTCCGGAGAAAACTGCGTTTGAACACGCCTAACGTTCTATTGTCCGAAGGAATAATCCAAGCGATGCTCTCAAATGAAGGAGGCATAATTATTCTCAGGTCAGGGGGTGCAATCACTTACTAGGAGTCGATAAAATGGACGTGTCATTCAGTTATGTCTGTGAGCTTAAATAACGAAATCAGGGCGTTGCCTACATGCGACGTTGGTAGTAGTTAACGTGTTACTAACAAAAGATGATAACAGCGCCTATAGAAGCTTTATAAGCCTTTTGTTAGCACAGTGTAAGTAGCCATCGGACATTATTTTATGTCCTATCGTAAAGTAGAAGAATTTCTCACAAAATGAACTTCAGGTCAAGTTTAAGGAAAGGAGCTGGCCTTCCACCTCTACAATTAGACCATAGTAGTTTCTTCTCTGTTTCAAGGGACTCGTATTTGAGTTACGTTTTGGGCAATTTGTGCTTAGCAGCATGTTTAGAGGTAACAAAAGAGGTGCATCTATGGCCTTCAGAGACGATGAGTGGGCGAGCTAACAATCCACCAGAATCTTTACCTGCTTAACAACATTTATCAAGAAGCGTGAGTAGCTTCTTCAATTCCTTCAGCATTTTGACCACTCATTGATAAGGTTGCTGGCTGACTTCCCAACAACGTCTGCGACGCTGAAATAATCGGATTAGGTTCCTCCATCCAAATGCACGATAAATTATAATCATTGGACATTCCGATCTAATCTGGTTTCTGCTTTTTAAGATAATGCCTGCAGGCAGAAAGAGACCACGTTTAGGCTCTCAAGACCCACAGGCTTGGACTGGCCTGGCTACAGCGTATGGAGGAAACGTTTCAATCATTTGATAAAGTTTTTAGCTGATTTCATAAGTTAGGTGTGGTTTGCTATGACCAACCAAATAGTCAAACTTGCGAGCGCACCCTTGGAAGATCACCGCTGTTTAAAGTGGCACTAAAGACTGTTGCCGTTCTGTAGAAGAAAAATCGTCTCAAGCATAAAATTCGGTATGATTTTACGTAGTTTTGAGAATTTTCCTACGAAATGACAAATAATTCGTGGACACAGAGTATGTTTATTCGATTGTTAAAAAATATAGCTTTAGGCGACTGCAAATTGTCAGTTTCAATCAAAGCATAATTTGAAATTCCTGTGAAATAGAAAAGGAGGAAAGAGGAGGGCAGGATGTGGACCTGACTTCCGATTGCAAAACACACCCTGATGACCTTAGACTCATCGAACGTAAGTTTGTTTCCTTTTCATCAAAAAGGAGAAAAATAGGACTTTTCCTAGCCGAGCAAAAGGCTCAGATGTTTGCTAATACTTGATGGCCTGATTAAAAAATACTTGCAACCATACGTCGTATGATCTCCCTCTTTATATCAACCTCAACCGGGAGTCATAAAAACAGACAAAATCATGACAGGTGGAGTCAGAAATGTATTTTCACGGCATAGCCAGAGTGCAGTGCAGTCGAAAGCAAATAAGTGACGTTATTTCTGGTGTTACCATGTTATGGACTGGTCTCCCCATTCTTGTATTCTAAAGGTGCATTTAACGGCAATGGTGGGCACCCACACATCGTTAATTTGAGTCCCTAAAAATTTGGCTTTACTTAATACTTTGTTCCTCGACTGCATTTTCAAGTCAAAAGTGCGGCATTTTGCGGGACCGTGATGATTTAGCAGCCACTTTTCCAGAGCATTTCGTTCTACACAGGAAGAAAATTCTCAAAAATGCAAGTGCTAACTGAAGATAATAACAAAATCACACGCGTATATGCACTCCTTGTTACGAAGGTTCCCTTAAAAATAATTCCTCTTTTGCATAAAATGGTGTCCAAGTCTCACCTTCGAGTGGGTAACAAAAAATCGAATTTGTTATGGCTAACTTTTATATTTTGCACAAACTATCAGACGTTTTTTTGTACTTAAATAGACACCATGGGATTTCCAGGCCAAATTAAAGAGAAACACTTCAGAAAGTCTGAGCAAATGGACCACTTTTATGAAAGCAAACCCTACTCAACCACCTAGGTGTTCGGTCCTCCTTCCTCCGATAGAAGTGAAATCCTCCCTTTGAAAGCGAATTCAAGTTGGTAATCAGCAGCCCCATGCTTGTGGCAATTACGAATTTTAAAAAATGTGCTTTGAAGCTCTCATCCTAATTAAAGTTCGGCGAAGGATGGAGCTTCTATTTTTCTTACCTGATGATGTCAAAAAGTTATCCGCTTAGCTGATTGTACTCAGCAGCTTATCGAATAGCTGCATGCATCATTTTACAACTTTATTCCCCACTGTTGTTGAGTAAGCAGGAATGGAATTCACATTGGTTGTTGGTCTGACCTCTACCATAGAAGACTTGTGTTACTCAACCGTGTCTCGGTCAGGTGACCTATCAGCAGTTCTTATGACGTCTAGACACGTCATTTCGGTGGCAGCCAATAGTTTTGGCTTTGGCTAGGTACTTACTTAAGGTCACCCTGAATACCCTTGATGGACAGGCCAAGATGTCGAGGAAACCTAACTAATATCAATCTTGCTTAATCATGTTTTTGTAATAAAAAGGGTAAAATAAAATGGGCGTTCGAAATGACGGTGATAGTGTATAAACCACTTGACCGAAACACGAAATTCATGGAACCGGGACTATCACTTCACTTGATAGCAAAATACGAAGTGATCAAAAGCGTTAAAATAAATGCAAAAATTTAGCAGAACATGTATTTAAAAATTACGAAATAAATTTGTACTTCAAAAAGTTCAATCGAAAATACACCTTCTCCTCTGTCTGTCAAATTCGCGTTAGTTTGCATCTTACAAACTCTCATAAATGACTGTAAATACCATCAAAATTTTGCCACTTTTGAATGCTTCTGCAAATAGCCTCGTCAATCAGCATCTTTTAAATGCTCGTACTTTACTATAAGTAAACGTCTCCCACATTGTAAATATTCTTGTAACCCACTCATTACATTTAATTTGGAATTTTGTGCATAATTTGGTGCCGGCTCATAATGGTGCTTTGTTATTTTACATTTAACTAAACTCAGATAGGAAAAATCTTAAAAATTAGCCAGTTTCTAAGCTAGTAAGGTGGTCACTTTGGCATATAGAAATTTTCGCAAACTTACATCTTTCCTGAATCAAGTTTCCTACAACCGTAAACTTCTCCGAAACCACCTCTACCAATAATTCTATGCACACTGAAATCCGACATCGTCAACTAATTTGAAAAAACAAAATTATTTTTAGTTTATTGAACTTGAAAGCTCATTAGAACTGCAGAAAAGACCTACGGTAGTGTTAAGTTGCACATCCATCCACTGCAAGTAAAGAGTGAATTGCTTGCTAAAAAAATGATGATTTAATTTGGGAACTCACCTTTTTAAAAAGGATTCGTAAAAAACATTTTTGATATTTCGCTTCAAGTCATCCACATAGACCTAATGTATACTACGTTAATGAAAAGCAACGCGGTTACCGAAAAGAGTTTGCGAGAAACAGAATTACACTTCATTCCCTCAGTTAGCTTGTTCTGTACACTTTTAACATGTTCTGAAGAAAATGGCTAAAAGGATATCAAAAAAGTAAGACGAAATACATGAGCTTTTGAAAGCAATTCCTTCATAATATAGGTATCGTAGACACGCTTGGCTTCCTTAACACGATCACACTCGGAGTCAATGAGTTCAAAATCCTTAATCTCGAAAAAAAGAAATTGAATCAAAGGAGCATACTGCTTCATAAAATTCGATCAAGTGAACATCTGGGGACTCCTGGGCTTTGCAGAACTTGACAAAAAATATAAAGCCTACATAAATAAAGCTAACAAACAAACGAACCCAGTCGATCGTGAAATATGTCTTCAAAATTTATTTTTCCATGTCTTCTTAGGTAGGAAACCATAACACTTCGAATGCTATAGTCAAATAGAAAAACATGGACAAGCTACCTTGAGTCGGGGATAATATTTTTTTTAGGAGCCTTGGTGGCAACGTTTTTGCTTTTTTCCATGGCCATCAAGTAGCTCACATCTGCAAGCACAGCTTCAAGATCAGACATTATTATTAACGGTAAAGTGGAAAAGTGTCAATCACTACATTTTAGACACCACTTTAAAAAGTGCCATTGGTGGAACTAGCGAAACTGCATAAGTTCGTAAGGTCGCCAACATATATGCCTCAATTTTCTATTGGTTTAACTAAACTCAACTGTTAATTGGTCAAAGCAAGGTTAGACGACAGATAAAACAAGCAAAGAATGAACCAAGTTATGAGGTAAAAACTTTAGGATTCCCAGAGTTCAACAATCGGTCAAGCGGTAATAGATGTGTAAAATCATTTTTAAGATAGGCACGTGCAATATATTTGCAAATTTACGGTTTCCTAAAGCCGTTAAATGCACACAGTTGGCAAAAGGAACCCGCATAATGATAGTAGCGCGATCATAAGTATAGCACAAACAAGAGAGGAGAAATGGTCATTAACGTGATGGCATTTGTCACCGGTAATAAGTTGTAGCCCACTTCTTAACAGTGAATATTAGAAGGCAAAATTAGTGACTGAACGCACATTCAAAGAAAGGTTAGGAAAATTTGTAATGCTTAGAGGTTTCACCTTAGGTTAAATAAAGCATTAGTTTGAACTGCATGAAGGCGCTCTAGGGGAAGAGTGAGAGGTTGGTGCCTAATTTGGCCCGTAGTCTAATCCACTTACCTAAGAGCAAAACAAACGCTGAATTATCAGTTTGACAAACAGGTGTTGCATATACAAAGTACTGTATTGCCACTCCGTTTTGAGCTGTATCGTCCTTCCTTTCGTTGGTAAACTTCTTTCCATTGCGATTACTACGAATTCGATATTGCGAATATGCACCCACGAGCCAGCCCTGCCAGGCAGGCCCACGATTTAGGCCTGAGAACAAGAAATGGCAAGTCACAGGTGTCGCCATAGTGCCATTTCTGTCTTCAATGAGAAGCTGTAATACGAAGTGGTATGATGAGTTTCTTTTCAGATGTTTTTGAAAGGCGATGTTGATTTTGTCATTGGTAGCTTGTTTGTGAAGCAATGGACTAGGTGAATCCCCATGCGGACATCATTCTCATTCCTTCTGTTGTAAAAATTTGAAGTACCTCCTGCTCGGTGTGTATGCCCTTTCATTAATCCTTTGGTATGTGTCACAAGCGTTGATGCTAGAATTGAAGTCTTCATGAAGGAGGATTTTGCTTCCTTTCGTCACTAATAAGCTCTCATTAAGTGGAAAAGTACATTAGGCTAGGGTGAATACATGTATTATTTGAGAATAATAAGGGACTGTTCTTTGCATTTATAATGCTTTGTTCATGTCGCCACCTGACGTTTTGCGGTCACTTTTAGGTATATCTGGTCCTTGTACGTGTGGGCTGGCCCTCAAAGCATGCTCAGACCCTGTCACTTGTTCTCTTTGTAATACATGTATCTAGCTTCACTTATAGTCCTCTTCCACCCTCTGGGAAGGCTCGGGACGCTTCACTAATGGCAGCAGAAAGCGAACCCGCCATTTTTAACGACTTATATCCTAGTGCGCAACGTTCGTTGCGTTCGGCCATTCGGAATCCTTAAGTGACCGCCAAACCTCATATGGTCACACAAACAAAACATTACAGTGTCCCTCTCTTCTTTTGAGCGATGCCCTCGGCGATCCCCTTTGGTATATTTCCCGCCTCAGCCATCACAGCATATTCGGTACTACAAGAAAATACCCACGAGCCAACCCGTCAGCCAGCATCTAAGGTGAAACTGGGAACGCTACTTGGTCTCTTCGGCAGCTTCAACTGGATCTGGAGTTACGTTCGGTCTGACAAACAGATTCATGGCCGCATACACCTGTTGACCATCGATTGTTACAGGAGAAACGGGATGAGCCACTGTCCCGTATGTAAGGAGATCCGTAGTGTCATTTCCGATACCTAAACATGGATTTTGTATAGGCAGTTTCGACACGGAACTTTTCCAGATAGTTCACGGCGGTGTCGCTTCAGTTGTTATTAGCTTGTTTGTGGAACACGGGAATAAGGTGAAACCAACTGCAGGCGTACGTCTAAATCCTTACGTTGTGAAGGGTTCGGGCATTCTCCGTCCCCAAGGTACATGCGCCTCCTTCAATTCATGTCCCTTTTGACCTATATCCACATCTATTGCACTTCGATAGAGTCAGACTTCCATAGACGTCTGTATAGCTCATGATTTCCAGTGAACAACGCCAAAATGGGCTTATTGATCTTGGATTTCTACACTAAAAGTAGAATCCCTTTACAGTCTTGTTTGCTGGTTGAATTGTAAACTTCTTGTCATGAAAAGAGGGCTTTCGAATTTCCGGCCGAGGGAACCCGATTTTGGGGTCCAACAGATTATCAAACTCATAGATACTCAAACCCAGAGCATCAACACTAAAACCAAGCGACATACATCCCCACATGCTGTGCGATTTGTAGGTACTGAACCCTTGCATCATCCGACCGAACCATTGCTTGTCGGCGCACTCGTACTGTTCTTTCCCGGAAATCAGTTGATTTATTAGCGAAGCTTAGCAACACAAACGTAGGATGCCAGTAAGATAGCGGTGCCTGTTGGGCAATAGATTTTCCCGGACACTATATTGCTTTTAACAAACGACCAACTAAGAACAAGTCGCAGAGAGAGACCCCACCTCGACTGGAGCAGAAGATCTTCAAAAGCACTTCATACCTAAAAGTTGCTAAAAAAGGTCGGACCGCTTTCCGCTGCCACCAGTTCAGCGTCCTGAGACTTCCTAGCCGGTATAAGAAGTCAGTAAGTGCAGCTGGATACATGTATTCTGAAGACGATAGGACAAATGGGCCTTGGAATGGCCAGAAGGCCAGCCCACATGTACAAGGACCAGACAAATCCTAAAGTGACTGTCAAACGTCAGGTATTCGCATAAACAAAGTAGTGCAGGCTTGTCCACTCAAGAGCAAGTTAAAAACCAAAGCGTCTGTCAGTCATTGTTTTAGTCAAATAACCAGGTATTACGAAAGGCCTGGTTAAGGAGCAAAATTGTATAAAGTAGTGCGGATCTATAGCATCCCAAGACTTCCATTATGTAGAATGAGGCGTGTAGTTGCGCTGAGGAAAAGGATCCAGCTTAGGCGCGGCGTGAATGGCAAAGGCTTGGCGAATTCCGAGGTTTCCGCCAGACATCAGGTGGTCATAGTAACAAAGTAATGTAGAGACGTTCTGCACATAGTACTACGTGTACATGCTTGGACTAGCGAATCTCTGCTATCATACACTCTTCTGCACATTTCAATAAGGCTTAAAATTCTATTACCAATGAATTACTAGTAATGTGTTCATGTTTCTTCCTTTATCGTAAAACGAATAAATGTTACTTTATCACTCTTATAAAGATTGATCTGGAACATTGAGGACTAAAGAATGTACCTCGCTTAATCATTATTTTCGCGTTTTACTAAATCAAAAGGCGTTCCAATACAGCCTACTTCACTATGCGCGTAATACACTTTCTCTTCGTTGTCGTGACCGTCACGTGTCCGCACCCTCTATCCCTCCTTTTAGAACACATTGACCGAAGCAACTCACCCGCTTTCTCTTACTTATCGGTCACCTCTGTCATAAGACTGCCCTAAACCCTTTCGAGAACCCCTGTTTATGGAAATGGATGATGTCCTATCACGTTACATTCAAAAAGTATTCAGTTCCTGGACTGTATTGCGTATTGCCGAACAACAGCGTAGTGGCGGAATGGACACGCCAGAGAAGATTAGAAATCTTGTCACCTACATCATGGGACAGCTTGCAAGGCAAATGCGACCAGACGATATTGCCGAATGCTTGGATGAATACCTCAGTCGAGTTTTGAACATAGTGTGTGAAGATGACAGTCAGTTTGACGTGGCCGACCTTATCCATGAGGCGTATTCTCTCCACTTGGATGGGAAGGTAGATCGAATCATTGAGCTAACTGCAAAAGTCCCTCCGGGATGCGACTTGACCTCGTGCTCCTTACAAGTAGCCTGTGACGAATCGGAACCCTCAAGCCCCTCAGAAGGGGATGATGATGATGGTGATGATGATGACAGCAACGACTTAGACGACGACCCCCATCCTCTGTAACTTTACACTCACTCTTAAAATGGAAATAATTTTTTAACACTTGTCTATTTATCTATTTATCCATTGGTGTCCTTAGGTAATCTTTAAGCGATGGATTGGGAGCTATATTATCAACAGGAACGTATGGTCCACTAAGAGGTAGTGGTGGGTGGTTGTCTTGAATTCCGAAGAGGTTCCGCAGGGCTTGTAAAGCCGCCTCTTTCTCTGCAATTTCGAGAGTTTCCCCTGGCGCTGAAAAACGAAAAGCGGACGGCAGTTGGGAAAAGAGAGTAGTAAGTTACTTGTGGCAAAAATTACCTTCGCCGACCAGTTGTCGATCACTGTAGATGCCAACTTGGTAGCACGCGAGTAGTGTATTCATACTACTCTGCTTTTGTAGCCTACCAGGTAGTCGTTACCGAGTTATTTTATTATGTAAACAAATACTGACCTGGGCTCAGGAGGACCACGGTTATCAAATCGCAGGACACCTTCCAGTAAGGCAAACGGTTCATCTTGTAGAGGAAATGAGAAATCGGCGCACAATTCCAAGTCCAACAGTCGCGTGAGTATGAAATCCCGAATGAAGAGGTTAGCAACCCGCTAAAAGTAGAATTAGACAGACTTCTCAGCACTTGTATCATGTCGCTGAAGGCGTGAGACTTGTCGCACTACCTCCGACATCGGTTTCCCAACTCTTTAAGATGCCTGCAATAGAACGTTTGTGAAAGTATCCCGAATATTTAATCACCTGATTTGGCACAGGATTCTACATAAGTAAAAGACACAGAATTCATGAACACTTAATTTCGCACCAATTTGCATCCACCTTTGGTGGGAACTACCCACCACATACCTGATCGTTGGCTAGCGCCCCAACAAGAGCAAGAAAGGATGTCGCAATGGCACACAGTGGTGGTGGTCCTGTGATATCTGGGATCATTGGAAGCGTGTCGGCCCGTTCCTCCATAGCGTATTGAAGAACATCGGTGATACCAAGATGAGCACCAACGAAGGCCAAATCGGAGTCGGATAAGAGACGGTCCTTCACACAAGCTATCCATTCCTCTGGCAGACGCGGATAGAATTTTCGCAAGAACTTCCGAATATAGATATCCGACAGGCGACGTCCTATAGCCGACAAAGTTTAGGAAAGGCATTTAAATTCTCAGCATTTGAAATGTCAAAGAGCAATAGCCAACAAAAAGACCACTTTAAAGTTACAGAATGCTTTACACCATCCATTGGGGATAATACCTGTTTCAGCCAGAACTGAGTTATCACGTAGACTACCGTTTGCATCTTTTTGGCCAGTGTATAGTGCGAACGACTTATCAGTAAAGCAAAGGCAGAGGATGTCAGTGTCGATGTCTTCGCCTATTCTACTTCTAAACGCCAACAATTCAGAGTCGTAATTCCAAGGTTTCCAAACTGAACGGGGTCGATACTTCTCTGGCCCTTGAAGCAGACGTCTCTGATATAGGTCTCGGAGATACGGACGAACATGTCTTCCTACTCGTACAGACCTAGATGCTGGTATGGTTATGCTCTGTATTATTTTACTTACAGATTAATAGTGCTTTAGAACACCCCAATAGCCTATCCATTCAGAAAAGGATGAATATCTGGCTGAATTGATCCCGAAGCTGATTAGGTGATAGGTAATCCAATCGAAATAAAGGTAGTGAATTTAACACAGTTTGCACAAGGTCTGAGTGAAACCTCCGTTCGTTAAGCTTAGATTTTTATCACAGTTTGATTTACCCTAATTTATATTTTCTGGTTTGGTTAATAAGGTTATTACTTACGAGCACCGTTCTACCATTTACCCCAAATTTAGCTATAGTGTTAGACGCATTTCTCCAGCACATCAAAAGCGAGGGCATACTCTGAGTAAGTTGCACTAGCAAGGCGAGTGATAAAAACAGGTTAACTGTGTATAGTATTTTGTTTATGTGACCGCCAGATAGCTGGCGGTTACTTTAGTAGCAATCTTGCGCTTGTGTGCATGAACTAAACTTTGGGACAGGTCAAGGATTTCTTCCTTCTTATCCTTCTGGTGTGTAATGGTTTCCGACAAACTGAATGCCTTTTTTTATTCAGTGCGAAGTTGCAGGTCTCTGCAAATAGCGTGATAAATATGCGCACAATATCTTGGGGAAAACAAAATAAATAGAACCGAAATCTATAGGGCAAAGAATGTGAACTGCAGTGCCTGCACGAAAAAATCGATGGCAAATATTACCCGAAATTTGCCTGTGGAGTCTAGCGACTTCCCTCAAATTTAAAGTAGGCACTAAGTTGAGCTGACCACATGCATTCTAGGGGACAAGAATCGATTGGGATTTGACTTAACCCAAAAGTCGGCCCACGTGCATGAGAGCACTGTAGATGCCAAAGTAACCGCAGGACATCCAGGTGGTTGCACAAACAAGGTATTGCACGATCTTTCAAGTGTACAGTGTAGCAAAGTGTCTTCGTATCCAGAAGGAGGCATAGAATTTCAGTAGACTATGGACGATCAGCAAAACAGAGGAGACCATAGCTTTTGGCATGACTTTGAGGCCAGCCAAATGCTCAATCTTCCACATAGACAAAAAAGAAATGACCTTAGTATCCCAGCGCATCTAACCAACACTTTCCACCTGGAAGGAGAAGGCATCAAGTAAAGTCAAACACGCGGAATTAAAGAAAGAAGGGAGGGATTAAGCTTTAGCTCGACCCAAAGTACGATATTCCGGTTAGCAGAGGAAGGTCAATACCAAAGCAGCCTCCAGAAACATTGCATGGTACTACACGTACTTTTACTAAGTTTCCTAGGAATTGTATCCACCCGTGGTGGTCGGAGAGAATGGACAATAGTCGATGGAAAACGTTTTATTGTGCACAGTAAAAGAAGAGATGGAAGCAAGATTGGGATTCATAGAAAATTACGTTTATTTGACTGTCATCTTCTATTGGGTTCGCGTAATCAACCATGTTACCTTTTCTTGGAAAGCTTATCCCTCACCATTACTAAACCTAGATACATTTCTGTGGTTCAACTTTTTACATGCACTGTGAGATTGCCTTCTTTCCGATGTGAGGAGATTTCGCATCGCCACATCTGAGGCAACATATAGTGAGCCCGACCGTTTGCGATAGGTTTAGTGTTAAGAATGAAGTGCGAATTTAAAGGCAAGGTTAGAAATGAAGTCTATTTTTGGCACCTATCAGGGGAAGCTATTGGAGTTGGAAGCACTGTCTGTATTGCTTCGTTTATATGGCAATATGCTGTCTGGCGGTTAATCTAAGGTTAGCTCAGCCCTTGCACGCGTGAGTTGATCTTCAAACTAAGCTCAGGCTTAATCCTTTTGCCTCCCCTGGAACACATGCATTCAGCTCCACTTAATGCCTTCTACCTCCTTCTCCTTAAGTTTTCCTTACCACATCCGTACATCATTGTTGGCAGTGCAAAAACGCTTGCCAATTTTTTTTCATAAGAAAATGTGCTACGTCATGTACTGCCTGTTCCGAATTTGTTTTTAGTTAGGGTCCCAATTGTATGACTGGTTGACACTTTGATTTTGATATTGCTCTAAGGTGGATCGACTGGTCTACGGGCCAAGCCATAGAACCATGTCCACATCTTCTCTCCAATTACAGATATTTAGCCACGAATAACGTCATATTTCTAACGCCTAGCCGTTGAAATACGTGGCGGTCATCAAAGTATCTAAAGTTTACAGACTTTTGTCCTGTTGGACTAAATTCTGGATTCAGGTGATCTGCCAAGTAGGATCAGAGACTCTGAGGTCAAGCATACGCTTCGTCAAAAGGTACGTGGTTATGGATGGCGACCAAATAGAGGGGCTACGCAATGCTTTGCTTGACCGCCAGCAGGAACGGTGGCAACTTGGTAAGCATGTCGCATCTACAGGGTAAGATCAAGTAGCAATCCACTCTCATCTGTTGTGGATGCGTTTTATGGACATATATTGCACTTTATCTTGCCCGCAAACAATAATTAACTGCCTTTTGTAATTTATACTCGAGTGTTTAAGCTGACCTTTATAGAAGAGAAGCAGAAGCCGAATTAGAACGCGAATCCTGTGCATGAGAACCGTGAGGAATTCCTCTCCGAGTGATATCGGCTATTCGGTTCACCCGTACTCCTATCCCCATTCTTCCTACATACATTACACAGAAAATCGTCTGTAGCAAACCCCTTCTTAAAGTCCGTAGTTTAAGAAAATGAGGAGAGGCTAACAATTCTTACATCTTTGCTTTCAATTCAAAGTTTAGCGGCCTTCAGATTATCGCCAAGTACTTAAAATTTCTCGTTGAAATGTCATTAAAGCTTTTCCACAATTCATGTCAGTAAAACAATGGATTCGTGTAAATGCATGTGCTTTTATTGGTTGTATTTATTTGAAATTTTTCTAAATTATTACGTGAATAATTGTTTTTCTTAACAGCTGTGTGAACGAAATTTAAATCTTACTTTATCTTTGACGAGCGCCAAGTTTGCGTGATGAGCAAGTAATTTTTTTGTTGTTCTCTGCTTCCATTTTGGGAGATGAGGTGGGGCTTGTCTTTTATTGGATCTTTTGCACTTATTTTTAAGTAGCTGTGGTCTTCTATCACTATTAATATCGTTTGCGCTTTTCGAATAATTTCCTCTGAGGTATGTTCTCTTCTGTCTATGCGTATTAACCGTTTTTTACCTGCCTTTTTACTTATACCACCCATGGAAAGCGTTGATTGGTTGTGAATGCATGTTAATCTCTCAGTTTTTGAGTCTTTTGCCGCATAGGTTACTATTTACTCGCTGGGTGTTGATTGATATACGGTTTCATTATCTACCTGTTTTATGGGTTCGTTATTGTAGTTCTCCCTCACAATTATGTGCTCTGCTATGATTTTGTGCCTGTTCTGAGTCTTTAGACTTTGCTACTTTGCACCCTCAATGAAATATGGGATTGTAGTCGCACTTTGTTCCATACTGCTTTATTCATGTTCAAAGAACAGTGTTTTATGTCTTTGGTCAAGGTTCTTTCACTAGCAGTCATTTTGTATTGGAACAGTCACTATCCTCTAAATAGATAAACTGTTCTGACTGTCTTCAACTTTTGGTTATTTTTTCCCTTAAACTATGGATTGCGATATATACTAGCAGAGCAAAAATTGTGCATTCGGGTCATCCTACTTCTTAATGGAATTTATTGAGGTACGTTAAGATTTTCTATTGTCAGTAAGATATGTGACATGTACTTACTTTCCGTGTCTACTGTTCAAATTTGTTCAGTGGCGCTTTGAATATTAATAGACCATTAAATCGTGTCCAAAAGTTCTTATGCAGATCTTGCAAATTGATCATATGGAGCCTACGGTGTTTATTACCTAACATTGAGAGTAGGTAATTTTCGATCATTTGGTCGCGTTTTAAGTAGTTCGTCAAGCGTCTGCTTTGTTCCACATTGCTTTTACAGAGTCCTTGCAATCAGTTTCATGTAAACTGTGCTGAAGTGTAGTACGTTTTTATGGAATTTACTCCACAAATAGCGGTCGTTACAGTTCCTAGTATTATTTTCTCCCATGCACTGAGACATTTTTTGCTTAAGTAGGACGGTTCATAATTTTACGAATTCTGGGGTTTCCTAAGCTGCCTGATTGGTTATGGGCGGTTTTGAAATCATTAAACGAAAGTACGTGTGTAAATCGGAGAGCTTTGATTCTCACTGAGCTTGGGTTTCTAGTGTAAAAATGGACAATTTTTTGATTCCTAACTGTTTTTTAGGTCGTTTTCACGTTTTATTTTCCAATGTTAGGACCGTTTTTTGATAGCCCGCTCCATTGTCGCACCCACAAATTTTGATAGGTAATGCTGTTACTGAAAGGAAATTAGTAGATATTATTTGTGAAATCGTCATACGGTTTCGGACATTTAGTAAGTTGTAAGGGATGCAGCGCAAACTCGTCCCTTGTAGTGTATTTTTGTTCGATGCTCTCTCTCAATGGAACATGACATATGAATGGTTTAATCAAATCATTAAGATGGGAATACTAATGTCGTAATAAGTAATTACCGCCGAAAGAATTTGAATCTCACGAAACTTCCATTTCAAGTATTATTCATCCCTCCTGAGGGGTTGGTTTCGCTAAAATTGATTAACACAAAATATCCATATGGGTCAGCTCATCATCTACATCCTGATTGTTGCTGGCAGTGGATGTCCGACGTGCTATGTTTTTATTCAATCGGAGGATCCAAGGTTCAAGTTCAGCATAATAGCAAATCGTGAGGCGTCTGAACACGTTCAGGTGTATGACAATCGTGGGCTTCTGAGTCGCCGCCACCGAAATTGCTATTGGCTGCGTTGATTTGGCCTTCACAATTAATTTAGACGTTTGGTTTGTGGCAAAAGTATTGCGGATACTTGTTTAAGCAACAATTATGCTTCCAGATTTTGTCCATCTTGAGGCTGCTTTCGCAATGGAGATACTCGGATTTGTCTTAGCAATTATGCACTTATTAAAAAACAGTCGCTTCTAGCTGGTTGGTGTCCTAATTGCACCTTAACCAAAAAGAAAATATACAAGCCACACAATCTCCTTTAAGAAAGTCCCGTTAAACATTATTCTTTGCTGTTTGGTCGTGAGTGAACTTCAGTAACTTCATCCCTCGCCCCAGTGCTTGGCTAAGGTTATGGATGCGCCAATTTTGCAAGAAGGCTATGGAATGTTTGGTTCTCATAAGACTTACATCAGTAGCTCGTATTTTTTTGGTTCTGTATAGATTACTATAATGTGCTATTTTCACACGCACGTCTCGGGTTATGCTTAACTGTAATGATGTGCTCGAAACATCGACAGCCCTTTGCTAACTTTTCGTCTGAACTACACTCTAGTTGCATAGGCTTCATCGTTGTCCACTCTTCCTTTTGTACGCTTGTTCTGAGTTCCTTCCAATATCTGGAATGTCTAGTTATCGAACACGTCACCTCACCTGAATCATCTTGGGGTCGTCTATCGTGCCAACTGGTGACATATTGTCTTGATGTTTGACTTGCGGAAAGTTTTGGGAATTCCAGATTTTCTGGGCTGTTTATGTTCATCGTTTCCACCACTTATTCAAGGACCTCTTGTTTGTCGAATGCTAACGTTGTGAACTGAGGGCAAGGCCATCGCGGTGGAGATCGTTCCCAAGGGATGTTTATCTGTGCAGCACTTGCACTGTTTAATTTTTGTTGCTCCTTCTACCGTTCTTTAGGTCTTATAGGAATTATGTACCCACTAGTTCTACGCATTTGTTCGCAGAAGTTATCAGACGAATCTTTTCCTTTTTTAAATAGTTGCTGGTCGCTAGCATCAGAACCCATTTCGCATTTGACACTGTGCGCAGTATCGTTTCACAGTCCCAACTCAACCTGAACAGTTCTGAACCACCCAAATGTCTGCCATGTGGAGAGACTGAATGATCTACTGCAGCAGCTGGAGGTGTGTTCACATGGATTTGCTATCGTGTACACTGAGAGTTTGTCCCAGCTTGGGGGTAGATAATATAGTTGTGTCCGATTTATCCGCTTCAATACAGCAAAATATGACAAACACTCCGAACACTGCCGGCATACGGCCCGAAAACGGAATGTCTGTCCAGAGTAGCCTAACTGCCTGCTTACCATCGTCATAATCAGGATTGTTTGTACACACGTACATCGCGTCTTTGTGTGTATGCTCACTCGCTCACCCATGTAAACTTGTGCGCACTGGCCTCCCTCATGCTCTCCACACGCCCGTGTGTATCAAATTTGGTCGATTTCGTGTTGATGAGCACAATCGCAAAGAAAACACTTCACCTCTCTGTGTACGCACGTGCTTGGGTACGTACATCCAAACGCATACAAATACGTACAGACTCAGTCCTTGGTAAGGGCAGTGGATTGGCCAAAATGTGAAATCAGGCCTGTTGGTTGTACTTCGAGGTTATGTTATGAGCGTTGCTTATGGTGCTTTGTTATCCATGCAGTAAACACGAACTTTTAGGTATTGCACCGATGTGCCACTGGTCCATCCGTACCCAATTATAAACTAACCTGATAGAATTTGTCCTGTCAGGAAAGGTGGTGCTTACCTCCTTATTTCTTGAATCCAATAATATTGTTATTCAAGTTTCAACTTTCTCTGGTCACTAGTCGACGTGGCATTTTAGATTCTGTCTATCGGTTCCTAACCGTGGTGGGGTTTCTCTCTGAGATTTATTTCGCCCGTTCAACTTACTGCTATTAAGTTAATGGGTAAATACTTATTGAGCTGCATGTGAAGTGTCTAATTTCAAGAACCTGCAGTGGTTAATTTCTTTGATCAGGCTTTAAATCTAGCGGCGCCATTACTTCTGGTACATTTTTGAGGTCATTTTCAGTAGTAGAGGTGGTCATTTGAGTGTGTTAGTTGGTTGACTAGATGTTTTCCAAAATTTGCTTCTGCCATTTAATCGTTCCCCCGTGAATTCGTTTGGAAGTGAGGATATTGGAGCTTCGGATCTGTCCCTCTCTTGTTGATGGTTGTCACTGAACCCAGCATTCATCTCCCAAGTCACTTTTTGAGCTCACAATTTATCAGTATTTTTCATTTTTGATTTATTTTTGGCGCATTTTGTTACTTAGACGTTTTCAACCCGTATGATGTTCCCTTTTTGGAAATCTTCTATATTTTTTGTCTCGTTGAAGTTCTCCTAACTAGGCCGTTGCACTTGATTCGATTCTGAAGCTAAAAATACGATGTGTCTGGGTAGCATCTCTGCCACTTGGTTGTCAACTTTGAAGTATTCAATTTATGGCAACCATGGTTGATTGCGTAGCTCCTACTCACTTCTTTAATCGCGAATTGTCGCAAGGCTTAGTACAAACCCCATGCTTTTGTGTTTAATTTAATGATTTGTTTTCTGGTCACTTCCGGTGGATGTGGTCTTCACCTAATGTTCCTCATTCGCGCAGTACAAGTATTTAATGATGAAAATCTAGGCGTGGAAGTTGGTTATTATAAGGTCAGATGAACGGGGAGGAATTGGTAAAACATTCCAGGCGCCAGGTGGTATGCTTCTCGTGTATTTGTCCATGTGAATAAGCCTAGTGCGGCACGGTGATCGGGGGTTTCACATCCAATTCACTGATGTAGATTGACTACACATGGGTTAAATTTGTAGTTCAGGTGATGGCTCTAACTCCATTAAGTGGCGTCTTCATTCTTGGATGGCGGATTACTCGGCTTCTGGGAGCGTGCTGTCGGTGAAAGCACGTCAGGTTGTGCTTGACCAACCATATATGTGGGTACTTGCCTTTGGTTTCTGAAGTGTTTCTTGGATTAACTTCATGCCTACTTCCTGAAATGCTTTGAGGTGGGTGCGGCGTTTTTGCCTATCATAATCACTGAAATGCTGTAATGATATCAGCTCGTATCAAGAATCCTAAGCGGAAATAATTTTTATACTTTCATGAACTACAACCTCTGGTTAAGGTGCGTGTCCGTACGACCATGCGCAATGTTTGATCACTGCTTCTGCTCATTACTGGCGGTCAATGCAAGATACGTGCACTTGATTTTGGCTTTGTGGCTGCTGTTACCTTGGGTAGGGGAGAGGGAGATATTTCCTATGTTTTAAGGTCGTTTAAATCTGGTAACTGAAGGCTAAGGTCGACTGTCAAGGTCTTGGACATTTTTATTGTGCTAGCTGTACCCAAAGCTATAGCAAATCGATGCTTACACTCTGACGCGCTCAAAGGTCATGGTATTGTGTTGTGCTGCATTGTTTTTGGCCATTCGTTTCATGTTTTGATGTCAGTTTTTTGGGTGATTTCACTCGTACAGATTTTATCCTCATAGCTCGTGAACACGTCAGGTCAACCTTAGGCAATTTTGTTAAATTTGGATTCTCAACGTCGAAGGCCGAAGCAAAATCTTTACGGCTTACTGGTTTCCTTTTTATTTATGTCAAAGTTTTAGTAGTTCTGTTTCTGTTTTTAGCTGGCTGATAATGTCCTTCTCTACTCCCAGTTCCCAGTCCCTCATCTTAACTCCTTTCGGAAATCAACCATTTATAGTGTTTCAGTCGCTCACTTCTATTGTTTTTGTTTTCGGCAACCATCGCAAACGATTGTCCTTAAAAATTGGATATTGTAACTAATGCCCACCGTTACCGCGATCATAACATGAACCTGAGAAACTTACGGCTAATCTATTCAAAATTAATGTGTATCATCTTTGGGACAACTGGAGACTTCTCTAACGCAGCATTTTTATATCGTCTCATGATTCTCAAAGGTCTATATGACTTCTCTCAACTCTACCCTCAATTTTGTGGGCCATTCTTTGTCTGCCCACAGTCTTCGTACTTTTTAACAGGTTTATTCGAGTCTGGGGAGGTTGTCACCACTTAGAAATATGAATTTCTTGATGTATCATGGAGAATTAATTTGAAGTAGAAAACTTTCGTTTGTAATCTTTTTTGTAGAAGAATCTAATGTTCTTAGGTTACCAGTTTTCGCAACTAGTTATCACATGCAAAACCCATGCAGATTCCGTTTGCGAAGGGAATAAGTAATGGCTATGCTGTCATGCTTATTCGGTGCCCCAGTAAGGGATCACCTTTCGAATAAGTCACTGTTAAAAGAAGTAGGAATCTTTTTGTTTAATCAAGTTTCTCCTTGTTGTCGAACCATTTTCGTGTTGATATCAAACAACACTATGGTCGGTTGAGTTGTCTAATTTCCTACTGAGCGATATTTTGCCGTAAATTGGTTGATAAATACCCATCGAGCTGTTTGTTTCTCAGGTTGAGTAGCAGGTCCGTTTAACTCTCCCTACCCTGGTCGCCTCAGATGCACATATACGTGCATACGTACAAGCACACACGTAACACATGCAATTAGTCACTGAGTGTTTTGAAATCGGTCCCACCCATTTCAAGTAGACGTTCGCTCATGTGTGCACTCAGTGAGAAAGGCCGTAGACGAGGTTGAAAGCCACGTACATCCACGGGCCTTGAAGATTAGGTTCAAGCTCTTTGATCCTGTTTGAGCACGTCTTCTATCCGCCTGTCTGTATGCGCTTTTCGCGCTCACGCAGGCACGTGTGTACATAAGATAGCCTTTAATTGCATTTGGCAGCTTCCACTGCTTCTGTAGTTATTGCTGTGACTAAGGCGGTGGCGGTCACATTGGGTGATATGGTGCTATGTTCCAGAAGACGTCGCGACAATAGCGGTTGCCTCTGTATGTTCAGGTTTAGATGGGCTAGTGGATGTTCATGCTGGGCGTGAATTCACTTCCTTGTCTTATTGCTACTATTTCCCATTCCTGATTCACCATAGGTTAGCTCGTTTTTGGAGCTAAGCCTTAGTTTTTCGCTGTTGAAGTTGAAAGAGGACTGATGTACTTGCTCTTACGTCGCTGTAGTTATACTGGAGTTCTTCAGCTTCGTGATACATATTCATCCTGGGCGAACCATGCGAGCTCCCCCCTTCTTCAAGGTTGAGTTGTTCTTCCACGATTGTAATCAAAACAAGACATCGTTATGAAAGTCGTTCATAAACTGGAGTCCACTCTCTACAATTTTTTAAAGTCTGGAATCACTGCGATGATTTGAGCTTTTCTATTCTTGTCTAGGTTGATATTGAATTGGTCATTTAGTAATGGTAATTCATTAATAGACAACCCTCCTAGGATTCTGTGCAGCTTATCCAACTAGCAAAAGTTTGATGTGCTCTACACTGTGAAGGTTTGCAACCTCTCTCTCGTTCTTATCTTTTCTCAGCTTTCCATAAATAAAGTTTTTAGACCCTTTATAGGCTTTGAATGAACATCACTAAATGAAAAAAACGCATGCATCTATCTGCACTAGTGCTGCTAAGTGTGAAAGCTTGGACGTTATAAGTGGTTTCATTGGTGGGCTTCACACCATTTGATCCCGTTTTTCATTTTAAGCACTTTATTTCTCTATGGCTATGAGTTGAGGCAGCAGTATCTAGGCTCCTTAGTTAGGCTATTATTAATGCACATTTCAACCTCATTTTTACGTATCGCTTCATTCTCTATCTAGGTTCTGCGTTCCCAACGGAGAGGCTGAGGTACGTAACGGTAGAATGCGGCCTTCTGCTTTGTCCTTGGTCTTTGCGTCCTGTGTTAGATCGATTATTGATTTGGACACAAATTGCGAGCCAGAAGCCATTCCCACAACCAAAACCCGGACAGAGATTAGGAACATTGGAAGATTAGGTGGCGCTCGGTTCGCCCGCAGGCCGTGGGAAAATCAATACCTCTAAGTGCGGACGTGACATGAGCCGAGATGTGTCGGCTGAAGTCAGCTTCACTAGTGGTTATAGTGATGGTTTGTTTAAAAGACCTGAAATAATAGTTGAGAGGATGTTGATAGCATTGATGCCGCAGGTCTTCATTCTATAAAGACGCGGGACAGGGTGTCTAGCATCCATAGCTACCAGTTGTTTGAGATCGGCACTTTTAGCTGCCTCAGGCGGACGCTAAGACGAGTTCGAGATCAATGTATCTATGCCGATGCTCGCGAAGTGGTGTGGTAGAATTTATTCATGAATAGCTGCCACAAGTGAAGGGCGGTTGTGAGTGTTATTGTCTCTAACCCCTGAAACTAGTGAGGTGCAACCCTTTATTATCGCCTTCTGAGCGTTCACCTCATGAATGCCATGCCAGCATCTAACTTCAATCAGTTCTTGTCTAACTTAAGAAGTAGGGTTGGATGCTCAAGTTCATTGTTGATGTTTTCCTACCACCGCGATTTTATGCCACTTTGTGGACTTCTTGGCTAAGCAGTCCTCATTTTTGGCATTCATCGCATTGAACCTTAACTGTTTTTAAACTTAACCATCGTCCTGAAATTACTAGTTGAAATGTTATTCAACATTCACGGTGTGGAAAGCCCGATTCTTGTTTTTACTTCTGTGTAATCAGTGTAAATTATGCACTATAGAATCTTAAGCGTATGTCGGAGAAGTTGATATCACTTCCCCATCCACGTCGTAGTTTCTTGTTTGGCGTTTTATCACGAGAGGTTATGTCAATCAAGGGTAATTTGTGGACTCCCACTGAACCAACTCTCATCTACTCTGAAGAGCGGTAATCAACTTGTAGACTTTTTCGTCATTCTGGTACAGTTGTGACACCTAGGGGAGTTGACCTCTACCTAAGATAAAGTATGCTTCCTCTGTTCACGAAAGACACGTTTTGTACTGCTCCTAAACTAAAGTATGCAATTATTCTTAGATCGGGAACATCCTCTGTCGTCGTAAATTCGGCACTTAACGTTAACCGATCGTGAACACGTCACGTAGGAGGCGCTGATAATGGGAGTTTTAGACTACGATCGTTGGCAGCCTATGTGAGGTAGGACTGAGGTGATTGGATGGTCACTGTCCGATGTCGATTACGTGAAGGCTGTTGTTCAAGGGTCTTGGCACCATGGGGGCGATCACATACAGGCACCAGCGTCCATCGCTCAAGAGGTCTTTAACCAATCGCTCCGCTGCGTGTACGAGCACATATACGCACACCCAGTGGTATGTAGAGCACTCATTATGCGTACGTGTGTGTCTATTTGCACGCACGCACTCACGCACGATGCTCTGGGGCTCTCAACTCAGCGTGCTGGCGTACACACACGCACAGAGCGTGCACCATATCAGTCGGTTGCAGACGCCCTGAGCACACACGCAATCGCACGTTCGGCGCACACACATCCAGAGAACATGGCTAGCGTCGATCCCATTACTCCCTCTACTGTCTCTGTTGTTGCCGCTACTACTACCGCCACTGCATCTCTGTCTCCCACCGAGTCTAACATGGGCCTTCCACAACCCCACCCTTCCCCCCTTTCTCCTGCAAGTCAACCCACCATCATGGATACTTCCACAATCTCTGCGGAAGTGTCTTTCCCCTTGTCGCAACAGCAACCACCACCGCTACCACCTGTACAAGCAGCACTGAATGAAGTGGTTATCAAACCTGAGGCGCCTGCACTTACAACTCCACCCTCCACCACCCCGCTGAAACGGCCTCGACACAAACCTGAGGAGCGCAAAGAGCTCTTAGAGAAGGCTGTCCGGGATGTTAAAGAGCAGAAGATTTCCATGCGTAAAGCCGCCTCGCGATATAATATTGCAAAGTCCTCGCTATGTGACTATGTGCGCAAAAACCATATTATTCTGCCCAACAATCGGTGCAAGCCTTCGGCCGCTGCGGCTACATCTGCCACCACTGCAGCCAATAACTCTAGTGGAGTCGATTGTCATCACCAGCATCATCATGTTCGCTTGGAGGCTCCAACTACAACGGTGACTGGAACACCCCAAACTTCAGTGACGTTGCAACCACCCCTATCTTCGTCACAAGCCAACTCCTTCAATTTTCCTCTGGAGACGACAGGTTTGTTGAGAGCGGCGCACCCAGCTACTCCTCCAGGGGGAGGGGGTGGTGGTAGTAGTGTGCTCTCGCGTCTAGAGAGTCCTTGGAACAACGTCTCAGGGCTGCCTACCCAGGTGCCAATGCAGAATTGGAGTTCTTTGGCTGCCCAAGGAAAATCTATGAGTTCGTTGTCCCAAGCCTCGGCCGCGTCGTCCCCGAAGCAAGCGGAAGTGGGTCGCTATTTTCCTTCAAATTCCATTTCCAGATTTTTAAATTCACTCACGTCATATGCTGCTTTAAGAGTATTTTCTATGTCCTCTGAATTTAGTTTAGACCAACTTGGGTTATGTTTGGGTTAATGTTACCAATTCCCATCCTACAAATTCACATAGACATCTTCATTAGGATTGTATGCGTTTAAATTCTTGCCTTAGCCACAGTGACCGCTCTATAAGGTGCAATTTTTGCGGAAAACCGTAGGGCTTTAAGAAGGTATATTATTTGGCTCAAAGTTCGTAACCTTCTGAAATTTGCTTCTGTTGAAATGTTCTTGAGGATCATTTACTCTAGGCAAACAGTATTCATTAGTTTTCAGTACGCTTTTACCACTAGGATTCATGCGCTACTTTTTTAAGGCTATTAACTGGTTTTTTGCCCTCGTCTTTTGCATTGAATTTAAAGATTGTCTACTCCTGGTTGGTGTCCTTTCATATGTTCTCTTGCATATTTTGTATACTTAAACCTATATTTTATTATAACATTTCATCGAAAGTTTATCTAACAGTGTCGAGTACTTTCACGTCAATTTCAGACCTGGGTTTAAAAACAAATGGGAGCGTATGTTTAATTCGGTCTGTGATTACTTATGATTCAAGAGCGTTTTAATAGCAAAACTTCTCAATTCGTATTTATTAACAATGTTTTGTTTCTTCGTCTAGTATTGCTTGGGGTCTGTCCACGTGATAAATGATCCTCCATGCCAAGTCAAAACCATTCACGATCTGTATAGCCTAGGGGTGGAAAGACGGTGTCGCAGTTTTTTGAATGTGAATGTCACTGAGGTGCTGTCCTAACCAGTCAGACTAAATAGGTTGCAGAAGGTGAGGGCTGATTAAATGTTTTTTTACATTGTTTATTTGTAGTCCCTATTGGGCATAAGCACAGAGTCGAATTCACCGGGTGGTGGTGGCGATTGCGGTAGCAACAATAGCAACAACAGCACACCGCTGCAATTGCAGCAACACCAACAGTTGTCTTCGACAGGGATCTTCACAACTACCCCCTCCTCTACACCTTCCTTTATTTGCGCGCCACTTTCAAGTGATGTTCTAGACAGCATGACATCCACAACACCCTTCTTCGCCTCCCCCTCTGTCGCCGCTCCTCCGCCCACCTTTGCTGTGACTACCCATTTTGCCTCCGCCACACCTCACCTCCTCCTCCCTCCACCGCCACCACCACCGCCGCTGCAAACACCAACAAGCATCTCTGCTGAGGCGCTGATTCCTGCTCCGCTCTCGCGTTCCCTCGCCTCGATCTACTCTTCAGCACCACCGCTTCAAGCTCCGTCGCTGCAGTCGTCGTCGCTTCCCCCGACACAACAGGCGCCTCCACTACCTTCCGCCGCCACCACCTCACAACTGCCTCTCGTCTTTCCCTCTGCTGCTTCTAGTGGTGTATCCAACTCAGCCGAGGCAAGTGTAGTAGTGGACTCGCTACAGAGGTTACTGTTGGCTGCCGCAGCGGCGACGGCGACACGTCCCGACGGAAAACAGCTGGTCCCTTCAAACCTTGGCGACCTCCTTCTTGATCTCTCTTCTCCAATGGGTTTCCCTGCGCCCCCACCACCCGCCGCAGTCACCAACGCCACTGCAGCTAGTGCCCTCCTTCGTAAACTTCAGTTGCCCAATTGTCTCAATTCTCTTATTGGAAGTACTGCCACAGCACCGAATTCTCTAACAGCCACGGTCGCCAATAATAGTAGTGGCAGCGCTGCGGCCGCAGCTGCAGCAGCTGTCGCTGTTATTGCAGTAAGCTGCGCGGACCACCTTAATCACTATCATCACTGCCAATACTCTTGCTCGCAGCTAGCATTGGTTTAACCTCGTACTATGGCCGCCCTTACGGAAATTACCCACTTCTCTCTGCCTGAAAGAGCATCGGTTCCCCTCGTTTTTATTCCTCTCCTTCCAAGTTTTAGTTTTGGGGATGGGTTTTCGAATTGCGGTTTGTGTCCGAGTTAATAATCAATCTAGCATATAATCCAACCCTTCCTTTTACTTTTATCCTCGATTAAAGCATATAATTTAATGTGGTTGTTTTGTAGCGATTACCCCAAGCCCAAATGGTCTTCGCTAAGGAACTCATCAACTTTATCAACAAATCACCTTCTCCCTTCCATGGTAAGTGGGTCTCATTAGTGAATCACTCTGACATTTCATTTTATGCATTTACTCTTTGTGCCGAAGGTGCTTTGCGTCACCCTTTTGAGAATGCTCAAATTGCATTTGCCCAATGTGCTATCTAACCTTCTTCTCATCTATGCGTTTTCAGATTAATTGGCTTGTAATTTCCTGCTTGCCTAAGATGCTAAGGTTGTTTTTTTGCTTTGTTTTCTTATGGCGATTCGCACACATAATTTGATTTTCGGGGTTTGCCTTATATTTCTCACATAAGTTTCGACTTAATTTACCGGTTTTTCACTCGACATCAACTTCGAATCACCCAACATGCTGCAAATTCCAATAGTAGCATAAATTTCCAATTTTCTATTTCGTCGAAATCATCTCGTGATTCCAATTTCAATGGGTTCTGAAATTCTTATCTGTTTATTTGAGAGCCGAACTCGAGGAAATGGGCTCACTTTCTTGAATTTTTGGTTTTCATTAATAATGAAGCCTCGTCGTTTATTCTTTTGTTCACATAGAGTTTTGAATTACCAATAAATGCTGTCCTGTTTCTTTAGAAAATCAAACTGTGTTTCGAATCAACGTTTAACCTTTTCACGCAAGGACGTTTCTTGTTGGTCTGACGGTCCCAATGTGTCCGTGTTTTATCATTTAATGTTTATCTTTAACTTCAAAAAGAACTTTGATCCTGACAGGTTAGACGATCATTTTTCCTTTCATAAAAGTGGGAAGTAGGTATTCCTGTCGTGTTCCCTTCTCTAACCCATTATCTTTTTTGTAAATCCGTGTGCTGGCGCACTTGTGTGTATGAGACTTCATGTGGCATTGATTGATGCCAGAAGTGAGTTTCGTGTGCAGTGACCAAATAATTCAATTTCCATCGTCAAGAGCCGTGGCAGTAGTGGTAGCATCTGATGTAACTGCAGAAGAAGCAGCAGATCTCTTCTTATTGATCAGTGTGGGCAGTGTGTGTATGTAAGCGCGCCTGCTCACAGCCACAAAACAGTGCGCACGTGTGTGCGTGCTTACGTGCGCTCTTGTAGGCTGTTAATCGCTATTTCTCTCGCACTCAGTGCCCTTCAAGTGTGATCCATCTCCACACCTGATTGCACATTCACTTGGCCGCGTACGCACACACGTGCGCTTTTCATAGCTTCATTTGGTCTCTCACTGAACGATCGAGATAACACGAGAGTGGTGGGTAATCCCCTCTCGCGGTATTAGCCCTTTTGTGATCTCAACCGTCTAGGCCCCTTAAATCGAGGACGCCCTCTCCAGTTGTGGTGCAAAGCCTAGTCTAAGGTACTGGGTCTTGTTTTTTTTTTTTTTGACTGTTAATTAACAAAATTAAAGGTATGCACGGACGCTGTCCGCTTTATTCCACACTGTGTGCGTGCGTGCGAGACTGTGCATCCCATTAGAATAAATTATGCGACTTGCCTCTCGCCGTTCGGTCAGATTGAACCGAACTAATCTGTGTGTTGAGATTTGCTGTCTCAATTTACCCTCATCACTGCTGATGTATTCGAGCCAATAGGGTGGCATCTCACTGTATTTGTGTGTGCACACGCAACGTGGAGCTCGGACCTTTTCAGAGGTTGACGCCCACTGTTGATTGACCTCTCCAAAGTGTGAGTGGGTATAGACTTGTTTGAACAGACCACCCTTTGTGCACCTATACTTCTCTATTCATCCATTCATCTGGCTCACCCAACAGTTTCCTGCCGTTGTACTACAAGGGAGCAAAAGTTGTGATTCGAGAGTACGTCTTCAATGAGCAAAATGGTTTAACTTCTTGAAGCTTTGTGGCATTTTTTTCGAATAGAACATGCACATAACACGTGCTCATTGTTGGTAGTGGTAATGTGTATGCATACTAAATCAATGTCGACATATTCAGTTTCTCCGCTTTTGTATCTTTTTATCACCTTTTAGTTTTATTCCTTCATTCGGCTAATCCAATTAGCCAGAGAGCCAATTCAGATTTTCCATTGAGTAATTGCGCTCACACCTTTGCTCCCTCAATCTTCATTTATGCTCTGAAGTGGGATTTCAGATCAGCGTCCCTTGATATGTTTCATTTCGGAATGAGGATTTACAACTTTTTGAGCGAGTCTTCATCGTTACGTTCATTGACGTTCACTGGATCGATTATCCCATTGTGATTAGTTCTTTTTTTTGCTGCGAACATTTTATCCTTGGCTGCTTTGCCATAGTGCTCGAGTAAGTGAATGACCTTATCATGGACGTACTCTAGAGTTGGTAGTTGGTGACGTATGTCAACTCTCGAGGGATTCCAAAATACCTTGTGAGCAATATGGACAGCGTTCGAAATTTCTCTGAATAGATTTTATGGTCTGTGTGAGTTAAACCACTGGTGGCCAAAGAGGGTTGTGTTATTGCGGTGCATCGCATTAATTGACACTAAGTCGTCCCATTTGTCTGCCTCACCTACAGGGCACTCTCAGAATAGAATGTTTGTTTATGTTAGGAGGAAGGCAAGGACTTTTGATGGTTAAGAAGCGTTGGGGTTAGGTTGTCCGTGCCTTGGATCTGCCTTGGCACGCGCTGGCACACGAGCACAGAGAATCCACACGCTTGCACCTGCGGGTGGCTGGTATCTGAGGTCATGGAATGACCCGGTTTTATATTGCTTCTACTACTACCACCATCAATGCGTGCTCACTCGGCCGTGTCGCCCTGGTTCGCATGTACTTTCTACACTTCTCTAGTCCACTTGTCCTCTCGTTCCATTAACCTTGTATCTATCCATTCATCTATCTCTCTCCCCGAAAGATGCCTTTTGCCTCCGCCTATCCGGTTTCCTATCCATCGACACGTCTTTCCCCTGCTTGACTACCTAACTATCAATCCACTCATTCTTCTATCAAATTTTGTTGTCTCTAAATTTGTCACGCCTGAATGCCACCGTGGTCGAAGTCTTGCCTTTTCAAAACGTTTGTTATTGGCATTCGCTGGTTATTCAAATATCGCTCCCATCTTCCTGCCTAGTCTCATTAGCAAAAATGTATTGCGTCTCCTGTTTGGTTAGGGTAACTAGATGAGAGGAATCTTTAATCGTAAATGAGTCAACTGAATTTAAAGCATTAAATAAGTTTAGGACGCTCTTGATTAGAAAGTAATCGCATTTTTTATTTTCTTAATAGGCTCTTAAGTACAGTGGCTAAGTACCCTTTTGAAGCTCCTAATTTCAATGTACCAATATGGCCTTCCTGTTGAATAGGAATGAGGAAGTGGCCGTTGGTGGTTCTGCATGTGAATATGAAATGCGACATTTTAAAGTTTGGAGGCTAGTTTGGTTGGCAAGTGTGTTGGAGCCAAACCGTGACATACTGAAAAAGTCTGCATCATTGGGTGCCATTATGGTAAATTAAACTATTGGCGCGTTTTTGGTGCAGCATAAGTCACTCGCTTTGACACTACTCGGTGCAAGACAACGAGTCGTTCAATTGGTTCTACATGGCACCAATTGTCAAATGTCACATTTCTTTGATTTTCTGTCTGACAATGAAGTTCCTTTCAATTATCTTCTCAATGTCTAATCGGTTTACTCGCTTAAAACATTAGAGATCTCTAGTGTCACAGCTTCATCGTCCGCTCATCGCACCCTCTTTGCGCGCATTCGAAATTGGCTGCGCTGCACCACTGTGACCAGTTGTTGACATGTTAATGAAGCGTCCTTTTATGCGAACGCGTGCACATAAATTTTAACTTCCTGACTCTACTTTCTACCTCCAACTGCAGTTGCAGTGGTGGCGGTGGTGGTCGTGGACATTTCTCACTTACAGACTTTGTAATTCTAATTCAGCCGGTACCATGTGGTTGCGTGTCATTCGATTATTCAAAAGTAGAACGGACAGACTTTCCACTCTATGGCTTGTCTGTCCCAAAGCAGTCGCGCATGCGCAGCTCAAAACCGTTGCCACAACCAGAAATAGCGCTCAAAATGTTCTATACTACTGAGGTCATGATTCGATCGCATCATTGCATTATTTTGTTAAGTGTTCATTGTTTTTAGAGTAGTGTTCTTAGCCGGCGTATGTAACGCCCCTTATCTCCAATTTGAACCCCCAAATATCCTTTCAAAAGTATTTCATAGAATTCAGCGTCAGTGCCTTTTTAATCGAGAGGTAAGCATTGTTTGAAGTATGCTGTTGTCCCTATAGATTCGATCGCAATCGCGGGGTAGAGACTGATGTTTGGTTTCTTGCACTTTTTTAGTGGTTCGATCTGCATGCGAGATCCTAACTGCCAATGGCTTTCGCGAATTGACGGAGGACGAACCTTGGAAGTTGGCGGCTAACGACTGTGTCTTTGTGACCAAAAACCGCACTTCTCTATTCGCCATTGCTGTGGGTGGAGCCTATAAGCCCGGTGAGGGTTTTGGTATCATTGCGGCACACACTGACAGCCCGTGCCTTCGACTGAAGCCCCTGTCGGAACGGGTGAAGGAAGGCTTCGTCGAACTTGCAGTGCAGACCTATGGTGGTGGACTGTGGTATACCTGGTTTGATCGCGATCTTACTCTCGCGGGTCGTTGCATCGTCCGCAATCCCGCAACCGGTGCATTGGAAGAACGTCTTGTTCACATTGATCGTCCATTGGCTTGCGTGCCCTCTTTGGCCATTCATTTAAACCGCAACGTTAATAAGAGTTTCTCTCCTGATCCAGAGGTTCATCTGGCCCCGATTCTGTGTACCACTCTGACAGAACAGGTGGGTTTCCTAAGTTTGCCACTCTCGGCTGGTCAATTTGTTATTAAATGTTTCATTTCTGTGCGTCATTCTAGTTGAATGCTTCGGCCGACGGGACAATACCTTCAGGCCACCCAACGGGTCTATTGCGTCTTCTGGCTGCAGAGCTTCAATGTACACCATCGGATTTGATCGAACTGGAGCTTTACTTAGCGGATACTCAACCGGCAAGAATAGGAGGTCTCTACGAGGAATTCATCCATGCACCACGGTTGGATAACCAATTTAACGCTTACACTTCAATCCGGGCATTGGTGAACTCCCTACCTAGCCTGAAAGAAGACTCCTTAGTGCGGGTGGTGTGTCTTTACGACCACGAAGAAATCGGTTCAGGAAGTCTCCAAGGTGCCAAATCAATTTATACGGAATGCCTTTTCCGAAGGGTTACAGAGGCGTTAGCGGCAGGTGCGGTGGAAGTGACTGAGTCGGCAGGTAACATTGGTGGAGGGACGGAAGCAGGAGTATACGGTAGTGGTGGAGTGAGATCTGATCGATGCCTCTTCGAGCGCACAATGGCACGGTCCTTTCTCCTCTCGGCTGATCAGTCTCACGCAGTGCATCCCTCATGGCCTGAGAAGTATGAGCCCGGGCACAAACCAGGCTTTCATCAGGGCTTGGTGTTGAAGCATCACTGCTCACAGAACTACGCTACTAACGGGCTAACTTCGGCTGTCGTTAAGGAGGTTGCTAGACGAACAAATGTCCCGCTCCAGGTGTGTTTAATTCTATTTTACATTTGCTATCCTGTTTTTGTTGTTAGTGCCTCAAATGCGCTCAGCCATGATGTTTTTTTCAGTCATAGAAGTACAGAGGTCTTAGCATGTGTCCACATGTCCGTTTTTAGTCCGGCCGTTGTACTTTTGGAGGTCATGTTTCCAACTTGTGGCCATTTTCGTGTGTATGAACATGCAGCCTCGTGTCGAATGCAGTGTCTAGTTGTCCTTCCGCCTTCTCTTGATGCTTTCTTGTTATTTTTCTAAGTTGAAGATATTAGGTCTTGTCACCGGTTAATAACGTTTAAATGGTGCCGTCAAATACACTGCAATATATCCTGAGTTGTTCGCATTGTGTAGCAATTTGTTGTTTAGGAAAACTAACACGAATGTACTTTATTTATAGCCTCGCTAATGCTTATTTAAAGTATTTTAATGGAATCATACCTGCCTTTAAATCGTTTAGAATTTCTCACTTTAATCCCTTACCTTGAAGATGGTGGTCGTTATAAAGAGAATTGTGTTGGTTCTTGGTGTTTCCTACATATCGAGTTCTTCGACGGTGCCATATGCAAGCCTTGAATTATGCCTGAGTCTGACATCACACGAATATGGCGTACTTTTTATCAGTTTATGGGTAACCTTTCGTTGATTGATTGGATTCTAAACAGCGAAATTAATTCAGAGTGATTCCATTGGTTAGGTTTAAATAACACTTGCGCTGGTCATTTTTCAGTAGTTTTGCAAGTGTTGTCATCATATTTTAGTAGCAAACCGCCTGGGCTGTGTTGGTAGATTTTCAAATAACGCAATCGAAGCATTCTGAACCCTAAACAGGAATTGTCTCCCTTTAAGCTATTCTAAAACATCGGAGTCTTCTGAAGACTGTCTCTTTTGTTGAAGGATTTCGTGATACGTCAAGATCAGTTGGGCGGTCGCACCATCGGTCCAATCTTGGCCTCCCATCTAGGCGTAATGACTGCGGACATCGGTGGTGCTCAACTGGCAATGCATTCGTGTCGTGAGATGACCTGTACTTCAAGTGTCGGTCAAGCGATCACGCTGTTCACAGGGTTCTTTGAACAACTCGCCAATATCCTCTCCTCAATTGTTGTCGCTGTCAAGTAGATCCTCCTTGTCACCTATGCGAGGTGGCAGTTCTTGGTCCTTAAATGGCTCATCCATTTGGCCCCTATAAACAACCACTTTTGGCCCTCTCAACTCACTCACAGCGTGTCCATTTACCCTCCACCTGATCTGTCTAATCCGTGTCCTTTTATAAATATTCTGCTTGTGAAAATAACTTGTGTCTTTCTACAATGCGTTCGTCTTATCCTCTCCCGTCTGGTAATGCATCGTGTTAGGGTTCCAAAAGTCATTCTTTTTACATTTATTTACTTTCAGCAGACATCATTCCCATTTACCACAAATTCATATCCACTGAACTTGTCGAATTTACTTTATTTGATAGCTCCAAAATAAACTCAAGAAGCCCTAGTGGTGCATCGATTCCTTGGGGTTTTAATAACTTAAACCATTAGGGATGCTGTTCAATTATTAAATTTGTTTAAATATTTCGGCTTATCTTGTCCTATCTGAGTGCTATTGACGCATCGAACCTTGTATATATCGAGAGTTACGCTCACAAGGCGCCTGCTTAGTCATCGATTTTCTCGAGGCATTTCGTAGTGTCAGTCAATGCGGGCCTCTATTTAAACACAAAACGGCCGAGCATTGCTTTTTTGTAGTTGTTTTTGGGCGAGCTGAATTTTTTGTGGTCCAGTTGCATTAATCGTTTTTTTTAATGAACGAGTTTTAAAGTTGAGTGGTGTTTTGTACATGGTGGATGATATGTGCTGTGACAATTAAATTTAATCGGCGTCCTCCGTAGTCCTTCTCTGAGGTGCTCTGTTCTGCTTCCACCTAAGATGTGCATACCCCGCTTATGACGATGAGCTGGGCTCTTTTACTTTCTGCTCTCTTTGCCAACAAATGTGTTTTGATATGTAGACAGGCGCTTTCTATTTATTAGCCTCAACATTTCAGAATCGCCTCCGTAACCATTACCTTTGATGTGTGGCTAGCACGGCCTCATTATGTCCTTTTGTAGAGGGCATCACGTGAAAGCACTGCTTCTCTTAACAGTGTTTATTAGAAGGTCTTCGCAAACGCAACTTTCTATCGCACCAATTGACCAACTGAAGACGCAGAGAAAAACCGTAGCGTCAATTTCCCCTGTTTTTGAGAATTGAAATTTATGAATGTGTAGTGGCAAAGTGGGAGGCGTTTTCGTAGTGGAAATGGTTCTCATCGACTGACAACCAGCCAGATGGGTAAAATATAAAAAAATTAAGAGTGAACATTTCAGAGGGCGAAGCAAATCACGCGTAATCTCAGCCACTAACACCCACTTCTTAATAATTGCAGTTTCTTCGTATAGCGTAAACACTTGAACCCTTCAGACGGCACTAGTACGAGAAACTGTGAGCGTACTTCAAACACAGACCGCAAGCGGAGGTACCGGTTGACAAGCAAGCACTGAAGACAAGTACTAAGCTGCAAGAAGCATTGTAGATAATTTATCAAAATTTGCTTCTTACCAGGTCTGTGAGTCGTTGATAAAGTCATTGTCATAGGCAAGCTAATTAACGGATGATTTATTTGTTACGGAAGATTCGTAACATCCTGAAATGGACTTAGCGGAGTGATGAGGATTAATTAACGTTGCACCGCTAGAATCATGTTTTCTAATATTGGACTAACCACGTCTTGACTTACGGAGATGTAGAAACATACCCCTCCAACGGTGAGGATTATGTAAAGTTTAAATTTTAATTGACTTTGCAGGACATATAAGTAGAAATGCTACAAAACTTTGACGGTTTAGGTAAAGCGCCCATTTGGGGACCGAAAAGGGTATGCGGTGAGTGCGCACACGTGCATTCATACCCCTATTTTATGGTTGAACCTTGCTAGATGGTGAGTATAATTGGCAGTATTGCCATCTCACAGTTAGTATGACCGCTTGACCGCCCAAGCTGCCATCATCAACATCAACACAGCTGTCCAGCACGCAGTCTCTACTTCCATGTCTGTGTTACGTTCTTCACTAAACTTTTACGTCGGCCTGTGAATTATGATAGTATCACTAATACCTGAAATTACTCCTCTGAGTTCTGACCTAAAGACCATATTTGCTGCTAAATCTATGTCTTTGCATCGTCTTGCCAAGTCTCCTAGCAGTTTGGTCCCAAGATGGTTGCTTTGCACGGTAAGTCATCACTAACTTGCAAATTTGAGATTGCTTTGTTTTTTCTGTTGGAATAGAGTGAGCTTGAAAATGCGCCCTAAATTTCGGTTCTGTTTTTGCCATCTATTGCATGGGGCGTTTGTACATTAGCTTGCCTCCTCCTCCTCCTCCTCCTCCTTCTCCTCCTCCTCCGCTTCTTGCTCATACTCATTATTTTATTGTGTGAACTTTCGACTCTAAGTTGAGTGCTGAGATTTCAACGTTAAACAATGAAAAAGTCATTTTCTCGATCACTCAATCTTGCAATGTGAGAATGGACAGATGGTGGTTTACTTGTACACGTTACAGGCTTGACTCCCACAGTGTCTCTTTTTCCCTTATTACAATATACCTATGTGTTTGTATAAACTGTAACGACTTAAAAAGACGAGATTTTAAACTTTTTTGCAGCATTAAAAGAATTCGATCACATAGACAACAGACAGCATAAAAGCTTGATCGATAATCTATAGTGTCATTGGTTTGTCAACGAACTGCTCGATTAAGTAAGGTCGGTTGCGTTTGGAGGAGGTGAGCTCATAGGTGTGTATGGTTTTGTGACAAAGAGGAGGCTGAGCAGGCTGCCTAGAAATCTGACACGGCTGTGTACTTGAGATATCGACCTGTTTTTGAACGCTTCATCACTAATCGGATTAGCACCACGTGCGCACACCTAATTGACGGCTGCACGATTACGCACGTACACATCCTTTGCTCGCCTGCATTCAGGCATGCACGCACGCCCGCACATTTAGCCAATGGAAATGGGCGATTTCCCGAGAGCGCGTGCGCGCGTATGCCCGGGCGTGTCAAGCGATTGACTGATGGGATTGAGAAAGCCGTGTGCGTTTGTGTGCGTATATCCACCCATTCAAATACACACGCACCTTCTCGCTCGCTTGGCTTAGGTCCGTGAACAGCAGCAGCATCTACTACATCATCAACAAAAGCAAAAAATAGCAGTAGCAACACCACCGTCAGTATCTGAGCATGTGTGAGCAAGTTTTTGTGCATTTGAGAAAACAGTAGCGTTAGATTGGAGAGAAGCGAGTGAACATATGACCAAATAATTGCACAATATAGTCGCACTTCTAGAGGGTCTTTAAACAAAACATCGCGCATGTCTGATACTTCATTTCTTACATACAACTGAAAGGCTTTTTACGAGAAAATTGTGGCCAATCTTTAACAAAAGTAAAGACTTTTCGCCATTATGACTGAGCTACTATTATGAGTCAATGAATCAAGAAAATATCGTTTTTGTGTCTAAATTATATTCAGTTTTCTTTTACTATTCCTTACACATGAGTTACTTGTAATTCTGATGCCAATTTGGTCACATAATGCATGCTTCTCATTCTGTATAAAAGTAGCTAGGCGCCCCAACAGCGGCCGACAAATGGTTGAATCAGTTCGGTAATTGTTGTAGGCGAAGTAGGTAAAGGGTAGAGAGTTATAACTTATAATGAAAGCAGCTTTGCTAGAATTTAAAAAGTGCTTTCCATGGATAATAGTTTTAAAGGAAAGAACCATAGCTTTTGTTATTCGCTGTGCACGAGGCCAAGTTCAACACAGTTGTGATTGCTTGTATTCATCTTAATCCACGTGTTAAGAGGTCATTTGGTGGGAAAGATTTGAACACCTTATCTCTAAACTAGTTAAACTACTGAATAATAAATCTAGCTGGACTCTAATAATAACAATAATACTTCTGAGGCAAAATTTGCCGATAACTATACTAGGCACTGGGTAACTGTCAATGAGAACAAACGCATAGTGATGGCAAAACCCTGCAGACATTTGAATTTTGGATGCTATTTTGCTTAGTTCATTACCGTTACGGTGACATCGCATTCTGGTCCATTAGGGATAACTATCTAAATCCACTTACAGCCTATTCAATTAATAGAGGGGCATTTTGCGCATTCACAAATACTGCTGTAAGAAGCCATGATTACCAGCCAAAACTGTTGGCAAACTTGTTATTGATAAGTCAATTACTGACGACGATGGGCCTCTTTACGTTCAGAGCGAGAAGGACAGAGGTAGTTGCCTTCGAGGCAGCAAAGAACCCTTCTGAGTACAAACCTTTGTACGAGTATGCCTAGAACAGATTTGGCATTACTGTGACCTCTATCGACCCGCTTCCGTACAGGCGAAGGAGTGAGGATAGCGCAACTCGTTTGTAATAATGTAATTATCGCCGTCACACGGGCGCTTGTATGAGCTCACTGAGCTTAGTGGCTGACGTAAGCGCATGCATGCGTGCAACAGTCAGCAGCCAATAGTTTTGGGCTCGCGCCCCCGCACCACCCGGGCATGCATGCACGTACGCACGCACGCGCATGTGCGATTATGGCATGCGGTCCATGCACTTGTGCATGCACGTGCGAGCGTGCTCATGATACACGACCAGAGCGAAAGACAAAATTGTTTTGCGTGCCTGAGCAGGTTCAGCACATCAACGGCACATGATAATTGACAGGAGGTTACCGCCCTGTGACCAGAATTATTACACAATGCGTGATGAAAGTGAGGTAGATGGATGTATATATGAGGAGCAAGAGGGAGGGAGAATGGTACCCTGGACTGTGCGCTATAAGTCTATTCTTCCGTGTGCAGAGATAACTTACAAACGTCAGTGACATCTGCAAGTCGAATCACTGATCCATTCCAAATGGTTTGCGTTGCCTTATCGTAATTATACACAAAATTATTTCTAAATGTAATTGGAGGGGCAAGTCCATGGCTAGAATTGCGTGAACATACTCAATATGTTATCGGTCGGTTTTACGTTTAAAAATGCTAGGTATGCACTTCACATCCCTGATTAGGGATCGTATTTTTTGCTAAAATAGTGCAATGGATACCAGGTTACTGGCCATATGAAAGGAAACTTCCGCCTAATTAATTTAGTTATTTGAGAAAAGTTGCTACAAGTAAGACTGAGTGTCTTGGACAATAATAGCAGGAATAAGAGCTTCTCTTTGTGGAACCAGTTGAGGCCCTTCTTGTTTATACTCTGGACACCAGTTCAGGATGTATGATCAAAGCAAGACAAATTACAACTGACCGGTCCACATGTTCACAACGAGACACTTAAAAGGGGGAGTGTGAGTGGAAGAGCTATACGATGTACACATTTTAAGAACCAAAAGTTCGTGTACACGAAACTTGAGGGTGCCACGAACACATCTACTTATCGCGTCACCAATGCGTGTGCAGGTATGCGATTGCTATGCGCTTGGCGTGCGAAAAAATGTACTCCAGTATATTATTTTAAACTACAAAATGCCATGGTGCTTCTTTGCTTACTTATAACACCATCAGAAGTTTCCATAATTCCGCGAATACTTGTCCATTGACCTGCAGTTAATCCGCAGTAGTGACGAGGGGCAGTCCTACAGGTAAAATAGGATGTGTGTTAACTAACAATCATTAGCTTATATGTGAGCAAATTCCAACTTCTCCATCAACTAAATCCCAACTAGTTATATCCTAAAGAATTAGTCACTTTACATGTCTTAAAGATGGGATAATTGCTTAGTGAAATGGGAAGTGCACGTGGACGTTGCCTGTTCAAAGAGCTTCAGATGGCTCGATTTCCTTTCCTTGTCAGTAACTCGGTTTACACTATTTTGACATTCTTGAACAATTATTAAACCTGTTAAAAGGCGCACAATGGATCAAAATATGATCCTTCCGATCCTTTAAATTTTGACTCATTTGGACAAATTCTCAGAGGTAAAAGGTGCGTGCCTGGCAGTGTTTCCATTCTCAACGGCAACACGTGTGCTTTCGCTGAAACATGAGTACTTTCTATCCATCGATAAGATACTCAAATATTAGTGAAAATGTAAATACAATTTGTGGTTAAATCTTTCCATAGAGATTGTAGTTGATGGCAGCTAGTAACTTTGTGCATCGTTAGTAAATTTGCAATAGACAAGAAGTATTTTACCGCTCTGACTTGGATGTTTTGTGTTTTTGTTGTTAGTGTCTTGATTCACCATTAATTGCGACACTATTTTCACCAAAACGCATCCCATTACGCTTTTCAGCATTTGCGTGACTTTTAGTCAAACTAATTTGAAAAACCATAAAATGGTTAAACATACCGATCGTCTACGTAAATGTGTTGACCGTCGGAATCGTCGCCCCACCTACAAGAGAGAATTAGATATGTTGGGCAGTTTTTGAGTAAACTTATGCACATCATATAAATGGAAATAATGGCACAGGAAGTACTCTTTTGACAGAATTTTAAACAATTCGCCTAATTTTTCGTGAATAGATTAATTTTCCCACAATGAGAAAGTTGGCGAACCGACGCATGGACATCAGCATTTATGAATAAAAACCACTTTTTATGCCTTTTTTGTGTGATTGAGCCTTCAGCACCTATTTTAAACGATGCTTGAAAATTGTCAGTGGAGATATTTGTTCACGGTCGTTAGACCTCGTTAGCTGATCCAAAATCGCAAAAATAAAGCAAGCCATTTTGTTAAGAAATCTGCAAGAAAATAGCAGGAAGTATTTAACTGATGTACAAACACTAAAGACAAATGGAATATTTCTCACCAACTTTGACACTCTCCTGAAGGTAATGCATTGATAAACCATGCAATTTTTATAGCCTTACGAATACACTTTATTTCATCTCCGAAAGCGGAAATTAGTTGAGAAGGTGGGGGTAAAAACCAGGTAATATCTTAAAGTGGCAATATTCTGTATCTGAAAAAAATAATTTTCAGTGAAATACATAACAGGTTTGTGACTCTACCACTTCAGTTTTCCCAACCACTTGTGTTTTTCCGCTCCGTGTGAAGGGAGCTTTGCTATTCACAACCGACCGGTTTCTCGAGTCGCCTGAGGGAAGTGATCAAAGTCCTCTTCTCTACAGCAGTAGATTTTCTCTTAAGAAAGCATCCGCTAAGACATTGCCAAAATGAGTTTGGTACAACCGTACAGAAGGTTGTGACAATGTGGCCAGAAAACTTGTACGGTCAAGTTCACAGTTCCAACAATCCCACCAATGTTTACCTTAAAAATCCTCTTCAATCGCTTAGCCAAGTGTAATAAATTGCAGAAATGACACCTCTTGTATCCATTTCTTAAATCCATCCGCTTAGCCTTTGAGAAAACTAGGTTGAAGGCCAGTAGAATGAGTATTTTATTATGTACAAAGACAAAAATCCCATCAAAACCTGATAACCCTCACAGACCTCACAAAAACGCCTTAAGGGCCAAAAGATCGGCTTTCTGCATGCCAGTGATTACAAAGTGTACGAAGGATTGTGCGGCAAAAAATACATTAGGTGGATGTTTCACAGGTGTGTATGAATAATGGACGGTCAAAATTAACGTAGTATCAGTAAAGTAGAAGAGGAAAATTCACTTCCCTTTTTATTAAGTAAACATTTTTAATAATTACTGGCAGCATCCTCAGACTAAACTGAAGATAAGAGAATCAACAACAAACCGAGAGGAGACGGCACTGCCATCATAAAACAGTCATTTGATGATCGAGGCATTGCAGCCAAAGTTATCGGTGCCGAAACTTAGGAACACTGTAAAAGCAGAAAGTAAAACAGCTACTGGGATATTGCGACAACCACTTCCATAGGCAGAGCCCAACTATATATTATCAGTTTGTATAATTGCCCTAAAAGGAGTAGGGGTAAAGGCGTTTTAATTTATCAGTCTGTAACGCCCAATACAGTTCTTTAACCTTGAGTAATTCACGCATTTTATGGAATGTTGTTTAAAAATGTTGGCTTGACTTGGACACGTCTGCAATTCAAAGAAAGTTGGGCATGATTTCTGGACCGCAAGTGTTTCTTGTCCATCCGGTTGTGTGTTGATTTAAAATTCAACGAGGCAAGTGCACGAGCTGAACACAGCAAAAAGTTCAAAAAATTGCATGAAATAATAAAAATTGCCATAACCCAAAAGAATTATTATTTAGAAAAGTTGTCTGCCATTGAGAAGAAGGAAGGATATTGTGGCTGTTGAAGACCGAGAAAAGCCCTCCTGAAAGCTTAGAATGATTGATGATGAAACTATTCATTCACATCTGCATCGGTGGATAAAATAACAGAGGCCATTAAGAATATGACTGCCACATGCATTGACTGACAACAGTAAGCTACAAAACTACTAGTTTTCTCCTAAATTCTTTCGCCTTGTGTAATTGCATTACACTGAAATTAATTTTGTGTTTAAAGGTTTACCACAAGGATGAACAAATAATACCTTATAAGCCCTATCAGATCTATGAGCCGATTATTTTTGTGGGCACACAATGTTGACAGAATTTCACGTCGTGTCACACACAAAGTATGGCACCACGGAAATTTCTTTAAGCGCGTTACAGAGGTCGTAGTAATACCACATTGTGCGCTATCACCCAAATCATTCGAAATCTATATTTTTGAGGTGGTAAATCACCACAAAAACATAACCTAATCTTGTTAAGTAATACACAGAAAAGGTCCCCAAGGATTTTTCGGATGTTTAGATCGAAAAAATTGGTCACTTCAAAGAGACCAATATAATGTATCATTTGGAGTCTTCTATGTGTGAAAACCACCGTCACACCATCTTTACATGTATGCAAGAAACATAGGCAAAGAATCGAAGTGTCAACTGTAACGCTTTGTTTAGATGACCACCTGACGTTTGGCTATCACTTTAAGATTTGTCTGGCCGTTGTACGAGTGGGCTGGCCTTCGGAATATGCTTAGTTCTAATCGCTTCATTCTTTTTGGGACACATGCATTCAACTGCACTTACTGCCCTCTCTCACTATTTCTCTTCTGCGATACATTTTTCGAAGGTATACGCTCAAGCTATGCACACTGGCACGTTGCGATGGGTTAAATGAGCACCCAATAAATAACCCTACTTTTGAGTAATATCAAACAAAGATTGCCTCTTGCCATTTTAAGCGTATTTATTTAGAAATCCAAAATCATAGAGAAAAACCAACGTAGGATGAAAATAACTGAAATTAATGATGTCGCACGGTGTGTTTATCAATACGTGGTATTAAAACAATAATTTAATGGCACTATAGAGACTACGATCCTGAATCAATTAATTATCGAACACCTGAGTAAAATTATTAAAACTTTGTTTTACTGTCTCGATTTGACCTAGTACCATAGCGTTGCCTCCGAGTCAATTTCAATCTAAAATGAGCGATCAATATTGGATAATTGAAAGTGAGAAAGTCAGGAAATTTGAGAGCATTTACAAACTTAAGAAGGAAATTGGTCGTCGCTGGTATCAACCTGTGTAGGTTTTTTTAGTGTTTTAGCAAAGAGAGCTCAAAAGTGTTTGGATCGCGAATGAGAACTGTTTCTCAGTTGTTAATGCATTTTGAGTTGTTCTGTAATTAAACAAGAATAACTGATATATATGCAGAATATAGATGAAAGTGTGCTAAGCTGCATAAGATCTTTAGCGAAATCTATGGACTTTTATTAGATTAAGCTGCATACAGAAGATTCTTTTAGCGGCACTTAACATTTATCGCTCTGGTAAAAGCAACTATTTTAAGGTATCTACTTTAATGCAGCTTTGGAATGTAACTGCCTTCGTTCATTAAAGTTTTTTTAAGAAAAAAGGCATTACTCAATTGGTGATGATTTATGCAAATTCAGGTGCGTGGACGTTTCATAACTTTTACTGATTTGTTATTTACTATCTAGAGGGTCGGCATCCTTTACTTTTCACTGCAGAGATATAACAAATCTTGAATGGGCCGCAAAATCTCTTCAAAAAAAGGTTGAATGACTTTTGAATAGTATTTTCAATTTAGACTAAGAGTCGCGTTGAAGAGGTCAGACTTGGACATCTGCTGCACTTGGAACACAGCAATGTAGTCCGATTACGAGAGGTCTTTGAAAGTAATGCCTATATCTTACTGGTCTCTGAATATGTCGAAGGAAAACCACTGTTTGAGTAGTAAGTGTCAGTAAAATCGTATAATGAGAAAAGATTCATTCACGTCATTTGTTTTTGACCCTTTATGGAATAATCTTTGTTTTCCATAAAACATTTTAGTTTTAGTTTGGAAGTAGAAAATTGCGAATCTTTGAACATTTTAGCTTTGCCTGCCTGAATGAGATGACCGAGGTGCTGATGTCATCGGCGGTAAAACAGATTAACAGAGGCCTTATGTATTTGCATGGCTTTGGGATTGCTCACCGAGATCTTAAAGTAGGAGAAGAAATTTTCTCATAGCATGAATGTAACTTGCACTAATATCATCCTTTTTTGTAATTTTAGCCAAACAACATTTTGGCAACCAAGTTCGGTGAAAGTATTATCGTGAAAATTAGTATGTTATTAATTTTTTATTCATTTTCAAACCGCCTCTTTGAACACCCCATTTACATATGCCGTAAGGTAATCGATAATTTCTACGTATAATCATTAAATTAAATTTTAAATAGATATACGAGACTACCATAAATAGTGCATTCAGAGGCCGTCTTTAATTATCTTTACATAAATAACTGAATCACTGCAATTTCTGGAAGCTTTTACATTGCTTAAAGCTGATGCAGCCTTCTCAACAATTATCGGCATGGATATGGAAATGGAATTGGTCAACGGTGACGTCACATTCACTGCTCCGGAAATTTTTCTCACCCACAAGCATGGAGCACCGGTAGATATGTGGGCTCTCGGAGTGCTACTCTTTATCATGTGAATTGAATGTTTGTCTGTGTGGTTTTTCCCATGCTTATTTTCTACTATTCATTGAATATGGCAACATCACACCTTACAGATGACTAAGCTTTAGGAGACTTTAATCAAAACACGAAATTATTTCAATAAAGTTACATACATTTCGTCCTTCTTTAACACACGTTTCTAATTCCTTCATATATAAATACCACTAGCCGATTTGATTTACTCAGGCTTATTATTAAGATCAAACTTAACCCTTCCAGCTTTTAAAAAGATTAAAAGATAAATCGAAAATCGTTTTAAAAGAGATTATTCAAATCCACCTAATCGGGCTGTGGTAGAACGTTAAATATGCTTTACAAAAAATTGCAAAGCTAACTGTATAGAATTTCGATTTCCATTGATGAATCATGGGTGATCATCTGACTAGGGTCTCAGGCATGGAACCATTCAAGCGAGAGAACGAGATGGACTCATTTCGAGCTATTCTTAAGGGTGAGCTCAACTTCGATGGAGCGGAATGGGAGGGAATCAGTATGCATTGTAAGGATCTTATTCGTCGGCTTCTTGCCGTGGAACCGGTTGTTCGTCTCACTGCTATCCAGACGACGAATCACAAGTGGATCTCTGGCGATGAAACGCCTAAACACATTCTGCCCGAGATTCCCTACCGATTGGAGAGCTTTAACCAGCGTTGCAAGGAACGGGTAAGAGGTGAAGTCATTTTTAAGGTTGAAGGCAGACTTTGATGCACTTCGCAATACAATATACGCCAAAATACAACTGAAGGTATAACGTGACAGTCAAGCTAAAAGCTGTAGGATGACGCATCGCTGAATATCAAACAACTAATGCCGATGAGGTCTGTCTGTTTGGTACAACTTAGTATATCTCGTAAGTGAGTGAGAGTGACCCCGTCACCTTAATCTTCCTCTTCCCTTCTTCGTTAGAACAATTCAATCGGTGTAATGGCAGTAATGTCCAAACCTTTGTCCAACATAAAAATGCAACACCTCACAATTAACACTTTGCCTTCAGGAACATTACCACCCTGGAAGGGATAGACTAAAAGCATAAGGTATCGTGCATTTTACAAATTCCTGCACTGCAAAACAAAGCCATTGAGCGAACTATCTTGAAAGTGGCACAACTTTCCAACACTTTACAAGCCATAAATAGCAATATGAAGTACACAAGTTAGGGCATCGATATCTACAGATGAGTTTTGGCAATGTAAAACCGTAGGGAACGCAAATCTTACTGCCAGAAGCTTCAGTTATATTTACAGATTTACCGTTGCCCCAGGCAGAGCTACCTGATACAAAATTCTTGCCTCGATGTAAGGCAATCAAACCGAGGGAGCCTTCGCTTCACTATTACACACCATTTGTAGGACATGGAGCATAGTGAAACACTTATTCTTTCGAATGAGTCGGTCAATCTGGAGTGATGCCAGTTATCCGAAATCATGGAAGACTTAGAGACAGTGTTTGTTGTGAACAGCTCAACACCTTAGTAAAATGCTTCCTTTCTTAAAAATAGCATGAGGAAATAAACTGAAGGAATGAGGTTATTTGCTACTTTGTACCACGCCTGGCTCTCACTGTCGAGGATTCTTGTTGTCGGGTTTATAGAACGGAAAGACGAAGTAATGAGTACGAGAGGCAAGCAGAGTTAAGAATGCTAGCGCTAGTTTGCTGTAGTCTTATACATTTATCCTTGAAAACAACAATCAGTAATGATGAAGACTTCAAATCACTTGCCTTTCAAACAAATATGTTTAGACCATAAATTTCCAGACTCTTAACGAGTCTTTTTTTCCCACTTTCTCAGGCAGAATACTGGAGGTCAGTGAGATCCCTGTTGCCAGAGGATCACTTGGAACGACCTTTGGTCAAAGATAATTCTTGCATAGCTCTACAAAATCGCGAGAGTGAACGCAATGCGACGCTCAACAAACTGCTCTACTGAAGACTTGGCATAAGAGGTGAACGTATAAGCGACTCTAATTATCTACCTTTGGCTTGCGAAATCGAGTGTGATGCCACTTCCATTGCCTTCATTGTGATGAATTCCGGCCGAAGGAGAGCATACACTAAAAGGGACCATGCAGACACTTTGGCATTTGGATAGAGTTCGATGAGTGGACACTAATGTGTGCCACATGATACGGTGCCCATTCGCATCAACTGCCTTCGTGTTCGGGCTATATTATCGAAGCTTACCTAAAAACTAATTAGGGGGTTTCTTAATGTTCATTCACTTTATCTTCCTTATTTCTTTTCCAAAAAAGAGCAATCGAAGAGACATTAGAGTCAAGCAAAGCCCAAAGGAAGCTTTTACGAAGGATAAATGGTAAGAAGGACACAAGCTGCCTTTCCGGATTTGGTCCTGTCCATGCGCTATAGTTGTATTAAAGCGGTTTGATTTGAAAGTATGGATTTTCGTGTTTGTGGATGGCTGGACTGCTTTTGCCTTTCACGTAGAGTGACTTATGCCTTAAGGTCGTCCCAGGAGGGTTTAGTTATGCGTCAATCAGCCACTTAAGGTGCGTCATACAGCCATAGAGTCGGGCATTTAAATTGTAGCAGGCGTCTGGACGGAGCTCAATGAAATAAATGACTTTATAGGGGTGCTAGAAGTGAAGTTTATGAAATTGCAGGCGTACTGCATTGGTTGCTTAAATGGCCTTCTGAGGGAGAGAGTCAAGAAGTCTATTCGAGCAGCGTTCCGGTGTATTGCAAAGACCACTCTCGGGGCTAGCATGGATACCCATTTACTCGTTGTAATCTTCTTTTCTCTCTATATTCCTTTGGATATGTCATATAACCCACCTTCAAGTGTCTCCTCTCCTATGAAGTGGAGTGATGGACAATTGTAGCAGGTGTTAATCGTTGTTTAAAATTTATGTGACCTCTGACGCAGTAGAAATGAGTGTCGGCACCCACGACGCGAGACTTCCCATCAGGCAAATGAAAGCGTTACGCTGAGTAGAAAACATGCATTCTAAGGAGAGAAGAAAAAGAGGGGATAGAACCTTACCTTGACCCGAAGGCCAGGCAACACGCACAAGGGCCAAACAAATACCAAAAGGCAACCGCCAAACATTAGGTGGTAACAAAAATGAAGTATTGCTAAATGGGCCACCAAGTAAAAGTATTTTAGGATAAATCTGCCAATGCCTTTATGGCATGGCCTTGTGGATGCGTAGAAAGTCTCCCACTCCTCTGGTTTAACAATAGTAAGCTCGGATGATGGACAACACAAGGGAAGCATATGTGACATTTATGAAGATGACTCGATGAAAAGGAACCAAAAGATTCTTTCCTTGTGCTCAACAAAATGGTCGATGCGATGTCAACAACTTATGACATGATAATAAAGTGTCGACAAGAGACGCCGTTTGTTTGTCTGTTGGTTGTGCTGGCAACCTCAAGTCCCAGTGCAAGCCAATCAAATGTTTTCTGCTAGAGTATTTCCAAGGGACTGCGATCTGACTACTGAAAATGTCTGGCAAAAGATATAGCTTTTGTGGTTACGACTCAACAATGTCGTGTGCTTAGAAAATCATGTGAAGAAAATTGGACTCAGAGCAGCATTGACATCTTTACTGGAACTAAACTTTTCATGCATTGGTCAAATGAAAACTAGTGCGTTTACGTCATCGGTCTGACATAAATTCGAAAAATGCATTACTGAACTACAAATATCTAGCAATAGAACCAACAGATTGAAATGCATGACTTTAGAGGCCTTAGTAAACAATAATGTTAGGGATATATTTTCTCAGTTCTAAGAAGATAGCATTCTTGGAGGCCGCGTTTTCTTTCAAGTCTTCTCCCTTTTCATTTAATCAAATATCACATCCGTGTGACTGCAGAGCTCGAGCGAGAGTATCGGAGTGCCACGCTTGGAGGAGTAATCGACGTTCGCCTCCTTCAGTGCTCGAAACATCGCCATCGAGGTTGGTCAGAGGTCCTCCTATTGATGACTAAGGAAGAGATGTAAGAGCAAGCAAGTACATAACCTCCCTTGTCAAAGAAGGTTGAAAAAAATAAACTCGTTCAAAAGCAAACCCAGTGATAAACGATGATAGCGAATTAATCTCTTTTAAATTTTGCATTGGTTTGGTTTATAATGCAGCACCATGAAAAAGGGTTCACTAAAAGTACTGACATAAAAGACAATTAGGTAAGGATCAGAACGCAAGGCAAAGGATTACACAACCAAATTTGCAGTTAATGCATCCTTTTTGGATACCTACTCGAGAAGGTCGACAAAATTTCCTAGTCAAAACAAAGTAGAGAATCAGAACCGTTATAACAGAAATGCGAAATGCAGTTGCACCTGTAAAATGAAATTCCAAGTTTGGGAAATTAAATTGTTTCACGGAGATTTAAGTCGAATGGAAATTTCGAGCACATTCAAGAAGGGGACAACTACTGGGGAGCACGACGTACACACTTCGCGAGTCCTAACTAGTAATCTTCCCAAGTGGAAAAAATTTGCTATTCTGAGTGGGTCGCCGTGGGACAGTCCGCCTCACTACCTCATCGAAGTACCGAAACTTCAAACTTAAGAATGCCAAATGTTAAGACAATGACTGAACCCTTGCAACACTGGTGGACTGCAAAAACTCTAAATTGAGAAGGAAATCATCGAGATCGAGATCTTCATAGACATGCAAACACTATTTCAAAACCTTCCTTAGGTTAATCTTTACTAGTCAAAGGTAGGAGGCTGACTCGATAAATGGCTAAAGAAATTAGTCACGATGAAAGTTTACTTCCTACCGGAAATTGAATTTGTGAACCAGTTGAATTGTGACTTACCGGTGCGAAAACGTGACACAGTAAGGAAGAATAAAGAATCAAATCACCATCCTCCAGCCAACTTTCAATAATTTTGCGATTCGTTGGTGAAGGAGGAGAATTCGTGGGCTAGCGAGAGTCCCAACTTGAAATCGACAGCGCCTTCCTAACAGTTAAACCATCAGAAATGATCGAAAACACATTGTGCCATCTATGAGGATAGAAGGCGGGCAAACAAGCAAACGACGTCACAGTGCAGAACCTTCAGCCGGAGAATGGGTAAGTTTTCCGATTTTTGCTCCCATTGAAAATGTATAGATTCGGTAAAGACGTTGACAGCATCCCCCCTCCCAGACACGCATGCAAACTGTCTTTGATAGATTATGGATGGAAATAGCTGAATGAATTAGAGGAATACGATCATTGGAGTGAGCACTTTCGCCTCAAAAAATCAAGGCAATCAAAAATTTTCTATCCAGAGTTGGGGAAAGAGGAAGAGAGGGAATTAATAGTTGATTTTCATCGACACCAATGCCCAAACAGTGCAATTCACCGATACGAGAATAATTGTACCTTTTAATGGCGAAAACCAACCCTGTCCTTCGAAACGAAAAAAAATGACACACCAAGATGAGTTAAGCTACCTCAGAGTAGCGGGAAGTAAGCCAAATGAAGCAATGGCAAAACTGCGGAGGGGGTAGAAATCCAAGTCGAGTTCATCAGAACGTCTACATCGAGTTGACAAATAAATTTAAAAACTCAAACGCCTGCATCATGCCTTGTAAAGTGCCCCATTTGGAGAGAATGGGTGCAATGTGTTGGCGTAATCATAATGAAGCAAAGTGAGGTACATTTTGACACTTGATAGTTTAAATAGCCCTGACTAATAGCAACAAGAAAACAATAACAGAAAATCACTTTAAATGACAGAATGGTCATAAGAGGCGAACGAATCAGCGAAAAATTCACCTTATCAGGCTTGAATAGACGGATACATAGAGAAGGAAATGCACGCCCTAGGCTCGTAGCCACCCATTCATCCCACCAAAAAGTCATTCGACTTCTATGCATGGAATTATTCAGACAAAGTTCATAAGTACTTTATATCAACCACAACAACATCAACAACACCTAAAACAAAGCAATCACTATTAAATTCAAATGCAGACAATTTTCAGAACAAATATTACAGGCGCATCTAGGGCAATGTAAAGAACAAAATGGAAAGACACGTAAAATTGAGGTGGGAATCAGTAGAGTGGGATGACCCCAACACCCACACCACCCTCGTGAGCTATCAGCGGCATTGCAGGCATCCACTGCCAGTCTGCAAAGACGTCGTCTCCTGAAATCGACATTTCACTGGTTGAGGAGGGATACGGTGGAGGCGGTGGTGGCTGCGATGGCGGTGGAGTACGTGGACCCAATTCGCCAGGACTGCTTGTTGTCGACTGGAAGGTGAGCAGTTCGATTAGACTCTCTGTTGAATCAAGACCCTGCAAAGTTGAGGAGGAGTCAAGACATCTTCAGGTAGTTATAAAATATGTACGACTTGAGACTCATATTTAATTTATTAAAAAGCAGTTCAAATTAGGTAGGTTTTGTAGCTATGCTGTCAACTCAAGAATAGACTTCACACATCCTGGCATCCTCGATTACCTTATGGGACATTTATTATCTGCGTTCCAATACACATGGCACGTTTTCCTCACAAAATTATGCCATTGATGGTTACAGAAAGGCATCACTTGAACTGGTTAGTTTAAAACCGCATAAAATAGAGAATTAACAGTTTAACTGCTCGTTTCTTTGACACTTTATTGAAAAGAAACACAGATCAGATATATCGCAAAAAAAGTTTGCGATCATCTCACGAACTTTTAGACGAAGGAAAGCATGAAACTTCAAACTCGACGGGAATTTGGTAGGTCGGTAAGATGCCTCATCACAAAAACAACCAAAATGAGAATAGACTTTTCCGCCAGCAGATCATTAAGCAACCGCAAATGTTCAAAATGTGCTTCGGACATGAGAAGCAGGGGGTTAGTTTGATAGCTATGTCCCAAAACAAGCTTCCATTTCTCCTTCTTCTGTAATCTGCTCCTTGCAGTGTGCACTTTTACATTTAATAAAACACCCAAGGGAAGGCAAACCTCCTGTTGAGCCGGTCAAGCAGGAGTCTGATAATCGCACTTGTTCGAACCTCAGGAAGCAACAACGTGAACACAAAAGATATTGGAGGCGGTGACAAAAGCATCAGAACAGGTCGTGCGTCCTAGTTTCTTATGAGAACGTTTAAAAAGAGAAGTTGATTTAATCATGAAGCGGTCAGATAAAGAGTGAACTGATAGATTTTTGACGTCTAATGTCACTTGTAAAAGGATTTAAGTGGAATCGATTCACCTAGTTTAGCACTCACATGAAATATCGCTGATACTTACAGGGACGCAAATGTAAGGCCAGTCTGCCATCACATTTCACTTACCACGCCTTCTCCAAATGCGGTGAAACAATTTCGACGAGAGAGTCAAAACCCAATAGGAACTGAAATAACTCATTTTGTAGAGAGAAAATCAAAGTAACCAACACATTAAGATCAAAAAGAAGACAAAAACCGGTGTAGAGCGCAGTAAGTAAGATTATGGGCTGATGTGTTTCTTATATAACAGACGACATTTCGAGTTACAGTGTTAATAGAGTTTCAATAATTAAACTCGAGTGCTTGCGTCAGTTTAGGTAATGTCGAACATCACCTTTACCAGCAGTTTCCCATTAAATATCATCGTTTCAAAGCAAAACGGACACTAATTAAAAAGAGCTAAACAAAATACGGACGGATTTGTTAGAAAGATTTGATTTCAGAGTGATGCAGGATTCGAAAGCTATAAACGCAATCATCCGCACAGAGATTTCCATTTTCGAACTCAACTTCAATCAAATAGGTGAAGTGCGATCAAATGAGAGCAATCAAACGTCATGCCACGCGTCATTAAGGGAGCAAAATACAAAACCAGACGGTGACAACTCTCAGTTCCAAGTCGCTTCACTATGTGTCTGATGTGGTGGATAAGAGGTCTAATTCTTTCAATCACTTAGGTTGCAGAACGAATTTTTCTAGCTCCCAACAGGCCAGCCTCCATACCATATGGGACACCAGTTTTTCCTAACCTTGGGATAGCAATGCAGCGAATGTTACACGAGTGGATCGCAAGAGTGAAGACATACCTGTTCCCATTATTCCGAACAATTGTTTTTTGACACTGCTTACAGCGACGCTCATTGTCTCCTTAGACAGGTACGTCTGCAGCATTGAATTGTTGCTTCATTCAAAAAACCACTCTTATTGCAAGCGACGTAGTAACATGTTAGAATTATTCACATATCCGCTAAAGAAAGAAATGTTGCCATGACTTATAACAAAATAAGAGCCATTAAATTTACAGAATAGTTGAGTATGAGCTGGAAAAAAAATTAAAAATTATGCCTTAAGGTTAGATAGTGGTGAAATTTTAGAGCATTCTGAGTTCTTACAAACCTTGCCTAGCAAAAAGATTCACTGGACCTCATAAAGGGGAAATCACAGCTAACGCAAATGACCAAATAAGGTTAAGGGACAGTAATGGGCACTAAGCACATTAGTTTCCTTATGCTGTAAACTTGTTGATAGGCACAATTTAAGCTTCTTATTTAATCATAAAATGAGGGAGAAAATTATTCGCATGCCGTCTTCGCACGCCTAGGATGCGATGGATTTACCCATTCACGTTTACAAGCGCACCTTGACTGATCGGCCGGATCCCAAGTGATTCATTTCCTTCATTAAATACACTAAACTAATCAACTTGTTGGGGTGACATCGACCTAAGAGTAGGCAGTCCAGAATATGGCAAATGCTCAAATAGAACTAAGATTGTTGTAATGTTAATGCTTGGCTCCATCTTCACTTCAACAGAGGCCTTCACTTTAATAAAATTACACGCGTTGGTGCTTCCAACATTGGTCTACCGTGAATAATTCAAGACCGATTCCATATTAGAAAGGAATTCAAGAAAAAATCTTTTCATGCAAACGCCACATATTATTACGATGAGTATAACATGCACAACTTCCTTAATGGGATCACAAGTGCACTAAATCGTGTCTCAATTAGGGTCCTTGAATTAGAAACAATGGAGGAGGAACAGAAAATTATTGGTTTCAAAACAATCGCTCCTTTAAGCTTTAAGAAAGGAGTTCATTTAACCAATTCAACCTTTGTGTCGCATGCGAACAGTAAATCACCTAGGTTGTAGAAGCCAATGTTCCTCTGGTGGCAAGCATGATAAGTAATAATAGTTGTAGATTGAAAATAGGCATGCCATTTCAATTTGGCACACAACTTTGCATTTAAATCGTGTATAAACGTGGGAGGATACGTGTTTGAAGCACCTTGAGGATAAAGAAGCCCCCAAACGTGGTAATTGTACAAAACGGGTATTCTAGGCATTTTCCTCCTTGCAAAAGCTTTATCCTATCTGTGCCCTTTCCTCTACAATTTTCCATCGCTTTTTTAAATTTTTTTCGCCCGCACTGGAGGAGGCCGATGACTCACTCGTTCTCGCTGGTGTTGCTTAAATGGTCGCCCAGTTTTCTGGGAAAAACTTCATTTATGTTGCCCTGCTGTTATTGCTATTATCGAATTGAAAAAAACTCCACTTTCTATCTTGTCAAAATGAAAGGTTTCAGTAAAACTGGCGGCATGCTCAAATTACAAAACAGTACCTAGCCAAAAAAGCACATTCAAGAATAGACGAAACTTGTAAATGCCATTTGCTGATGAAATTTGTAAACTTGAGCCAAACTACTGAAATATAGCTTAAGAAAGGATAATGTACAATGTTTTAGGCATCTCCACCCGTTCATATTCAAAGCTCCTACTTTGCTAAAGCCAATACGCTAGCAAATTCTAGAGACATTATACACGAATCTCAGAGTCGTAAACACAACAATTTCATTCCATACAGCACGCTGCCATAACGGCATGCTTCTATGATTAGCGAATTCATCAAAACAAAACCTCTCGATTTAATAGGACCGTAAATTTTCGCAATCATCAAAGCTAAACAAACTTTTCCAAGCTAAAGGCCTAGAAGGAGGCGAATCGCATCTCCAACATTTCCTTTTGAGAATAATTAAAGCAATTTGATTTAAATGCAGACTGTCAAAATGTGTCTCCATCATGCACCCTAGTTGGCCAACTTGTAGCCACGACTTCTCCCTCTTTAGTGGCATGGGCTCTGCTAGTTTCTCAGCGAACGACTGCTGTATATCCAGCCTTCGTCCTCTTTACAAACTGTAAACGAAGCTGTTCCAAATCCATGATCCGATAACTAAGATCTCACCTCCGTTGTAACGGTTGGTAAATCCATTGAACCCTCATCACTGTTAGTAACAGTAGTGGTTCCCTGAGGAGCAGTAATTGCAGCCAGTTCTGTTTGGAAGGGCATCCCGACTCGCGGTACCAAGAGACTTCGCGGACCCTCTCCCAACCACTCCTCCAGATCCTCGTCATCCCTCGACTTGCAATGTCGAGACTGGCGATCGCGGAGACTACCACTCCGTCCCCGATAATGTTGGTTGTGATGGTTGAGGTGGTGTTGATGAAGATCTAAGGGTGATAAGATGGTATGGGAGGTGGAGGGAGTAATCGTGATGGGATTGGGTTCACCACTTGTCCCTCCTGTCCCATATTCATTTTCTTCAACTACAACTACGGATACTCTCCCATCATCATCCGTGTCATCTTCGGCGAGACGAATGCAATGGCGAAGGTAGTGACTGCGAGAGGAGGAGATCTCACAGCGTTGAAAACACTCAACAGAGCAAAGATTTTGTTCACCGTCAAATCCGCCTGCGAAGAGAAAAATAGAATTGTTGAATGACCTTGGCGATGGAATGGGACAACACAAAGATACCTAATTACTTTCTTTGGCGCAAAACCATTTCACTCTGATGGCTCAACTGAAAAAAAAATTACTGAAGCGAATCGAAAACTATGGAATGAAATCTTGGATTAACCTTAACAATTTTAAATCAGGCGGAAAGCCTGACTCAATCATCCTATTCCCTAATCACAGATACCACGTAAGTGACAAATAAATCATGATACGTACATTGAAAAAAAAAATTACAAAGATGAAACCATCCCATTCATGCTTGGTAGTTTAATTCTTCCATTAACAATACCAAGAGGATTGCCTGTTAGGTCGGTAGAGGGAAGTGTAAAACACACATGGTCACTCGAAGATACATTTGGAAGTAATGGAGTGAAAGAGCAATGAGGAGGACAGCTCATTCATTACAATCGCCAATCCTGATGGAAATTAAAGTGCTGTCAACGAAATTGTTAGAAATTCGAAGTTTGGCAAAATAAAGAACGTTGCTTTCAGGCTGCAGAGACCCTCAATTAGATTAGCTAGCATTAATTTGGCACCAGCCATGGCTTTTGGATGGAAGAAATGAGTAGCTCAGGGTAATTTTAAACAAATAACGATAACACACAATTATCTATTGAAACAATGTACGTGCAAACAGTACATACACTTACAAAATGGTGTATTTTCAAATGAATGTGTCCTGTCAAAAAAATATTCATTCATTCATTGTACCGCTGAATGAAGTAGAGCACTGATTACTGACCTCCGTGCAATGCATTTTTAGGAATAAGCTTGATATCAGAAAAGGTCTCAATCCTAATCGAGGTTATACTGGCGAAGAAGTTAGTTTCCAAAGGCAATTTCATTTTTAAGTTGAGGTGCGACACAATAAGTTGTTTGCGAAGAAACCTAAATGAGGCCCATGTATCATTCTGCATTTCCATTCAAGCAAACCAGAATCTTTTCCTTATTCTGCCAGGATTTATCCCACTGATATGTCCCAACTTCCTCTATCAAATGAAACAAATGGTTGGAGGTGATATGGGAGTGCATAAGAAGATAGGCGAAGGCGAAACAAGGTGGAGGAGCAGGTGCAGTACAAAGCAAAAGCGGAAGCTCGCTGTCTAAGGAAAATGCAAACGAGCATTTGTGTTGGGAACAGAGTTGGAGGCCCTGTAAACGAAAAGGCCGACAAGAGATAAATCATCACACTCTTACCCCTCCAACAGCAGTGAAAAAATAACAACGATGGATGTCAGAGACGAGGAAGCAACGTCTAACAGGAGGCTATTCGGACGCCATCGACACGTAAAGCCAAATTTTCGCGTCGAATTATTATTATGCTCAGCAACTTTTAATGAGAATTTTAAGACTGTCTGCGTCTGCTAGGATGAGTAAAAACCATCTTCACTTGAGGCTGAAGGGGAAGTAGAAGAAACAGCTCAATTATTTACTAATGAAATAAAAAGTCACTGGCTTAGGAACAGGTGCTGAGAGCGCAAACGCTAAGAGCATTGGCCGTGGTGAATCATTGCCTCCGACATAGGCAAAAAAGGCGAAAGCTGAATAGCAAGAGGGAACGAATGGTAGTGCATAAACAGAAAACAGGTTGTTTGCATGTGGGAGAAACAAGAGGACTTCTTACCTCCTCATGTGAACAGGATGGTTCACAATGCAGCAATTCATTGTTGAGTTGCGTACAGTACACAAATTGTGATAGTTCAAACCAAACGAAATTAGCAAATTAAAGTAGTCAGAATTTGATCTTTCCATCAACGATAGGAACCTCGTCTGTGAAAGACAAAACCAATTATTGTGAACTGCCATATGGCATGAGAGCATGCTTTGGAATTATTAGCGCAGCCCTCTTATTGCGAGGGCAACATCTATTCAGCCACTAGGCCAACCTACAGACCACGATAATTTTCTCCAACTTAGACGACGATTAATTAGCACCGATGTCCAACGTGGCTTAGTCACAGTAAAAATCATGACAAAACTTCTCAGGCAATCCATACAATCCACATTCATTTAGCAAGTCATTGTTGGGCAAATGCTTAACTACCATTAAGGACTGATGGAGTTGTCCAAAAGACGATTCTTGCTCTCCTAAACTATCCAAACAGAGCACAAACTCTTGAAGAAGTCACAAACTATGGGAACGATAACACTACCAACGACAACAAAAAGGATATCACCATTACAGACGATGTCCATGCATTTTGCGAAGAGGCATTCATCTTGCCCTTTTAGGTCTCCCTGAAAAAAAATAAAAGTTCCAGTACCGGCTGGTCTCCTCCTTGGTACCACTATAAAAGAAGCTCATGACAGCACAAGAAATAAAACAGACACTTATAACGCAAACAAAGGCGTTGAGGCAGGTGTATGGACCGCAGAGGCATGAAGAGACTTTCTATCTCCGTTGAAATTTTGTCTCAGAAGATGCACAAGCCCTTTCGTTTAATTCATGACCCTAATCAGATCCAATCTCCAAGCCAATAAACAGTGAATAATTCTTTCCCAACACAAAGCGCCATGGTCTTCTGTGTTCAGCATTCATAAAGTGCAAAGAAAAACTCTAAAACATGAAACTCGGACACTGACTATTCGAGCATATCAGACCTAAATGAAGGAAACGATTGAAAATGGTAATTTTAGTGGAATATCTGAAAAAAGGTCAATTGAGCGTAAAAAGCACTTTGACAAGCAGCTTTAGAGGAGGATGAGTGAGGATCAAATGACATCGTCTTTCATTTTCCTTTCCCCTTTACTAGTCTGACTTAAGCGCCAATTTTATCTCCAGGATGCAATATGCTATGAGGTCTTGCAGCATTATGCACTACAAAGAACAGGGTTACTTTTCCAGTGGCTGAACCACAAGCATTGGCTGTTTCTCAGTTGTTCGCATACAAAATTGAGTCGCAGCGAATCGCATCAAGTAAGTAGAATAATTTCTGCGGCTTACGTTAGACCGTTGGGCCGTAGGACGAGCTATTAGGCACATAGTTTGAGGCAGCAGCTATATTTGTTGGCCTAACCAAAGCTGAAATACAAACTTTACTTCTCATAATGATCTGGTCACACTTTTCCAAGATAATGCGGAGAATAATTTGATGAGCATTGGATGTTGCTGTCCTCTATTATGCCATGTCAGTCAATTTGGACATAAAGCGATTAGTTCGATTTAAACATTTTATATTGTAGAGAAGTCGTGACTGGTGGATAATGCAAGAGTTATTGTTGCCAAGCTCCCATTTCGAAGTCTTATCGAAAATTCTGCAAAAAAATGACGATAAGCCTCTACCTTCATGATAACAAAAGGACAATTCCAATCTTACCCATTAAATTTAACAGACAGCGTGAGTCTAAAATAGGAGTCAGAGGGTGCTCGATTCATATCTGCACTTGATAGGTCTTCACAAGTCAAGCCAGAGAATGCACGACATTTACCATCCAGTCGTAGAATGATGTTGATAAAAAAACAGTCAAAAGAAAAGTGCTATATTCAAATCAAGAACGGCCAGTAGTTGAGTACCTGAGCGTAGGTAACCGCGTCCTCGGAGGAGGCATAGAGGTTACTTATGGTTATCGATAAAACCTTAGGTTCTGCGTCGTGGTTAGTGATGACTTAAAATTGGCTAATTCAGAACGATATCGTGTAAAACTATTCGCCGAGGCTCCAGAAAATTATGCCTCTCAATTGCTCCCTATGAGAATGCAACAGTTCAAGCACTATGCATAAACAAGTTGGACACGTTATGGTAAAGGAAGAACGAATATCGCATTCAAATACGAGATCCGTAATAGGCGCCCGGTGTAGAACGCTAACCGGCCAAACCATTGGGTTCGCAATACGCACATCATAAGGTGTAAATAACCTCAAGTTCACTGAAATGCAATGAAATATACTTCCGCTTTATTACATTTTTTTCCAGTTGTAATGATAGATGATAGTGAGTTTATTCTTATATAGACACGTCTTTTGGATTTCTTTCAGAAGGATATTGAATTGCAAAATGTCAGAGAAGGTGCGAACTATTAAGCTGTTTAAACCACAATCCACTTTCGCCACATTTCATCGAGTCAAATGCCTAGGAGACTTACCAATAGCATACAACCGACCGCCAGAAGCCGCCAAAGCAACTCTTGACCTCGGTGTGGCCAAAGAAGCAACTTCAGTCCACTGACCCAATTTTGGGTCGCCGCTGCCGATACCAGTGAGTGTGATGGAAGCGGGATCGTATACTTCCACAGAACGCAAGAAATGACACCCATTATAACCACCTGCGGCGAATATGCGTCCACGGAGGACGGCAACACCGTGGCGACAGCGACGATGGAGCATGGGAGCGACTTGGCACCAGACTCGACGACCACTAGGGTTGAAGGGGACGGAAGTGGGGCCAGAAACAGTAGAGACTAGAGGCGTCTGGTGTCCGCGGCGGTGGTAGCACTCTACTGAGGCAAAGATTGGCAGACCACTGTGACCTCCGATGGCGAAGAGACGGCCGTCTTCGAGAGCCACCACGCCACCAGCAGATCGACACTCTGTCATACTAGGAATAACTTGCCACCTAAGAGATGAAAGATAGCAAAGGTGATAGACTCTTTAGATGAAATTTAAAGCATTCTTAGTGGTTTTGAAAAAAGATAGCTTCCAGTAGGATTTTTAAAAAAAAACAACGATACGCTAAAGAGACCCGAGGAATTCGAGAAGAATGGATTTGAAGTTTTGCAGCCGAAAGTTTCTGACCAGCACATCAGCCTTTCTAATGTACCAACTTTACATCGAAGATAAGAGAAGTTGATCAGTATGAAATCTTGCTTCACAAAATCCATCAATACACCGGGTTAGATGGAAGCTTAAAATAGGCTGCGGTTCGACGGTTCGGTAGTTCAAATGGGGCATTGTTTCCTTGACATCAATTAAGAATATTCAGGTCAGGTAAGGAGAATAATACGACCAAATTTATTTTGATTGCACGAACTTGGTTAATGTAAGTCGCCGTATGAAGTAGCTAAATCACGATGCACAAGTGCACAGGAATAGATCTTGGATTTCACTTTGTTTATTTCAAAGGCCTTTCAGGAAAATGCCACAACGACGTTGACAGGTCAGAACGATACAAACTCCAGTAATGCATAAACAAAAAGGAAATTTAAGTATGCAAACAACGTTACAAAATTAGAACAATAAGAACACTATTGTTTTTGGACGTCCATACCTATCCTAGCTAAATGGGTATAATTAACTGTCAAATAACTGATGGAGGATGCAAAGTTAAACAGGCACGGACATGATGTTTATGGCTCGAAGACGTAACTTTAATAGTAAGTGAATGTTGGGTGACAAGGCGATAGGATTTGTAAAGAGCCTTAGCAAGCTCATAGTTTAAGGCAAAGGTTAGCATTGAAGTCTCAAGCTCTCTCGCTCTCTACCTCGATAAGATGTCCATCAACAAAATAAGTTGTTAGAAAAGCTTCTCATCGGGATCACCGAAATTTGGAAAGGGGTTCGCGAAGATGGAAGTCGTGCTAACCAGCATTAGCTTGTGAATGTCTTAGCCTGCCATGGCAAGCGCGGAGGCCCCGGCAGTTATTCGAAATCTCAAGTAGCAAAAAGGAAGTCTCGTTAAAAAAAATTGGCGTGTAAAGTTAAATGCAATAAGTAGAATGCATTCAATACCATACATTTAAAAGAATCAAAAAATGGTTTCTTGGAGATTGAGCTTAAAGTAAAACAGCATTTAAAAAAGACAAATATCCAGGCAAAAGGCATTCGCAGCTCGAGAGCTGCGAGCAGAAATAGTGTGCGTTGCTCCACTTATCTTATAAAAACCCCAAGTTAAAAGGTAATAAAAAATAAATAAATAATAAAAAATAAAGTTTTACTGAAACTACGTAAATGTGTTCCTCAATCATAATGGCCCGCACGCTTTCAAGCTCGTGACACCTGTCAGCAAAACATTTACAATATTGAAATGATCACCTCAGTTAGTTTTGTGGTTGTCTAAAATTTGGACGCCATGCCACCAATGGCTATAGACTTCACGTTTGGAATAAAAATTTCTGATAGCCTAGGCATCCCAACAACCCTTCGGGAAGAACATATTTTGGATACCTAAAGTCATCTAAATAACTCCACAATTTTGCGGTTACGCGCATGTACACCACAATCTCTTAGCAACCCTAATCAGAAAATAACACAGTGCATGCTTTCAGCTTGTCAAGCTTTATGATCCATAGGCCTTCATCTCGTAAACTTTTGTACAAGAAGGGGCATTGGCACCCGATGAAAACCAACAGTGTTTTTAGACCACTAGGGGGTATACTTGGGAAAAAGTAGGCCAGTGATTAGGCACACAGAGAGACTGAAGCAAGGATTGGCATTAAAAATGATAAATACTATTTCTTAAATTTTTCCATAGAAGGTGCAGAGCTCTTCCGACAATCTAACACAATCACACACTGTTAGTTCCCATGCCAAAAGGATGAGGGGATAACCAACTGCTTCTCCAACAAACATTCGATAAGTTTAAAGAATGAAAAAACGTGAAAAAAATTAAACCTCATAACTTGTGACCCTAAATATGAATTTCTTGGATTCTTTAAATGACAACGCAGCCTTTTTCCTTTAAGTATTTCCTTAATCTGGAGCAGAAAGGAGTTTTGAGGAAGCTCATGTTCAACTAGATACTAAATATAACGCTTGATTAAGCGTTGGTATAAACGTTCAATTTCAACCGATCAGTTGTACAATTCAAAGTTTCTTTTGGTATAAACAGGCCGTAGGAAAGATTCCACCTTAAAACAAAGAACCAAACAATATTGTACAACAAATCATCATACAATGACACTTTCTATTAGTGGTAAATGCCTATGAAATTTCGTTGAACGAACCTGAGCCATTGCATCACAAGTGCTACGTGCTTGCAACAGATTTGCTGTACTCAACGATAATAAAGTCGATGTTCATGATCGGGAAAGACTTGGAGTTATGCTCAAACAATGGCATAACTGGCCTGCTTCTGAGCCTAACAACAAGCGAGTTAAACAAATGAAAGAGCTGAGTTGAAACGTGACCATTGTATACTGAAGACGGCTTAGGCTTGTAGCCAAGTGCTAGAACGCGATATCAAAAAAAGATTATTGGCATATATAAGGCACAGACACAAATAATAATAATAATAACCCATTGATGACGTTAGACATGACAACTTTGGCTGCATTTCCGTTTCTACTTTAAACCATTCGATGCATTTACAATGGACCTACTAAGGCATGCACTGGCTTCAGCCGAGAATCTTGAGAGATATATTCAAGCGGAGAACAAAGTGGACATTTTGAATTTCAAAAACGGACAAACAATGACGACCACAAATCCGAACTACCGATCCTGAGCCTCGAAGGATAAAATACTACGAATAGGCAGCGATATTTCAACACCATCGGCCCTTATCTAGCAATTTTATGAGTAGCAGTCACAGTGTGCACATCACCTCAGAGCAAGGATCGTCTAATAGGAAGTTATTTTGCCAAAAAAGTGAGATGCGATCGTGAAGGTGCCACATGAGGTAGCAAGGGGTAAGTGCTCCACTGCTGACGTCCGTCGGAAGCCCTTATAGTCCAAATAAGGGCTAACCAAGAGGGTAGGCAAGATTGGCACCAGTGGCGATGAATAACGACATTTTACTGGAAACAGATGCATAAACCCTGCCACTGCTTTACCCATCTGAATATAAATGTTCCACATCGAGAATGCCCGGAATTAATAAAACAGTAAAGAGATTAGCTATCCCACCTTAGCCTTCAAGCAAATCGCTTCTATTCAATTATTCCTTCTTAATTCTTGAAAGGCTAACCGATTTTGTTCTGGGTTGTACACCTCACAGGTGCGAAGCGAAGATATCCCGTCGTAGCCACCACAGACGTAGATTCGACCATCAAGGACGGCAGCGCCGAGGGCACTTCGTCGGTAGTTCATAGAAGCTACCCGTTGCCAGACACCTGTCTTCGGATCAAACTTCTCCACAGTGTTCAGACGTGAACTGCCATCCAGCCCACCGATAGCGTACAGGCAGCCTAAAAGGAAGTGATTGAGAGAACGGAGAGTTAAGTTCATCGCCTTGATGCATTCAATGGCAAAAAATTACCCAAAATTACCTTCGAAACTGATAGGTAGTTTTGGAGAGAGAATAACATAATATACCTAGTCATTTGAGAAAACCTTAAATTAACCATTATTAACTTATAAAATAACCGAAGATAAATCAACTAAGTTGGCAAGGCAACGATGTTGGCCATTCAGTTTGATACAATGCGTTAGCCTACGATGAGAAGTGCTGAAAAAAAAATCAAAGCTCCAGTGAATTAGAAATTTTCATCCTAGAAATTATAGACAAATGATGCTTGCAAAACGCATCCTTCCTTTTCAAGCCATCTGGAAGTGACGTGGGAAATAAGGTGATGTGATAGACTTGGTTAAGCCATAACTACAGGGAACGAGAAGAACATTCAAAGAGTAATTTAAAAAGCAACGGAAAGCTGGATGAGTAAATAACTAATTAGTTCCTCGCCATGGAGAAGCAGACACGTTCCTTACATCCAAGCCAAGATTAATAGTTTCCTCCTTTCAAATACTCCACAGACTCCATCTTATTCTACATATCGAATAAAGCATCCCAAAGTAACCAAACCCCTTAAGCCCAATCTAGCAGAAGCGAAGAAAGAAAATTTCACAGTGGTGGGAACGTTGGTGGACCTTCTCTTTTCGAAGGCCGTGTGAATTTTGAAGGTTGGTTCAAAATCGCGAAGCCAAACCTTTACATATCCTCAGAGGCAATCGATCCTTATCCTCCATTCTCTCCTACAAGATGCTAGGAGTATCGGTATTAGCCGATGCTGCAAAACATTGACACAGCTACTCACTCACTAACGGAAGAAATCTCTCATCAGAGCCCTTTTACCATGAAGAGCTCTCCTTGACTCGAGAGCAGCCGTGCCAATGATAAATCAACAAGTTATTCAAATCGCCTCTTTCTCGTACCGTCCAAAACATTACACTCTAACGAAAGGAGTTTCTTTTGAGGGTTCGTGAAGGGAGGAAAATTTAGAGAGTAAATTTTATACCTTCACTAAGTCAATTCTCCACGTAAGGCAATGAAATCATGAAAACATCAAAGTCCTCTGGGCCTCCCCAATCTCTCTAGTGAACAGCAGCCCACGATAATAGAAGGAAGAGCCAGGCGGCTAAGAAAGGAGGATTTGCGTTATCTCATATAAACGATTAATTAGATTCTCCACGCAGACAGAAGTGAACATTCACATCGGAATCAAAATCTGAAAACTAACAATGGAAGGCAATGCAAACAGAGAGAAGGCAACATTTACCGGTATCAACCTGACCTTACAAATTATGTAAAAAGCCTCTTAGACTCTGAAACGGCGCAGCTACTTTTGAACGACTATTGCAAACAGCGCTAACTAGCTTATTCTGAAAGGGCTGCAGAGTCTACACTGACAACATTCTTGGATTTGGTAAAACATCCCAGAGCACAACAACGAATCAAAACTAGTACTAAACCGACTTTGACAAGCAGGATTAACCTCAACTCCGAAAGAAATGCCTTTATCGTCAGTGTTTGATCGCTTTCCCGGGACAGCCTTGACAGATGAGATCGTTATCAATGAATATTGCATAAAACGAGTGTGTAAATGAATAATGCCAGCTAATTAGACGGGATTCCCAGTTTCCTTAGTCTGGTTTAGTATTGCTGGCCTTCTGCCAAAGCTTTCACCAAGTTCGTCAGCCCACTGCTCAAATCAGTTGAAAGACATGAAGGAGATTGAGAGCAGGGAAAAGAACACAACAAACCATTTAAAATCTAAAGCAGATGCTCTGTGCCGGTCCTAGTCGTGCCAAACTTCGAAGCCAGCATTCCACCTTTTGCACCCAATAGAGGCGAGTGATGGGACCGTAGGATAAGGAAGAAAACACTTCATTCATCTATGTTAGTACCAGACTCAACGGAAATTTTAGGCCAACAGAATGGGGGCTGATCGCTGTCCACAGAGTGGCCGAACGCTTCAAGCAATACATAAATAGTAAGACAGTTCACAGTGCAGGTAGATTTTCCGCTGAGGTGAATCTGATAGGCATCGCATCCACGTTGTCATGCATACGCCCTTTTCTGCACTGAGTTGTAAAGTCATTACTGTAATTCCTTTTAACAAGGTGCAATCAAACCATCAACTTTCTTCATTCACTGCTTGATAATCTACCTGCACTGTGAACTGATCATCAAGCAGTGAATGAAGGAAGTTTATGGTTTGATTGCACCTTGTTAAAAGGAATTACATGACAACGTGACGCATGACAACGTGGATGCGATGCCTATCAGATTCACCTCAGCGGAAAAAAAATGACATGTTAGTCCACCAAACACCAACCCAGACATGGCTTTGTCGCATAAGAGGGTCCTGGCAAACCCTTACGAGCCCACAGAAGTGATAAGCTCGACCAGCAAGGGAGTCAGTCAGTTAGGGTAGGAATGGTCCAAACTCCAAGATGTTTTATGATAACACAAAGACACTATGTCTCTCAGGTACCCAGTGACTCCGAACTCGTTAATATAAGCGATTCTCCAAGAGGTGCAAGAACAACTGGGTTTGATAGTAGGGCCTTCGAAGGAAAGGTGCTAGCGGCTCTCACTTTCCGCAGAGATTATGGATTTCCGTCATACCTACATCACTTACAGAGGTTTCACGAGAGTGGATAGGGCTGCCATGGTCCCATCCCCGATCTCGGGGAGAAACAACCGATGCATAAATGATTACGGCTGCTTACCTTACGAAAATAGCTGGAGAGGAACCTCCAACTTCAATCGGTGGATCTGTCAGCGAAAAGTGTGAATAAGCCCATAGCAATTAAAACCCAAATTTTGAAAGTAAACTTTTGCCGAACTGGATAAACTTCCGAGATCTACACGACACACACTTCGGCAACTGACAGGCAGGAAGAACAAATCGTATCCTCAACGAGCTTCTAAAGGCTCTTATTGAGGAAAAATACCTCAGAGATTGGGATTTACACTTGGCACTCGACCACCTCAAATGCCAAGCTAAAGTGCACGCATCAAGAGTGTCACTGTTCAATATTCTAACAGACCATTAAATTAGCACTTCTGATATCAGTCAAACAACGTCTGAAGAAAGGCATAAAGAAGACTTCCAAGATCGCGCGAGAATGTTTATGGATGTCTTATAACAAGCAAAATGCATATTAATGCAGAAACAGTGGAACTATCGTCTACCAAAAGTGATATCTTGTTAAGATATATAGACTGATCTCCTACCCAAAACTCATTGCAAATCCTACCACTCTTAGGAGGAAGACTCCTTCTGTGCAGTGAGTCCTCTCACCCACGAATCACTTCACCTTCAATCAACAATTCTATAAAAACCGATAAATCGTCTACCACAAGAGGATGCGACCACAAAAAAGCCAATGAAATTTCCAAACCGATTCCGCCACCAAGGACTTACGCAGACTGTTATTCATGAAGCACGGACCCCTTCCACGCAGCAAGGGTCTTCTGCCCCACGAACTACCTTATCCCTAACGAACGACGACGAATCCATCCAAAAAATTTACAACAGAACAAAATCTGACCCTACAAAGGTGCCCCAAGGTCGAATATGAGGACAAAGCTCACGCGTTAATTAAAGATAATGCATAAGGGAAGCACCGAGAACGGCGTTTGAAAGACGAGGAGTGTCAAGTAATGCTTATTCGTTCCCTAAATGTACATTATAGACAGGAGGCTACAAATCAACGCACAGCTCGTGCTGGAGGAGAGGAAATATCCCTCGAATGCAAGCAAGGATTAATCGTTTTCGTTTACCCAATGCTGTATTGCATTCTAACAGTCATACAATGGGTCTCAAAGTGAACAAATTCCTTACGCTCAATTTAGCAGAGGGTAAGAAACATGCTTAAGTCTGCTTAAAGCTTGTGCTAGGTGAGTGGCTATGTAAATGACCGACCGTAAAAGCAAAAGCTTGGATGCGCATTAAGGGTATAGGACTGATCAGCATATTTTCAATGTAAAGTCGTTGTTAATGAAATAGGAAATCATCACCAAGGAAGGTAGAAAAAGATGCAAAACACGTCTTCAGGGAGGTTAATGCGGACGATTTTATATGCCTATTGAATTACTAATCCCACTAACAAGTGTCTCCTTTTCAACCCCTTAGCGCCTAGTAAAACGGCAAGTTTTCCTTATTCAAAATTGCACTATGAAGAATAAACGACCAGGAAGAATTTAAAATAAGCCAAAAGGATGTTTTAGAAAATTAAAGAGATGGAAAGTTGACGAGTAAACAGTCGAGAACCATGACGTCTCAAGTCAACATCTTGCAAAATAATTAGGGATATTTACGAGGATAAAAACAGCAGAGGCATTGCTGGTTATCATGCAACATAATTTGGGAAAAAACCCGAACAGTCGTCGTCAAGATACAGCCAGAAAGAGCAAACGGTTGTGAAATCGTCGGAAAAAATGAACTTCTTTATGCATGACTATAAAATTCAAGGTTTTTCAAAAAGGAAAATTTACCCTTCAATGCAACCACAGCAATCCGACTTCTTTCAGTAGACATACTTTCAACCACTTCCCACCTATCCACTAAAGGATTGTAAGCTTCTACAATGCTCTGACAGTCTCCATCCGAAGAGTAGCCTCCCACAGCATAAATTACTCCAGGGACCTCCTGTCCGCGTCGCGGGCGGCACACAAAAGAACAGGTGGAGGTAGAAAGTGAGTCTGGCATGAGTAGAAGATCACGAGCCTCATCCAATAAATCTCGACACGCCATGTCCGCTCGAACGTGAGGATTCTTAGAAACTACATCGCGAATGAATTGGGCGGAAAGGAGAGGGAGGCGGACACGAGCCAGCAGCTCAGGGAGATATCTGAGCCTAGAGGAAGGTGGAGGTGGAGGGGCAGCAGCTGATGGAGAAAGTGAGAGAGATATGAGACCATCAGTAATTGTAATATCGGAGGCAGTTGTAGTTTGGAGGGACTGAAGTGAGCGACTCAAGCTAGGACTGTCGGCATTAAAAGGGGGAGAGGACTGATGTTCACACCAGGCGATGATAGAGTGGAAAACGCGCTCCTCATTGCTCACTTGCAGATCGTCGCTCTCGAGGAGCTTGCAAAACTCAGGCCCAGTAAGGGCAGCAAAGAAGGCGGATGATGTGACCAGATGCTCAAAGTTTTCATGAATGACGCGATCACAAGCAGAAACGAGATTTGAGCAAAGAAAGCTGGAGGCAAAACTGCGGACTTGTAATAAGTTCTCCAGGGTTAGTCTAGAAGTCAGTAATCGAGTGACTCGCAATCAAATGAGTTAAGGTAGAAATTCAAAACAAATGGTGCATTAACAACAGCCAAAAACAAGAAACGTGGGGAAGCAAACAGCCTGAGCATGTCTAAAAGAATGACCAAATTTGGGTCGGCTGCAAAGCACATAGATAATTCAGTATGAAACACATTCCAAGCGGTCATTTAAAAATCTGTGAGTGCAGGAACAGTATTAACGCCAAAAAGAGTAGCAAAATTTAGTTCACATCTTGAGGGAGATAAAAAGGTTGTGATTGGCACAATAAGATCAAAAGTCTGAACTAAGACGAAGAAGATGAAAGATAATCTAGACATCAGAGCCATAAATAAATTTTACAAAATTTATGGAATGATTTCGACTGTGGAAACAAGGCAAAAGTTGGACCTTGAAAACTGTTCTTTTCAAAGGAGACAGATGCTTGAAGATCTAACGGCGAAACTGCTAACCGAAAATAAGTCAGTGGAATGCATTTTCAAAAAGCGTACCTTTCTTCAATATAGTGGCAACAGAAATTTCGAACACTATCGATATTGAGAAAACTGGCGCCAATCAGAGTTGCTTGTACATTCCCTGGAGTAATTTGAATTTCACCAGTGTAAGCAAACGTGATAAACGCTTCCAGTACACTAAAAAAATGTGAGAGCAGAGTAACCCTACGCTGGATCAATGCCTTTAATAGTTATTTCACGTTTTGTGGCTTCACTCATCCCACTTAAAAACATGGCATCAAAGAAGGGAATCGTGGCTGCCAGCACGATTTTGTGGGCAGAAAACTTTTGTTGATCCACCTAAAAGCACTAAAATAGGTAAATGCTGCGTACTATTAGGGTAACGTCGCAAAGTTTCCCTTTACGACGTATCTGTTCAAAGTTCGGAAAGGAATTGCGGACCAGGTTTTGGTCCTTAAAACGGATATTTGACCCAACAGAATCCTGAATTATTGATCGAAAGTCGAGGCGCTTCTTACCTGCCTACCCAGACTCATGACCCCGCGCAACCCTACCAACCACCTAAATTTCACTCAAAAGAGACGGCCGTGCAAGGGGGCACCTGTAAATCTCTTAATTCATTTAAAGTATTTGTTTAAAAAACAAAATACATGCATGGAAGGAAAAATAATTAATGCACTTTGTGCTTCTTGTTGCAATACTATTTTTTGTATTTTGCATATAAAATGGGAAAAACGAAGCAAAGATTAGATCCATTTGCAGTTTGATCAGTAGCCAGCGAAAGAATGTTGGCTCGACGAACTTTGAAAATTTTAACCTATTTACTCTGACTTTAAAAAAGCCCTATTATTGCAGTTTTGGTATATTAGGAAGATCAAGTTGTATTAATTGGAACGAATTTAGCAAATTCGAAATATTATTCAGTGATAGCTTGACCCCAGCTAATGCAACTGAGGGTATTTGGTTAATGAAAACTGTATCGTCCCAAGACTTCTTACTGGGTGAAAAAATGTAACAAGTGAAGCTGAATACATGCATTCCGAAGAGAACAAGCGACTTGATCTGGGCATGGCTCTAAGGCCAGCCCACAGGTACGAGGGCCACACATACCTTAATGTGACCCCCAAACATCATGTGGTCACGTAAACAAAGTATTACACTGCCCTTCTCTTCCTGTGATCGACGTCCTCGGCTATCCCCTTTGGTATACTTCCCGCTCCAACCATCACAACATATTCGGTACTGCAAGAAAATACCCACGAGCCAGCTTCTCAACCAGCATCTAAGATGAAACTGGTGAACGCTACTTGGTTTCTTCGGCAGCTTCAATTGGATCTGGAGTTACGCTTGATCTGACAATCAGATTCAGATCCGCATACACCTGTTGACCATCGAATGCTTCCAGGAATAGACGATGAAACTCTGGTCTAAAACAGAGATCGTCCCGCCACCGATGTAAATGCGCCTCCGCCACACCATAGATGCATGCAACAAACGTTGCGTGCTAGGCTATAAGTCGTTAAAAATGGCGGGTTCGCTTTCCGCTGCCAATAGTGTAGCGCTCCGAGATTTCCCACCGAAAGGAAGAAGGCAGTTAGTGGAGCTGGATACATGTACTACAGAGAGAACAAGCGATTATGCATGAGCGTGCTCTGAAGGTCAGCGCACACGTACAAGGGCAAGGTATGTCTAAAAGCGACCGTCAAGTGTTAGGTGCTCACATGAACAAAGCACTACACCGCTTGCCGCACTCGCGTATAATTTGTGACAGTGATATTACGTAACACTCTTCATCAATTTGGTTGATTTCTGCATTTAGATAAAGCAAATGACCCCAGGTCGATGTAAACTGGTGACAGGCGAGGCTAACCGATGAGATTTTCTTCAGGTCAAGCTCAGACCTAATCCTTTTCCCCTCCCCAGAATACATGTATTCGGTTCCACCTACTGCCACCGCTAGCGTCTTGAGACCTCCCACCAAGTAGAAGAAGGCATTGAGTGGAGCTAAATATATGCATTCTAGGAAGAAAAGGAATCAGGTCTAAGCTTGACCCGAAGACCAGCCCATGCGTACGGGGACCAGACGAGTCTTGAAGCAAAGTAGTATACGCTTTTCTACCCGATGAGAAGCAGCAGGACACTACATTGATCTCTCGAAATGTTGCTTTTCTTATTTTAGTGCCTCAAAACTTCCTATCGGGTGAAAGAAGGCAGTAAGTGAAGTCGGACACATGTATTCAAAGTGTTCAGAGCAAATTGGCCTGAGCATGGCCCGAAGGCCAGCCCACGTGTACGATTGCTATGCGAACCCAAAAGTGACCGTCAAACGTCATATAGTTGCATAAACAAAACCTTACATTTATTAAAAGTCAAACTGAAAATTCTGTCCAGCTTTTATATTATCTGCACCCACCGCAGTCTAACAGACTTGAGTTGATGTGGTTGTAATTCTAATACCACGATGTTGGTAAAATTATCTCAATATTACAAAATCCACCCTGATATGCAATTCAGCCGCAAAAATGATTTGCATACGAGCAGGAATTATTTGTCATGGCGACGCAACTGACTGTTGGTAAATGATTGGACGACGTAAAGTGCATCATTTGAGTTTGGTTGATGACTTCTTTGGAGGGGTGGCTGGGAATTGACCACCTCTATGGTTAGTTTTAGTCAAAATTTGACTCTTCCTATCTCGTTGCTACAAATAAGTGCCAGAAAGTGCAAAAAAATGAATCTAATGTCATGAGGACTTGTGGTGTGGTTTGCCAAAATTGTCTTCACTTAATTATTATTTGTCCAATCGATCACAGAACTAAGTGATCTCGTTGTTTTTGGCCTAAGTACTTATTCATGTCCCAAATATAGTCCTTCGCTGCTGAGTTCCCCTCCAGGTTCGCAGTTGACTTAGGTCTTCGGTATTCTCGTACCTGTTTTTCATTTTAAATTAAAACTTCCCAAATTTCACCTAATCTGCCTGTTTCACTCTGGAAACACAATAGAATACGAGGGAAGTTGGTATCATTTGAATAACCTATAGCAACCTCCTAGTACTGGCGTTGGCTCCTACTGGCTCTGATATAAATTAATTATGGGAGGCAGTACGGAAAGCTTCCTGTGATTACCAGACTACATGCAGTTGCGCAAGGCCTTGAGGGATCCCATTGGATGCCAACCTTCTAAGAGTCCAAGCTCAAAATACTTAAATCGATCTCGTTAATCTTTTGAGTCTACATAGGCACCAAGGGCAATGACTGATCGAAACGATAATAAGGGCAGGACTCGAAAGAGGGCTTCACCCAAACTCCCAGGCGTCAGTAAGCCACCCCCCGACATTCTAGACCCACCAGCCATGGAGAACCTCGACTTGATCGCACACAACGCGCCTGAAGCCCTAGCCTACCGTAACTATCGATGGCAAGGCAGCAAGAAAAAGAAGGGTTGAACTTAGTGACCCACCCTACTTGCATTTATTTCTCCTCTTACTTTAAATCAATTTCCTGTTTTTTTTAAATGAAATTCTTGGTTTTATCAAAACAAGTTGTATTTTGCAATGACAATTGCATGTTATTTGGCGTTGATAGAAGATTCGTCTACTTTAAATCCAAAATGAGCAGCAATTCGTTCCTGGCTAATCCCGTGCTCTCTCATATACCCAATCTTCTCGGCTAATGTCCCGCCTACTTCGAAGAAGCCGTTTGTGAATCGTCGCTGGGTGATCACCTCCCGGTCTTTTAACTGAATTCGCTTCCATGTAAGCACCCTGATACGTTTCCAGTACTCCTCAACTTTGTCTTCTGGCCCCTCAACCACCACTGTTCCTGGTTTCCCAGGAAGGCAGCAGCCGGTGAGATTGGACTCGCGGGCCCAGTCCACAATCACTTTGCGTTTCTTGGGGTTTCGAATGTGATGGGAGAAAATCCAATAGCATACTTCGGCCTCCTGAGACCCCTTTTTGGGCAGGGTTTTCGATGATGTCGCGGGATGACAATCCATGGGAGTAACGGATTTCAGTTGCGGTTGTGGTGGTGACGATTTCGCCACTTTAAAGGCATCGCGGCCTAGGTAGGCGTCCCAGTGATCCTCATCTAGGGCGGAGCGGAGCCAGTCTGCGACGGAGCAGATAACGGGTTCCGCGGTGCCACAAGCATCATCAAGCCACTCATGGAAAGCAGTATTGAGAGCCTTCTCATTCACTATAGATTCCGACTGTTTGACACGGAGAATGATAGAGGGGGGAAGTTGGGGATAGCCGATGGGCAGACTAATTGATAGGTCAACGATTATGGCTAACTGAAAGAGGAAAAAATCGCAAGGTTTGGTGATTGAGCTCACCTTGGTAAAGTCATCGTCACGTGAGTGACTGCGACTTAGTATGATGGCAAGATGTGAGGCATGTGTTTCATTGACTTGTGCTAAATTGGTTCCACTCTGTTGCGTCACGATAAGCAACGATCAAGTCGAAAATTTTTGACCTTGTTACAATTAATGGGACAAGAACTATGATTAATTTTCCATCAGAACTGCAGAAGTGGGTGATATGTACGAGGTGGCTGATAGGAGAGTAGAGTACCAAGCCAAAAAACTCGCCTTGATCGACCAAGTGAAGCATTCAGTCGAGAAGTACTGGTGTATCGCTAACACATATATAGTCACCCCAAAATGGACTCACTAGTATGATCCAAATGAAAAGGGAGTCGCGTAAGGCAGTCAGGTTTACCAGAAAAAGAAGCGAGATGGAATAAATATAAAAATGAATAAAATATACTTTAGAATAAAACAAGATGACCTTGACCGTTTCTTACTTAAAACATTTCTGAGTCAACATTTTCAGAGGGAAAAATCAAGGGCGGTTGGAAAGAAATAATGAAAACGCATACTTTAGAATTTAGGGCACAATACAAGACCTTGATGTTTCATGAATGCGGGGAAAGACTTTGGACGATGGCAACAGATCGCATTCGAAAAATAGCCTTCCATGCACATGCTTCAATGAGAAATAGCCTACCCTTAAAAAAATGGCACAGAGAAGTTGAGGAACTTAAGTTAAAAATGCAGGTAGCGATACAGGATACTTTTCTTCTAAAGTGTGGCACCGACTTATAGACTGTGAAGGAAACGCCTCTATGGAAAAAATCAGCCAAATTAAGACTAACAATTAACAGCAAGACTGCTACTCAATAATCTGACAGAAGGAGTCATGATGCACACCTCATGTCGTGACAAAAATACGTCACAATAAAGCATATGATCTCACAATTCACACCCAACTAATGTTTTGCAAGGGGACTACCAACAACCGTCCGATGTAAACTATTACATTTCAACAAATTTTTGATAAGGAATAGTAAAGGTAAGTAAAAACGTAGGATTATTTTGTACCGACCAACAAACCACAAGCAATGCATTGCTCGGTACAACTTAATCCTATTTTTCTACGACCAATAGCTTCTTACATTTTGTGCAGAAACGGTGCACTGTTACAAAGTAAAGAAACATAGCAATGGTGAGAAAGGCGAAGAAACTAACCTCAGGGAAGGCAATCTTCAGTGTTAACTCAATGTCCTTATCCTCAATCGGTAGATTCTGCGAGGCGAGAAGATCCAGTTCTTCGATTAAGGAAGGGTCACTAAAAATCAACTCATCAGATGTAAAGACGGAGCGGATGAGATCGATTTCGGCTTTCTTTTCAAGCACTGACGACATTGACGCCAAAACTTGAATGCTGAATCCGAAATTAACAGATATTTTTCAATCGGTAATGCAAGCGTCAACAATAACAAAAGTGCTTCGTACCATTATTTACTTACAAAAAATCTGTACAATTTCGAAAAACATCTGCTAAATACAGGAAGAGAGAAAAAAGTGGGAGAGAAAGTAAAACTTGAAAAACCCACATAGGGCTGTTGTCATTTACAGATTACGCCCGTATTCTTTTCATCCTCAGTACGTTGGAGGAAAGTATCCTTAAAAGAGGCATAATTTGAATAAAATCCAGCCTACTAAATCGTATATCACACGAATTATGAGAGAACAGCTGGGACAACGTGCAATATCTTCACCCATCTCCAAGTCAGCCTTGTATATTTCAAATCGGTCACCACAAGGACAGGGATAATGATAGAGCTGTTCGTCTTCATCGTACTCCATGTCCTCAATTTCGATTTCGTCATGAAGAACTGACATTAGTACAGATAGCTACAAAAATAACCATAAACAATTTTGGTTTGACAAAAAGAGCAACGCTTCAACAGCACATAACGAAAAAAACGTGTCATAACAACCCATAAAGTCAATGAACAGAGAGAACGTGAATATGACCCACAATAACTAAAGAATTGTGAAGACGAAACCTCGACACATGCTTTGTGGGGAATAATAGAGTGTGTAGCAATGGAACATCACCAAAATAGACGAACCAGACCACCTGCCACTGCATCAAAGCTACGATGCAGTGAAACACCAGACCAAGTCAGGCAGGCTAACTGGGGACAAATGAATTCTGTACATCATTATCTATATATATGATGGCATTGCAACTTATAAGTTGGCATATATCACGGCACTCTCTGGTTATATATAGGTTTAATCAAAAAGATAAATGCTTTCGTGTACGATTTATTGTTCATAGCAGCTGCTACTGCTTTTTTTGCTTCTCTAATAGCTCCCAGTGTTACACAACTTTGTCCCAATTAACTTAAATCAGACCTCTATTAAGCATTTAATACAGCGTGCAGGAAGGGTTAGTGATATTACTGAGGAAGCGTCTGATCTTATTTTAAAGTAGACCCCGCAAGCCCCTCTAAACACGGGATTTGTATCTCGTTCCACTTTACGCCTGCAAGGGCAATTTAAACAAAGCATTGTGTTTTTTAACAGCTAAGAGTTTGCCCAAAGCCCTCAATCAAGGCAAAAGTAAATTTCAGATGTTGGACTGTTAGACGTTATGTGAATGACAACCCAGTTTAAAAAGTATCTCACCCACGTTCCTCAGCGGAGCTACTCTAGCCTTTGAGGCTAGGTAGACCCTGCCGAGCGTCAAGAACTTCTAATTTGTTCGTCTTAAAGAGGCCTAGCAGTGACACTTCACGTTATAGCGTCCTGAAGCTTCCCTTGGGGTGGAAGAAGGCATAAGTGAGGTTGAATGCATGTATTCCGAAGACAACAGGGCAAATGACACCTGAACGTGACCCGAAGGCCACTCCACATGTATGGGGGCCGCACACAAACACAATACTGCACTGGCTCCTTTCTTCTTTTGAGCGATGTCCTCGGCGATCCCCTTTGGTATATTTCCCGCCCCAGCCATCACAACATATTCGGCACTACAAGAAAATACCCACGAGCCAACCCGTCAACCAGCATCTAAGGTGAAACTGGGGAATGCTACTTGGTCTCTTCGGCAGCTTCAACTGGATCTGGAGTTACGTTCGATCTGACAACCAGATTCAGATCCGCATACGCCTGTTGACTATCGATTGCTTCCAGGAATAGATGGTGAAACTGTGGTCTAAGACATATATGTTACAGGGGAAACGGGATGAGCCACTGTCCCGTATGTAAGGAGATCCGTAGTGTCATTTCCGACACCTAAACACGGATTTTGTATAGGCAGTTTCGACACGGAACTTTTCCAGATAGTTCACGGCGGTGTCGCTTCAGTTGTTAATAGCTTGTTTGTGGAACACGGGAATAAGGTGAAAACCACTGCAGACGTACGTCTAAATCCTTACGTTGTGAAGGGTTCGGGCATTCTCCGTCACCAAGGTACATGCGCCTCCTTCAATTCATGTCCCTTTTGACCTATATCCACATCTATTGCACTTCGATAGAGTCAGACTTCCATAGACGTCTGTATAGCTCATGATTTCCAGTGAACAACGCCAAAATGAGCTTATTGATCTTGGATTTCTACACTAAAAGTAGAATCCCTTTACAGTCTTGTTTGCTGTTTGAATTGTAAACTTCTTGTCATGAAAAGAGGGGTTTTGAATTTCCGGCCGAGGGAACCCGATTTTGGGGTCTAACAGATTATCAGGCTCATGGATACTCAAATCCAGAGCATCAACACCAAGAACAAACGACATGCATCTCCAGATCCTGTGCGATTTGTAGGTACTGAACCCTTGCATCATCCGATCGAACCATTTATCGTCAGCTTGTTCATACTGTTCATTTCCAGAAATTAGCCGATTAATTGGCAAAGTTTAGCAACACAAACGTAGAATGCCAGTAAGACAGTGGTGTCTGTTAGATAATGGATTTCCCGGACACCATGTCGCTTCTTACAAACGACCAACGAAGAACATGCCACAGAGAGAGACCCCACCTCGGCTGGAGCAGAAGGACTTAAGAAGCACTTCATACCTAAACATACCTAAAAATGTCGGGTTCGCTTTCCGCTGTCATCACTGTATCAACCCGAGGCTTCCCAGGACAGATGGGACCTAAGCGTGGCTCGAAGGCCAGCCGCGTGAATAGTGTTTGGGCAAATTCTAAAGTGACCGCCAAACGCCGGGTAGTCACATAAACAAAGCATTACACAAGTGGCTGATAAAACCCATTAAATCTAATTTTTTAGTGTCGTACCTTCGTCCTTATGTTTCTCATACATTTATGCGAGTCACTGCATTCTGTGTACGTTTATTCTGATCCGCGGGTGACTATGCCTTCGTCAAACTCAATACTCTTCCTGACGCTGTGCAAGAGATTCTGATTTCTCCTCTGTTTGCAACATTACATCCTGCAGACAGAAATTGGGTCTTAGTAAAAGAAAAGCTTATAATAGGATTTGCGCTTTAAGTTCGACATGGATAAGGGATCATAATATATGTAGGGACACATTCACTACCCAACAAGCCTTCAGGACAAGTGTTATAATTTCACCCTCAGTGGAGGGTGCAGACGACAACTGTAGTTCCATTTTCGCCGCTGCGGTTGTTAGCTTAAGTGATTTCCGTTCTAAGCTGGCAACACTGCTGATGATGAGCGAACAGAACTGCACTCACTGTTCAGCAAGCAATTCGACACGCTCAGATGAGCGGGAAGGATGAATGTTGCTTTACCACAATCGATACCAGTGGTGCTGAGCCTTTGTGGCAATCATTTTAGAGCCTACTATCCCCCTCTCCAAGATGTCCACGTCATCCTACGCCTCCCTATCGCACAGGTGACATAAAGCTACGACATCTTGTAACTTTGTATCCGTTACAGCACGCTAAACACAGTGCGCTAGGTTGGTGTGTTTTATTTACCACAGATAAATGAGACTAAATTCTCTACAGAAAGCTCAAGCGCTTCTTAACAGTGGATTTTAAGTTCAATTACCGACTAGAACTAGTAAAGAAAGTCTTTACGAGTTCCATATAATGCCATTTGACTTGAAACATCTTAGGTACCTTTAACGCCCGAAGCGAACAGCAAATCGTAGTCTCCTTCCAAAGTACTGCATAACTTATCTCACTGACATTATCGTCTTGGGTAGAGATGTCTAAGAACACAACAATAATCAACGAATGGCGTTGGGTCGTCATCAGCATGCACGATTATGGCGAACGCAAAAGAATACAATGACCTCCAGAGCTTAGTTACGTCCTTTGGCAACACACTCTTAGCAAACGGTATGGCGGTCATAGAAGACGGTAGAAAGTAAGTGGAAACATAGCCAAAAATAAGCAACCGAACGAAATTTCTAAAGTTTGTCTGATTCGGCGAATTATCACGAGTGTTTTGTTAAAGGTTTTGCTAATGTCGCGAAGACAGGCCAAATACTCTCCTATTGGATTTAGGGCACGTAGAAGCATTCTAAAATTGAAGACTCACTATGACAAGCACTTGTTCCAGCTGTGCTAAGTTTTGAGGCTGTTTTTCTGCTCCTTTGTACTGCGTGTAAGACGTAGATTGTACACGCTATTGCCCGTACCATCTCCAGACTGAACAGATAAGTGCAACAAAAAGTGAACTTTTTGCTATATATATCCGGTGGTCAGTCACGTCAGGCTCTGATGAAGTCACAACAATGGTAGGAATCTATAACTCATTTAAGCTGTTGTATGTGAAGTCTCAGCGGTACGACTTCTCGACTCAGTACAGGAAAGGGAGCGGGTGCACTATCCTCCGTACTCTACTCGGCAGATGCAGATGACGCTACAGTGGGTACGCTGCCTCTTGGTGATACTAACATTTATCACTGCAGAAGCCCATAGAGTGCCAACCATGATAAGGCCCTCGTGTACAAGATGCTTTAGACATTTTTTTGGCAAGACCACATCTAAGTGGAGACGGCCGTTAGACAGATAAAGCTAAATTGATCATCACGTTCTCTAGAGGGACGATTTTCCATGGCACTAGAACAAATCAGAGCACATCTGAATAAAAAGATGAAAGAGGTCATGAGGAAAAGGTATTTGTGATGCCTGCTGACCAGCCTGAAGAGAGATTGCGACAGGCAGACCAGGGTCACTGATCTGATACAAGCACGCAAACTTATTTTATTTTGGGAACTCACCGAATACTCTACCACCCCTGGCAAGATTCCCTACCGCGTAGTTAAGGCTCTCTCACACACGAACGATCTTGTCAGAAAAGAAGAGCTTTGTACCCGCTCACTAACCGTTTACTGAAATAGGATACGGCTCCTTCATTGGCTACAAGATCAAAATCTATACGATGGCAGGAGAAAGAAAGCCGCCAGATGACTCAGAAGAAAACCATATGCTAGTTCATTACTTTGTTTATTTGCCTATATGTGTCAGAGATGGAAATTTTAGCTTCCATCTCACACGTTATTGCATGCGCTGGGCTTTAGTCCAGATCAAAGCTTAACCTCTCTTCCTTCAAACTGAATGCATGTGGTTAGCCTTAACTAATGCCTAATTCTACCCAATAAGAAATATTGGGACGTCGCAGCCAACGGCCGGTACGACCGGACCATTGTAGGCACTACGCCTCTTTTGTCCTTGTATCGCTACTTTTAATGTATGCAATGCTTAAAAATATCAAAAAAGTTGCCGCCTCAAAATGCAGTTGGGGTGAACTAGGGTAATAACGAGGGAGAGGTCGCGATTACCTAGTGGATAAGAAGATCCCTATTTCATTGTGAAAATTCAAGAGAATTCCGTTTCAAAATCCCACTCCGAATAAAATGGTTCGTTAGTTTTGATACTGTATTATGACATTCACCATGGGGTAAATAACCTCATCCTTAACGTATTCACATATATGGCCGTTTCATTAGACATACTTTTGCAATGTTTATTGTTCCGCCTCTCTTACTTAAACCGATATGAGTCTTAAGGTCATTGTTGCAAATCAAAATTTTTCACAGGCACAGGGAGCCTTTTTCGTAATTAAAAAGAATTTTAGACTATAAAGTCTTAAAAGTGAATAATTTTTTTGGCCTTTCAAGGTCATAGTCGAAGTAGAGTAGCCGCGTACGATTTGGTGTATGCCGTCGTTTCGGCTCCTCTTACGTCGAAGTTTGATCTGCGTTGGTTTCCCTCTCATCTGTAAGTAGCCTTCTCGTATACCTCTGTGGTTTTAGTATGCTGTAGATAGTTATTTGCTTGACACTGATATGACATGATATCGTTGCACAACACTGAAGGTCTGTTTGAGGGTGTTTTAATTTTTTTCTCTTGAAAGGTATAGCGTCGCAGAACTTCGCTTTACCTAGTAGTACGAGTCCTAACTTGTCTGTTCCGCCTGCCCAACATAATTTGTTCTCTTATTTTTGGTTATTTTTTTGAATCGCTACTGCAAGCTATCCTGTGAAAGTGATGCATTCGTTAGGATAACAGTGTTGCTTTGGTTGCGAACTTTGCTCAGGTTTATCTGCCTATCCTATCATTCCTTTTTTCCTGAGTGTAACCCATTTTTATTTCGTGTGGTGTTACATTCCGCATTATGGGGAATGTGGAACGCTGGTCCACCTCTCTACTTTAAATTGATTACGGTCCGACATAGATACGCGATCCTTTACCCTTTTAGCTCATTCTTAGTTGCGTGTTAGGTCTCATTTCTTTGCAACCGGTCAAGCTTATGTATGCTTGCGGCACTCCCTCTTATTCGAATTCTCCCATGCATCTTTAGCTCAAATTAGAATGGCATCTCGTTCACTCACTGGCTTCTTTAATCCTACGGAGTTTGGAATCCGAGAGGACTTTCGGTTGACCAAATTCTCCTTACTTAAAGGATGAGGTTGTAAGCTGCCGCAGGCCGAGCTCACTCCTCTGCTTGCGAAATTGTCGGGATGCTCCAATTCCTCGACACCCCCCACGTCTCCCACCTCCATCCTCTGTGAGTTTTCTCTTTTCCACCGACTGATGCGTTTTGTGCAGTCCATCACATGTGGGCTGACAAGTATTATCAGTCCCTTTAAGTGCTACTAGATGTGCGATTTGATATTCCTAAAATTAAATTGCAATCATCATGGCTATAGTCGTGGGATTTTTTAATTTTAAATAGTGCATAAACATGGGCCTTTTATTGCTCAGGGCGTGGTAGTATCGCGAGCATACTTCAGTTGATGTTTGTCTCTCAAATTAGTGCCCATTTTGAGATTGATCTTGTGCATATTTCGCTAGACCTTTCGCAAAGCAATGCCAGGATGCAAAAGTAATTTATGCTTATGGAAAATAATCTGAAAAATACAGTAACGGTCCTTGTAAACGCGGGTCTGCGTTTGTTTTGGTTTCAGTGCTATTCAGAATGTAGTAAATGTCTGCACTAATCTGCATCGAATGAGGAAAACGGACGTTAGTTACTGACTTTAGGGCATTTGCGTTTAGTTGGATAAAGTGAGATCGCTTCTGACGTTTTGGCAATCCATAGATCACTTGATTTAAACTGCCGCGAGCTCAATGGTGGTAGTTTTGGGCAAAGCTGTGGTAGAAAGATGCAGGAGATTTGACAAATTGTTGGCAGGAATGGCATATGTGAAATGCTTTGGATCAAAGATGGAACCCTAGGGGTTCACATATTCGACGCGCTCGTCGCCGCCACAGCATGGATGCTTTTTCCCGACCTCTTGACCTGATTTCATGATTCACTCGTGTGTCACAGTTAATCATTATTGGTGGAAAAAACTTGGAAACAAAAGCAGAACATCAATTCTCTTCGTCATGGTGGAGATGCTTCGATCACATCAATTGATTTTCCTTCGGTCTTAGTGGTGAATGAGTCGAGTAAGCTGTGCTAACAAGTATTCTGACACGCCACCAAATCATCTTTGGGAAAGCTCAAAGATGAATCTGCGATGAGGGACTCAGCGATTTTTTATTGCCTAAAATTGGGAGGGTTTTGTTACTTTTGCAGCTACCGAGCTTGACTGTTGTGTTATCCCCGTTCGTAACAACCTCAAACTCATTCAGACAACAGATTTCTTCTATGCCAACGTCGACGATCCCTACACAATGGTGCGTTTGTTTTTTTTTCTCATAAAATCTTCCAAAATGCATGAATTGGGGTGAAAGTGCTGCATGACTTTCCATAATTCATCGTCATGTAAGCCTTAGCGACCATACTTATTATAATTGTATTTGAACGAGTCCGTAAGGACTTTTTTGGCAAAGTTTCCTCTCTTAATGTTGAGTTTACTGAAGAAGTCTTCCCCATAAGTGGGAACGGAGTCACTTAGGCTATCGTTTTACTGCTGGCCCATTTGCGTGTTTTGCTCTTGATATGCACTCTCCTGCATCTCTAATTTCCTTTATTCTGCTGTGTACCATGCCTTTCTTTCCTTTTTCCGATTCTATCTGCGTCTGACTTGCCGCGGCGGTGCGTTCCGAACCGATCCAGTTACTGCAAAACTGTTTTGTTCCCTTCTATGATTTCCCAATCTGAGCGTCTGTGATAGCTAGGAACCAGCGCCTGACTAATACATAACTAGTACCCACTCTCGGAGTTCAATATTACTCCAAATCATCGGCAAGCTTTAATTTCGGCGACTTTAGTTTTCTAGCAGGTCTTTGTTCCTAAAACAGGCGAGAATCTCTAGTTGCTTCAGCGACTATGCTCTTGCTTGTGCGTTGCTTTTCACGGGGACAGTATGTCATTGGTGTTGTGCATCACGCGACCAAAAGTTACAACCTCTTGTAACGTGTCAGGACTTGTAGAATGTGCAGCGCTCTTTTTGAAAGTGGATTATAAGACGTAGGTGGGACAACGTCTGCTTGTCGTCGTGCTACTTCTGTCGTGCCTTCTACTGCCTCTTCTTTTTAGCCCATTCTCACACTACATCGTGGAAACACTTGTTCAAAATTCTTTGAGTCGAGCATGCTAGTTTTCAGGGATGTGAAAGCATTTCATCGTATGCAGTTGAAGCATTTCAGACACTGCTGCGAATTGGTATTTACTACGTCAGCAGAGGATTGAGATTTAGTTAACTGAATTTCGTCTACTCGGAGTGGCACACTAATATAAAGAAAATTGTTTTTCTACAGCGACAAGCTTAAGTCAATCACTGGGACACTTTTTTACTCAAAGTTACGTAAAATCGCACCGTATACAGCAAAAAATCTAGGGTGGGGATGAGGAGACACATACTGCCTCATTCCCTGGATGCCTTTGATGATGATTGTCTAGTTTGTTAATGAGTGTTCTCTGTTTGGTGTGTTTTGGATTTCTCCTCCTTTTATTGGTTTCAATGTGTGAATTTATCTTTAATGAATTCAAATTAGTACAGCTGCAGCATTTCTGCTCGAGTACTTGACACATCCATCTCCGCTTCCATTCTCCTCTTGCCTTTGCGCGGCCAATGTGCACTCAAACTTTCGTCATCTTTTGATACTCAAACCTGTAATCCACACACTCTCGATTATCACTTCTAGTCATTAGCAGTCCAAGTATTTGCCCCCTACTGCATAAAAAGCAAAAATTATTTGTGTTGGTTATGCATGAATGCGACAGCACAGACTTACTGAGGTGTCTTTTATGGGAGGCCTACCTTTCCATTGGTGGTAATTCGACCGGATACCTCTTCAAACCGTGGCTATTGCATTATAACATACTGTTAGACTTGAGCCAAATCATAACATTCAATCTACTGATTGCTGGAAACCGAACTCACTGATGTCTGTAGACGCGGGTGCTTGGTGCGAAAAAACCGGAGTCACAAAATGCATTTGGCGGTCTTCTTGAGCCATCAGCTATGCGGCTTTGGCCCACCACATTGGCAAGCGAGAGCGTTGACCTATGCGTGCCTTCAAGGGCACACCACATCAACCACATGCGATAGCATGACAAGATGGCATGCAAGAGGGGACATGGCAAAGTAGAGTTCAGGGAATAAGGTTCTTATTGGTGGTTTAATACTTAGGATCATCACGTTATGGTGGAAGGCATGCTTGAACTGACAATGACATTAACGATTGCAAGGCTTGAAATTGCATACTAGCAATTGCTTGCAGAGAAGGAGTGCTAAGAAGCCAAGGGAACGGCTTTAGGCTCCTTAAGGGTAGGTGGAAAGGGGATTTTTCAAACATCTGAGCGTAGTCATATAAACCGCTGTACAATTATTTGATTTAGTTAGGTCGCCACGTTTGCTGTTCTAATAGTGCCAAAACAGTGGTTGGAAAACGTGTCGAGTCGTTGGGTCACACAAAATCGCGTTGTTGATGGGGGAGAAGTTGTTGCTTTATCAGAAGAGTTGTAACGAATATTTACCAACTGTTCAGAACATATTGACCCTGGGTAGCAGAAATTAGCAAAAGTTGCTTTACCAACGACAACAATTTCTTGTCTTTGAGGACGTGGTAACACATAATTAGTTGAATTTTATCATCAAGGGAAATACATTTTAGTGGGTCGACGAATATGACGTGTGGAGAACTTTTGTGAGACAAGAAAAGTAATCTCATTGAGAGAACATGGCTAGGCGTTCTCCTAATGGTCTTGAAGTGGCCACTTTATCAATGGCAACGACGACAAAAGCATTGAGTCCTACGAATTAAAACCACCAAGGCTTGCGAGAAGTGACAAGTGTAGAGTTCCAAAGTAGAGTGTTTTTACATCTCTATGGCTTTCGTAGGGCATCTCAATGGTGTAGCATCTTTTAGTAAAAGAACTGTTGTCGATCTTCTGGATCTCGAATCTTGGGCAATCTGGCCAACTAAGTTTAGCTCTGGATTGGAGTACCAAACCAAACAAATGTTCCCAGTGAGAAGAGTCGAATCCGCCACTGTGCAGCTTTGAAATTTCTGGAGTTCTACCATAGATCAGGAAAGCAGATTTGTCTACTCTAATGCGACTCACGAGGTTGTGCTGGATATTGCTGTGACCGCAGAAATAGGCAGCTTAGGATTGAAGGAAATTGATCCCATGTATTTTACAATTACGCTGTAATTGACTCGCACAACTGGTTGCAGTTTCAGCAGTGATGCAACTGCTTCCACAAAGTCATAAAGTCATTCACGGAAGCGAGTTTGTTTGATGTGCGCAAGATAATGCCAGTCGGAAAAGGGCATTTCAAACGTATTTAATGCATTCTGAAGGAGTGATGTGAGGCATCGAAGTCTGCAGTCTTACTGCCTGACACTCTTCATGTTGTACCTTTTGAAGTGGTTGACTAACTGCCCCCCAGGGCTCGGCGTTCTCTGGGGTACTTTCGTATTACCAAAGGTCATGAATTTCCGCCTTATAATTCCAGCAAGAGCGCTTGAGAGCAACGACCTCGAGTGCACGCTAGGCATCACTGCGACGCCCTAATTGAATGACGATGCTGGCGAGTCAGGTTGTTCTTATTGTTTAAAATGCGCAAAGAATCGTCTCTTCCAATTATCTGAAGAGGATTTGCAGATTTAGAATTCAAATGGCTCACGAAGCAGTGACTTCTCTGCAGATTAAGCGTCAATGGTTTTGACTGAGTTAAAATTTTGAAATTGTAGTTTGCCAACAGAAGAGCAAAGTGGTGAGTGAATGCTTTTCGTGATAGTCCACTACATCAGCAGAGGGACGTCATGTTCTGCATGTTTTGACCTTGTTCGTACCCTAAAATAATGCAACTTGTCAAATCATTCACGATTCGACTGGAGTGACTCTGACTCATAAAGAAGAGTAGCGGCACACTTGGAGGAAAGATGTCGACTTTTGAAAATGGCGATTGGTATAGTCAAGTGCTTTGTTATCTTGCATTTTAGGGCTGGATAACTTGTTGCAATGTTTTGAGTGATCTCTACGCGATGGGTGTGGCGGACTGTGACAACCTCCTCCTCCTTCTCGGCATTCCCACTACCATGACCGCGGAGGAGCGCACCACCATTACTACCCTCATTATGCAGGGCTTTCAGGTCTGTTCATACGCGCATTTAATGCCTACGAATTCGCTTTTCTGGGTGCTCAGCTTCCCGATTGCTTATGCATCTTTGCTACAACTCCATTCTTCTCTGTCACCGTCCTTTTCTGTGTCGTTTGATGCCCCTTTCCGATTGGCCTCCTCTCAAATCAGTGATGCAATTTGTCTTCCTTTTCGCTCATCTGTAGTATCGTCCAGTTGACTCATGAAGCCATTACCCTCTTTCTCTGTCCTTGCCTCTGCTATGATTGTGTTCTTGTTGGGTTCGCTTGCTTGTATTTCAGTTAATAGTCCTTCACCTTCCGTTTATCTACCTATCTTTGCCTAAACGCCTTGCATTCTATCCATCTCTTTCTACATCGTCACTGCCGATTGTTCATCTCCTACCTCGTCTCATTTTCTGCAATTTTATGTCCCTTTCTGTTTGGCTATGCTACCAAACCAATGTACGCACTTGGTTTTAGGTCCCTCTTTATACTTACGGGATCATCTGTGGTGTATATTGACGCGTATCACTGACCACCTCGAGCGATCTTTTTCGATGGCATGCCTGGTTGTCGCACTTTCACTTTTGCGTCCACTCCTGTCTGTATCTAAATTCCTTCGTCCGAAGTCGATGCATTCTTTCTTCTGCACTCCATCAGATGGCATCCACGGCTCTATATTAGTTATATTTTCTTGCTGTAGGAATGCGCCTTGAAGGCTGGCTCAAGTGTGCGCGGAGGGCAGACAACGTATAATCCCTGGGTCCTCATTGGTGGTGTTGCCACCGCCATCGTCCCCGATTCTGAGTTTATCATGTGAGTCACTGTCTTATTAAGTGTTGTGGTTTGCAAATTTGCTGACAATGTCATGTCAGCGCGACTTTCCAGGTGTCTTTTCCTGGGTCCCGTTCAAATATGGGATGTGGCTTCCTTTGGGCTTTATGGTGGCTACTCCTACAGAAGTGTATCTCAAAGCATGCCCTTTTGCCTGGAACTGAGGGGATAGATAAACCATCTATCGTTCAAATCTACTTTCATTGGATCTCTATTAGGCTGAAACAACAGTTGAATTTGCCGTTTCAAAAGCGTCAGCACTAAACTCATAGCAGCATAATAAAGACATCCCCGGTGCAACGCCTCACTCTGCTTTGGTCGCTAGCCTTGTCAAAGACTCGCGTCGGTTAAAGCGTGCTATAGGAGATAATTTACGACAACACTCAAGTGTAATGGGCGTGCTCGATAGTGCTTTTGTTGGCAGCTCCACATATACACTGCCAGGAAAGAAAAGCAAGTGCTTGTTGGGCGGTTAGTTCTTCCTCATAGGCAGCCTTTCTTTGCACTCCCACCGCTTCAGCATAACGCTGTTATTTCTAAGCCAGGGTTGAGAGTGGAAATTCGGGTTTGTGGAAGAATTTTTCAACTGGTGGGAATAGAAACCGGCGAACACATTAAAAGCACGTCTAAGTCGAGCATATCCTGTTATCATTAGTCAGAAATAACTCCACGTTCTCCTTTATTGTCAGAGATATTGCATTCAGACACCACGCATAGATTTTAGCATTGGAAAGCATCGTTTTGGCTAGAACTGTAAATTTGGTGGGCTCAACTCCATTGTGAATTCCATGATGTATGATATTACATGATAGTAGTTGGGCTTTGAACAGTGAGACCACTTCTTAAGTTGATGGTGTTGATGGGTAAAACTTATTTACTGTAACTGCAACAGGCCGAATCAGGCGGAAGAGGGCAGTATGTTGGTACTAACCAAGCCACTGGGCACACAATTGGCGGTGACAGCTTACAATTGGATGCTCGATCGCACCGACGTTTGGACGGAGAAGTGCGCTTCGCGCATCTCTGAGGAGGAGATGCGTAGCCTCTATAACGCCGCCACCCTGTCAATGTGTCGTCTCAATCGAAACGGTTCGTCCCCTTCCTTATCATTGTGCCATCTTTAGCAACGTTGCCATCATTTGGACTTCGAGTGAAGTCCCGAAATTGGTTGCAGTGCGGCAAATAGAGTTACTTCTCTCTTCCATTCTTTTCAGTTAACATTGTCAATAAGGCGTAAGAAGGAAAACAGAATGCAATGAAGTAGTGCAGGCTCAAACTCACGATTCTTACGCAATGCATTTGCTGTCACTCATTAGATTTCCTTTCTATGCAACCATTTTTAAGGACTGAGCTCATGTGACAAGGGAAATCCTATAAATGTCGAATCAGCTGGTAGTGTCAAGCTTCCCTCGAAATGCGTGAGTGCTTGGCGGCAATATTTGAAAATTAGGCTTGAAATGAGTGCTTGAGGTAGTCACTGTCCTCGTTTTATTGTCAGTGTTAGATGCTGAGCCTTGACGTGCTCAACCATAAATACTGGTTTTGGCCGCATGGAATCATATTACACGTGGGTTGGGGGGAGGGGGGTTCACCCGCATGAAAATAAGGCCAGGCTTGGATCCTGGTGTGTAAGTTGGATGAATCAAAATTAACATCAAATGCCAATGTTCTAATTTGGAAGCTGAACGCTGGGTAATGACGTCAGATTTCCCTTTGAGAGGAATTCCAAAGATAAAGGTGTTAGTTGTCTTCATAATAATCAAAAAAGTGTGAGCATCGAGAGCAAACACAGAGAATAGTTGTCTTTGAGCTTGTCTTGCTGCAATTTGGAGAATTTATTGATGTGAAGTTTCATTACGTCAGGGCGAAGGAACTGTGAGGCCAGAGGCAGAAATGCAATCCGATCGTCCAAGTACGTTTATTTGGCACCTAACCCTACCTTCTCACGTGGCCTTTGACATTGCGACCCTATCAAATTACTACATACGACGGGCAAACTTACCTGCACATTGTATTGTGGGCATTGCCTCTGACTTTGCAATACTTTTACCAGTCTGAAAGGAGGTGAAATTTGGGTACGTACGTAACTGCAAGGAGAGGTGGAGCAAGACATGGTCGGGGAGACTGACGGCATGGATAGCGCATTGAGCAGGTTTTACGACACTCACAAGAGGCTACAGTTTAGAAGGCTGTTGCTCTATACTGTCTTCAAGTTTCCTCCTTTTACATGCCTGAAAGGCTTTTTACTCGTGATAGCGGCTCAGCTGATGCGCAAGTACGGCGCGCAGGCCTGCACTGATGTGACGGGTTTTGGGTTGCTTGGGCACGCGCGCAACCTGGCAGCCGTGCAGAAGGCGGCTGTGACATTTGAGATAAATCGGCTGCCCTGTCTGGCGGGTGCGTACCACCTCTCCAAGGCTCTGGCCTCACGTCATCATCTCGATACCGCACTAACTCCGGAAACATCTGGTAGGTCGACCTTTTCCTCTCTCAAACTGTCATTTTGAGTCGTTTCAGAATTTGGAGAATGCAAATGTTGTTAAATCAAAAATAGTGCTTGCAATAGGTGTGGCCTCCGTAATGTAGCTATGATGCGGTGACATTTCATTTGCATTAGCAAGTTCAGGTCAACCTGAATTCGGAGTGCGGAAAGTCGGCCTGCATTTGCATTTATTTGTGCACGTTCTAGCTCTAACAGACAGTTTTCTTCACAGTTGGCTCAAAATCGGAGCTATTTTAGCTGTCAGTGCGTGGAAATCTGAATAGCATGGAATGCTTTATTGTGCGGGTAGTGAATTTGTGTGTTTGAGTCGCATCAACGCTTTATTGCCCTCATAGTCTGAATGATCACACGCTTTGTTGCTTTACGCTCGTCCGTCGTTTCATGCAGCGTGCTGCGGGCCGATTGGTGATGGCTGTAGTGTAAGTCTCGGTAGTTAATGAAAAATGAGCTCTCTTACACTCAATGGGTGTTTTTCTGTCGATGCGCTGGCGACGACAATCCCAATGAGTCGGTAGCTTGAAGGTTGAAGAGAACATAGAATCTCAGGAAGAAGTTGTTATTCCTTCCAGGTGGCTTGCTGGTTGTGATGTCAAAGGAGAGCGTGGAGGGTTACTGTCGAGATCTCTTCGAGGTTGACGGCACACCATCGTGGATAATTGGTGAGGTTCGGGCAGCAGCCACACCAACGGATGCTCGAACAGCGAGTCTCTCAGCCGATGTAGAGATCGTTGAGGTGCCACACGAAACCATTGTTCTGAAATGAGCCCCCTTTAATCCCTCCCCATTCTATTCACATATCATCATTTTACTAGTTGTGTTGCCGTTTGACATTCCCAAGTGGGTGATTTGCGGCAGCCCTCACATGACGCTGGCACACAAAAGTTGGTCTTCCTCGGCCAATAGGTGCTTGGCTGATGATAGGGTTGTGAAATCATCTGACTTCTCAGTATCGTTATCCGTACACTCTTGCTTCCTCGCCCGCGCATTTGTGCGGCTGGTTGTGTAAGTTCGACGTGGGGTGTACCTTGTCCTTAGAGTGGTGGGACAGCCTGAATGGATGCTCTGTTGAACTTGGTCATCATGAGTCACAGTGACATGTCGTAAAGCCATGCAAGTGTTGCGGGCAAATGCTCGCTTTGGGGTTGTTTGGACAGAGATGACACAAGTTGAGGAGGAGGTGGATGTGTGATGTGGGGAAAACAGTGGGGAGGGGCCTATCTTTTGGCAAACTGGGGAAGGTTGATGGAGATCGAATGGGTGGGTAATGGGGGTCGCTTTACACGTGGTGTAGTAAATGTGTCGGCAGCCGATATGCAAGCATCTGTTCTTCCGGGTACTATATCTTTTAGTCCTTTGGCAATTATTAAGGATCGGTAGTGTTTGTGCTAATGTCATAATCCTGTCGATGTAGTGTAAAGCATATTAATCGCTACTTCATGTGAGACTTTGTGCGTTTTAATATGTATGCACCTAGGTGTACAATTTTATAGTTGGCATAAATAAAATACCAATTTGTTTGAATTGCCTAGGTTCAAGACTGCAAGGTTAAGTGAGCGTGGATTTACATTTAAGAACTCATTTTAGCGTGAGCAGTGTGAGTAAAGTGCGTAGCTTTTCCTAAAACAACTAGCTTGTTGTAATAATAGAGCATGTTTTATGCTTTAGTTCGTTTCGGTAAATGTTGACACCATGGCAAAAATTATTTTGATAACTTTAATTCTTCCCTGATTGCCATATTTAGTTGGAAATCTTGATGTGTAGTGCGCAATAAAAGCAGAGATTGTTGCCTATGACAATTAACATTTTTTAGTTTTCTTAGGAAGAATTTGTCACCACGCGAATGTTCGAAGTTCTGTTGAGGAGTTTGTTCTACATAATCCTCTTTGGATATCATAGCTGTACGTGAATGTAGCTTGTATTCTTCAGATCTTCTAGTAAGATTTGAGCAATGGTATACTTTTACATACCGAAAACCCTAAAATTGAGAAATGTTGTTAGTAAAATTTCTGAAGCTAACGATCATATTCATACAAAGTGCTCAAATGCGACGAATTTACTGTTTGCAAAATCTACAGCTTGAATTAATAAGTTTTTGAGTCCTTGTGCGTTCAAGAAAAAATTTAGGTGCCATATGTTGCTTAGAGAAGTAGGTGTTTTGTAGTACCACAAAATTGTCATAGCTGCCAAATATTCATAATGTTATGTTTGCGATAGGTACGAGAAAATGGGGAACACTCGCAGAGTCTCTGTAAGTATGTGCAGTTTACTTCGGTGACAACACACTATGCGAGATTTGACTATATTCCTTCCGCATTAATATGGAGATTTTATTCGAAGTGTCTTCCAAACCTAATATCACAAAATTACTTTTTATTCACATGTGACTATGAAAGGCCTCACTAAATGTAATTTATGTTTACCGCTTTGTGATCACTTTCCACCTCAGCGTCCTTATCTGATCCCTTTGTCCAACGAACTTATAGACTGCTTGTAAAAATGTATCACTGACTTATTTCTCTATGTTCAGAACCACGTAACCGTGATTACTTACTAGGTTACAATGCAATGATTAGGGACATTGTTTATTGTTATAAAGCCATAATATATTTTGACCACAGGGTGTTAAATACCCCAAAATTGGGGAGTTTGTTTCGCACAAGCATTCGATATTGGTGAGGGCATAATTATTTTCCTCAGTTAAGATTCCATAGCATTATTTCGTTGTTGGAAAGTAACAGAGCGTTTCGAGCTGTAATTGTCAAAAACCAATGACCGTGATTCAACAGACACACGTATTTGGTAACTGTGTAGTTTGAAGTAAACACGCGATACACGTATGGGTGCAATAGTTGCATTGATTGCGGACACTCCAACTTGGCACGATTTAAGCACATAGAAATTGTCTAGAATTAACGTGCACACGCACTATCATGGCCAGTCCGAGAGGCACGCAAACATATAAGCTTTCAAGTTGGGTTCTAAACACAGAGCAGTCTTTTAAATATATCAAGAATTCATGCAGTTATGCGCATTTACACAGTGATATCTCGTGCCACGGAGGACCACATTGAGTCATTAGGTGGATTTTGCATTGATGACTGCATATTTATGCTTCTTTACCTGAGATCAGGAAGAAAATTCAACGTCAATGATCAAGTTGTGTAGGGTTTGAGGACTCGAAGGAAAGTGTATGGCTAAAGAGTTCTGTACAGATATTTTACAGAAAGAAAAGAAGGCATAAATAGTTTTTGTGGAGAAACAGTCTAAGTCAATTTTAGGGGCTCTGACTAAAAACAAACTGTTTACGAAGCAGAACTTAATACCATCACTCATCGATATGCTGACAATTAACATAGGCCTCGGGGAAGAAACTCCGAAAGATAGGAACGTGCTCAGCGGATAACGGGGTTAAGAGGTCTCAGCTATGGTAGTGGCGTCTTATTTTTTGTTTCTGGGTTAAATGAAGCAAAAAACAGCGTGTATTTTATCCTTTTTACTGGTAGTTAAAGCAGGAGATCGGAATGTTTCTTAAAGTGCTCAAACAAAGCTCCAGAACATTTTACTTCAGTGTTTAGCTTAGGAGAAGGGATAAACTGTAGTTTAATGGACGTTAAAATAATTGTTCTTGGTAGATGAGGATTACGCTTTGATCATAGAAGCAAGATCTGGCGTCTTTAATCACAAACATGCGAAGTTGAGTGAGAATATCAAAAGGCATTGGACAATATTTCTAAGCAAAGCATGATGTGTGCTTTGTTGGCAATGTCCTCTTACATTTTTGACTCGCTTGTCCATTTTATGCTATATGGAAGCCTGAATGTTGCGCTAAGAAGGGATAAATCCTCTTTTTCTTGGCGTTTGATTGCATTGTGCGTGAAATGCCACATAGTCTCGTAAAGATGCTTTGATATTTTCTAGGAGCATTTTAATATTTTTAGACATTTGTCTACCTAGTCAAAAAGAGGTGAACGCTGATTTGCGTCCGACAAAATTTGCTGCTAAGAACTGCCATCAACTTGGGTGCAGTAATGAGAGTTTAATTAAATTATTGTTCCTTCTCTGTGCCACATATTACTAAAAATGTGACATTTTTTTACAAACACCCTAAAAAGAGGTACTACTTGTGTATTATCAGTAGAAACAACGTTAATGGAGTACTAAGTAATGGAGAGAAATGCTTAATGCACATTTCAATATTTCTTATTACAGAGACCTCAGAAGGGAGGATCCAGGTAAATTACAAGTCAGAAAAGGCAGAAGGTTCTGTATTGGTCAAATTTTGGCTTAAAGAAGGGAATCTGAAACTTGTCCCTCTTTCTACAGAGTCTGGAGGTTTACGTGCTGAGGTGCAAAGAAATAATACAATCATCGTTACTTGGGATGATCCTCCAGCTATAAACAGCTCTCGATACTATGTGGAAATTAAAGAAAATAGTATTCCTTACACCCATTCAGAGAAAATGCCTGCATCAGCAAACAAACCGATAGGACTAATTCTAGGAAATCTGAAGCCGTACACATGCTACTGCGTCATAGTAAGTGCCTTTGAGGGCAATAAGTGGGTTACTCTGGCCAATGTGACCAACCACACATTTCCCGAACGTAAGCTTTGAGGGACTCTGAATACCAACCACAAGCGACTTGGATTGCATTAAAAATATCTATTTTTAGAACCCGGGGCTCCGTTCTTTAGTGAAAGTACAGCGGATACAATTGTTATCACAACTCCAAAAGTAGACGCGAATTTTTCGTACGTGGCCGAGGTATTCACGAAACAGTCGTACTTGCATTCAAATGGAAGCATTGGTGTGTGTAATGCAACAACAACAGATGCAACAAGTGTGTGCAGATTTGAAGGACTTCAAGCAAACACTGGCTACCGTTTTACCCTTAAAAAATGTACTCAGATGCACCCACCTCTTTGTAGTCAACCATCTCGTCAGTCTTCTACGTTTTACACCAAACCCAAAGGTGAGTCCCTAATGTGTGAAGTCAAGTTTAATTGTTTGGTATTTTGATGTGGGAGAACTGAGCATAAGTGTTTGAGTTATTCTGCCTTTTGATGGTTTACATCTGCAGAGAGAGTCATTGCCATAACAGTGGGACCGACGGAAGCAAGTGTGTCTGTTTCTAGCGGTTGGTAAGTATACAGTAGCCCAGAATTGTCATCTTTCTCCTACATACCAGGTGGCGATGCGCAGTCATAAATGCAATATCTTACGTGTGGATGGTTGCGTACTAAGGCGAGATCAAACACAATGGCCGCCACAGATAGGTTAGTCAGTAAAATTCAGGGTTCAGGAAGGACTGAGTATATGTATCATGTTGCTAACCACGAAAACAGAGGGTCTAAGCCATTCGGTGCCATTGCAGTGGGCAGCACGGAACTAGTGGAATGGCTGAATCAGGCAAAATGAATTGTAAAAGAAGGCGCTTACAATAAAGTCTAGTATGGATTTTAGGCTCATAAAGAGTTATCAAATGCTGGAAACTTTCATGAAAGATTGACGTAAACAAGAACGGCATTTGAACTGGCAATGAAAAGATCGGATTGAATTGCTCCTAAACAATAAAAATAATTTGCATGCAGCATTATCAGCAGCCATCATTAGCAATCATTTGAGACACTTCTGTCTTTTCCAACACGACAAAGCTCGTGACTCTAAATGACGCCATCACACTGCCGTCCATCACCAAACATGTTTCAAGGCTTAAATGACACTTCAAATTTTAGAGCCGCGTGATTTAGTTTTCACGAATATC